AATATCTCTTTAGGATACCAACGTATGTGTGTACGGATTATGCGATATTAACACCTGTTTATTACTTGTGTACGTCATTAGTCAACGGTGTATCTATTTACATGTAATTGACACCATTTAATTAATTTAATGATTTTTTAATTTAATTGCTCGTAACTGAATACCCTAACGGTTATTATTTTTGATTATTTATTATTAAGTAATTAAAAGCCGAATTACTGTATTTTGAGTGGTATATTACTGTGAACGCGTATCTATCTCTGTGGGGTAATTTAGCTTCTAATTATTATTATTAACGTAGGATTCAAAATTAGCTCTCTTGTTTCAGAGATTACCAAATATCTAAATTTCCAAACTCACAATCTTTAGGCTGTGTCTTCACAACAGAATAATTTTATAAATTTGCTACCTACTGTGCCGTGCCGTTTACTTTGCCGTGCCTCGGAGAGCACGTAAAGCTGTCGATCCTGCGCCTTAACTCTCACTGGTCGTGTCGAGCAGTCGTCCCACCAGAGTATGAGAGTGACAGGAATGGAGAGTGCACGTTGTGTCTGCGCGTACACTTGTGCACTATAATATCTCCTGCGTAGTTGGCTAGTCTTAATAAGATTGGCCGCCGTGGCCGAAATCGGCCGGGAGAACAATATTTACTACTATGCATAAGTAATTATACCAGTGCAATGTAACAAAAAAATAATTGTCTTGTATGTTAATACAATATATTTCGTGAGCATAAATCACAGATATTTCTTTACTTCCTAAATCGATTAACAGTTGTAGGCCGCGACAAAAAAGTCGCAATTAGAAAGTTGTATTGAGTGTGCGCTTGCAGCCTTATTTTTTGTAACATTAGCGTGGGCACATTTACATTTTTGGATAAAAGAAACCTCAATTTGATCACCAGACCGCATCGTGCGATATTTCATCACACGGGTCGTTGTTTTAATTTATTGTAGGTACTGTTATAATTTTTCGTATTTCAAAATTTTAGAGTATGAATTAAAAAAATAATGAAAATTTAGGTTTGTATGTATTTTTAATGCCGAATCATAAAGAAATAAAATTTTTGTCCAAAAAATAAAAAACAAGTTTTAGGTGTGTACCACCCTTATCACTTGGGGAACTTTTATGAATAATAGTGTACGTCCTATTCTCAGATCTACTGAATATAGTTACACACAAAATTTCATAAGAATCGGTCAAGCCGTTTCGGAGGAGTTTTGTTACAAACACACTTACAATACGAGAGTTTTATATATTAGATTCGTTGAATATTTTAAGACTAACTAACGGCTCATATATCGGATTATATTATTATTTTAGCGTAAAAAGGAGTATTACCGACTAATGAAATAGAAATATACATTCACTTGCATTTTTTTCTGTCTAACTGTATGCATAAGTTCACATAATATGTATTATGTCTACATAATGTATGTATGTATGTATGTATATAAAATTGTTGCTTTAAGGGATCTATCAAACCGTACCGCTGGATCTTTTATTTGAGACCGCCCATGAGCACTAATAAGTAATAACCTATTAATTAAAAGAAGAATGAATATTGATCTACGAGTACAATTGACGAAGTTATCGAGTACAGAGTCACAAAAAATATACAAATGAATTGAAATCGGTTTGGTTTTAGAACTCAAAATAAGAGAAGACTCGAGTAAACAAATGAGAGCGCATTCTTAGTCGTATGAAAGATATCTAATTTCAGCCACAGACGTAACAAATTATTATTATAATTTTATATATTGAAACTGCATGACTATAATTTTAGACCTGTCACACACAGATATTGTTTTAAATGCTATAATTATATTTCTGTCTTAAAATATAATCAGTCGTACGATATTTGTTGTTTATACAAAAGAGGATAGCAGGTTTGATCCTAAGAAGTGATCATTGGCCGCAAAAATTAACTCTATATCATTTATAATAATAATATTATAATTGTGAAAGTATGTTTGTTTGTCTGTCTGTCTTTCTTTCATGTAGAAAAGGCTTGTCGGATTAGCGTGATTTTTTGTGTGGATATAGTTGGAGGGCTGGAGAGTGACATAGGCTACCTTTTAACCGCGGAAGATTATCTCTTTTCCATGAGAAAAACACGTATAATACAATCCAAAAAATAATTATGATCTGAATTACTTGAAACTTGGTATAAATGCTCTTCAAAACAATTAAATAAATACGTGTTTTAGCACTTTTCGAAATTAATCCTATTAGGGGGTAAATAGCGGATGAAAGTTTGTATGAAACATAGTTTAAGCGCGAGCGAAGCCGCGGGTTCTGCTAGTCCTTTATAAATATTATATATTATATGTATATATCCTTTTTTTAGAGATTTCAAAAACTAAATATTATAATAACTAATATGTCCGTTACGTTTACCGCTGAACAAATTTTAATAAAATTTAGCTAGGGCATAGATTGCATCCTGTGATCGAATATAGGGTAAAAGTGAAGTCGCAGGCAAAAACTAGTAGGTCATATAAGTTATTAATTAAAGGTAGCCGGTAAATATAAGATTTCAAAGAAAATTCCACTCCTCAAGGTGAAATAACTACTTTCAGTAGTGTATTAAATAGTATGAATTAGAACGTATTTGACGCGCTTATCGGTTAATATTTAACTGCAACCGTTACGATCATATTGACATCATCTTATCACTGTAATCAGACCTATCCATACTGATACATATGTAAGTGCGAAAGTAATTTTGTCTGTCAGTTTAGTTTTTCTTTTTAATTAGTTAGTGTTTATGCGCACCACGGTTTTTAAACGCGCCTATCGTGAACGTACGCCGTCTGCACATGTATATTCTGAAGAAAAACTTATAAATGCAGGTTTTTGCTTGCGTTCGTATCGATACAAACGCGTGAGAACAGTGCGTACGCTGCGCGTCGGACGCGCGTTAAAAAGTTGTTGTGTGCATAGGCCCTTATGGCGGATCACAATAACATATTCATCTTTAATATAACTTACTAGTAGTAATAGGGATTCCACAGAATGTATATAGATAATCTCTTTGTTAGGAAAGCCAGATACGTATAGATCAAAATATTATTGGTCCGCTGTAAATTATTTTTTAATGAAATATGGTATAGCATGAACTTTGAACTTAAACAAGATGAACAAGCACAGGTTACAATTTAAAAAATATCACCATAATAGGGTTAAAAAGTTTTTTACGCAACAGTCTCACGATGTTTTCCTTCACCGTAGTACAAATGGTAATCACGTTAGAAATGATTCGCACATGAAAATATCAGAGGTTCGAGACCCGGGATTTGAACCCGCTTCACTCGGTTTCCCAAGCGAGCGCATTATCCCACTAGGCTAGGCTACCACTGCTTTATGCTAATTAGATTAGAATAAAATAATTAAATCGAATAATTTCGAAAAAAACATATGTACTGGTGAGGCCAGGGCGGATCATTAGTCAAATCAAATCAAAACATTTTATTCAGCATTAAATTATTACAATTTTTTACTGAACGTCACGAGTCTACTACCAGTTCGGAAAGAAGAAGCCTCAGACCTGAGAAGAACTGGCGAAAGAAACTCAGCGTTACACAGTCCATACATACCTATAATAAAATTGTAACTAAGCCGAATCTGTACATTAAATAGTTTTTGGAAAATCTTATTGAAATAGACTTTAGGATCGATACAGAACTCGGAATCTATAGTTTTTAGAATTTTTGTCTGTCTGTCTGTGTGTCTGTCGTTACCGCATCACGAGAAACCACTAGATTGATTTTGATAAAATTTAGTATGATGCTATCTGGTTATCCGTGTCAACATATAGGATACTTTTTACTGCGTGAAATATCTCATTTCTACGAAATCTATACTAAACGTTAAAACGCAACTAGGGACGAACCCGAGCGGAGCGAGAGTGAGTCGCTAGTATTCTATAACATTAGTATGTTATGTTGAAGGGCTTATAATGCTTAATACTTTTCTCATTGTAGACTCTATTCTATATACAATAGTGGTTAATATTATAGTTACATGCGTTTGTTTGTAATGCACTCATCATTTGTTAGTGCCATTAAAATCTTGTCAATACATTAAAATATGTATTATAAAAGCGAACTAAAAAGATGAAAACAAATTGACGAACGAACTCAGTATTATACTGTCGGAGACATAGGTACCTACATATGTATGTAAATCTAGCAGCTAGGATGAAACGTGTATATCTCCAACTGCATAATACTATGGTCCTTCGTCAACTTATTTTCATCTTTTCGGTCCTCTTTTTACGCCGTCGGTTTTTTTATTTTTTATATTTTAATTTTTTTATAATCTGTAACATATTAGGCGAATCATCCGAATTTGAATTTTTTAAGTAGTCTATAATCTCATAATATTTTTATTTTTATTACCGTAAGAATTTTCCACAATCTATTATTATTTTATAGCTTTGTTTGTGCCAACATTGACAAGGCTATAGGAAATTACATAAATACTATGTAAATTGACAGCGCCTAAATGGCTTATTGATGTATGTATACTGTTACCTACGATATATTTTCGCTAAATTTACTTTTTTTATCTTTACGCCTTTTTTATAGAGTACTTAAATAAGTACTTTGTTCTTCGCCTTCACGTACTTTACATACAAATTAATTTATTACTTTTATTTTAATACAAAAATATACGAGTTATACATCATTTAATACTTTCTTAGATATACGCGAATATTAGAAAAATTAAATAAAACTATCTTTTTTAAATATTTTTGCGGATTTAGTTTGATTTTTCGTTTCCGACGTTTCGGATGATTTACAACAACGCTAGAGAAACTTCGGGAACCTAAAATCGAAATAAATCCACAAAAAAATCCGAAAAGATAGTTTAGTTTTAAATATTCACCACTTATTTACATGTTCAGTCAAATAATTAAACTTCAAAAAATATATAAATAATAATAAAATTGCTGATATTTTAAATGATTATAAAAAATATATTATTATTCTCAGATCCAGATAACCCTCAACCGGGAACATCAAAAACCGATTTAGAACCGAACAAAGACGAAGCAACGGGGAAGAAGGACAGCTGTAGTTGAGCTGTCTCCCTCTAGTCCCTCGGGACTGCCCTGGACTACCCTGGACTTGCCCAAAGTAAACGTAATCTCAGTAAATCAGGTATAGTATTATTTAAGCACTGAGTAGAACTTAACCCACCTTAGAAGGTGCGTACAAATAGTTTCCTGTACGAGATTGAATAGCTTAGATGTAGTGTTGCCGGGCGCTGTCGAATTTACATTATGTTGTTTTTATATAATAAATAAATTTTAATGTGGCAACTTTGTTTTGTTTTTAAATTCATACAAGTTGCAATATAAATTGTATTTTTTATTACTTATTAATTTTTATTTTGTTATGTTCTGAATTCTAAAATTTGCTGTTTGTTAAAAAAAATACGATTGTATTATTTGTCAAACACAATCCTCTTCTGAATACATATCAAATGGTTATATTTTACTTTTATAATGTATAGCACATTTAATATTTAACAAATATAATCTGTAATTTTATCCAATTTTATATTACTGGTTTGAAACAACACGAAATAGTGATAAAAATACACAAGGTTATGTAAATATTTAAAACAATAGTAGAATTATTCAAGATACATTAAATACTTTTTATTGTTAAAATAATATTAAAGCAAAATGTGGCTAATGAGTTATTTTATTTAAAAAAACATGTTTTTTACTTTCATTTCGATCTTTAAGAAAGACACATTTGTCTTAATGTTATATATTAATCGCACATGTTCCTAATGCGACCTATTCGCACACTTAGGGCCGCTCTACACTATAGTGCCGATCACATTCTGTTCTCGGTCCGATATCGGTCTGGTAAAGTATGTATTGTTATTTGTTATATAAGAAACAACAAGTGCATTCACACTATCAGTAAGACTCGCGCTCCAGCAACGTGTCTTGAATAGAAATACTTTACCAGGCTGAAATTTGGACCGAAAACGGACTGTGACCGACACTATAGTGTGGAGCAGCCCTCATATGTTAAGGTATGCCGTAAAAGAACTTGCACGATTACTTTTAGAATTGTGACCCTCTAAACAAAGCTGCAAATGGCGCAAGTGTTATTATTATTATAGAAATAGCAACAGCACAGGTATAATGCGCGTGCTATGTACAATGTACATATATGTATGTCCCGGGTATATTATAAAAACCGAGAAATTATAATTTCACTTGTAAAATTATTGCCCGGATTTTTTTTCAATTGTCTCCTTTTGTTACAATATCACGGTAAAATGTTAGGTATATTATAATTTCACGGTTTTTACAATTTACCTGCGACATATACGTTATGTGAATAGATCCCGCAATAGCTAGCTTTATATTTAAATGTTTAACTAACATAACAAGTACAATTTGTTTTGTGATTTTTGAGTGAGATAGAAATGTACGTAATCCTCCATTTTTTATTTTTTAGTATATATTTTTGAATGTTATTGTAGGTTGTAATAAAGAAATAATACTTGCTAATGTTTCTTTAAGTTATTTTTCTATTGCATTTTGTAGATTGGCTATGGGTGGATTCCCTATCGATAAACTCCGTATTTAGTCTGTGTACATTTTTTTTAAAGTACAGATTTAAATATTTATTATTTACAGACGATAAGATAATTTGAGACAAAGAAAACATTTTAAACTGCTATCTTCAGTTCTAAAAGCCGCCAGTATGGAAATCTAATCATCGTCAATTTATTGTGTAAATGTAGAAATATTTTGTTAACCAAACATAAATAAAACTGAGGTCCTGCCTAATGGTGGAATGGCGAAAAATTGCAATAAAAATAATTTATATCACACATTTTTAAAACATAATTAATTAAATAGATGTTTTATTTTGTAATTGATGATATTTTTGTTTGTTCGTGGACGGCTTAAGTAAATAAATTAAAATAAAAAATACTTGGTAAGTGTACGAGAAGTAAAATAAATTAGGCACGTAGATCCTAAACATTACGTTATGATTAGATAATAAAGTGAGTTTTAGAACAACACCTACTTCGTAGTGAATTTTCATCTCTATTGCCTTGGTATTACGTACATCGAATTCTAATCAATGTTTCTAAATTTCTCGATGTAGCGATGTCTCGATGTCTCGATTTAGTATTATTATATCGTACAATTTTGATGCTACACCTAAAATGCTGTTATTTTTATCAGAAATAAAAAAAAACAAAATAGTTATTTTTTTTGGAAATTGAGTCAACAATAATAATTGTAGTTCATACATTTCGTCTTATTTAAAACTGTAAGTAGATTTAAAAATAATGTAAATTATTAAATTTCATGTAGCGTACAAATTTTATACGTTTATATTGTGGTATTCATAAAAATGCTTGTAATGTATATCTACGAATGTACAAATAGTAAAATATATGTATGTTTGTATTATAATTTATTAGAAACATATTATAATGCTAGCTGTAAAAAAATTACGGGCATTTTTTGACAGAATGAAACTGGTATTTTTCAGCTACCTTTAAAATTATAATTAACGCACACTATAGTCAATGTCTTGTCTATGCTCTGTCAATTAAAATAATAAGGTATTATTAACCTAGAGCAGGATTTGCAATCTAAAATAACATGTGTATTGTTTTCTTTATTCTAGTAATGTTTGTTTAACAATATTTTCATTCTTTTTTCTATTATGTTCATATTTTATTTGACTTTATAAATTACAGTTATTCCATTTAAAGATCTATACTTATATATAATATACTATATAATTCTTAATCTTTAATACAGTTTTACTCTCTTAGTCTAGTGATGTACCAATATATATTAAGTCTCAAAATTGTCTATGCTCTATGTATCATTAGTGTTTCTATATTCATAAATGTATTAAATTCATACTTTAAATCTCATAATATTCAATCTTTTCAGGTTTCATTCATAATATTGTATCAATATATTTTTTGGATTCTGATTTTTGTCCCCCTACTGTAATAATTACTTGTGAAATTGTTTTTCGCCTTAAAAAGCATAAACAATAAACATTGCACAAAATAATAGTCAGTGTTATTATTAATAATAATTTTATTATTTAATAAGTTAAGTTTTAAAATAATTACCTAATGATTTATTAATATCGGCTCATAATAAAATGGGACGTTTAGTGTAAATCATAATTAATGAGACATATTGTGTTTTACACATTTGTTATTTTTAATAAAAAATACATACGAGTTTATCTCTTGTTAAAACTATAATTAATGTATCTTTTAAATTAATTTAAATTAAAAAAAGGAAGTCACTAATTTTCTATTAAGCATAAGTATACTTCATACATTAATTTAAATTTATTGTGCTGGATCTCCGAAGTTGCAATATGATATTAATTTTATTTTAGCAATGTAATACGGTTATATCTTTACTGGGCTGTGTAAATAAATTCATATTTATAAATACATGTGTTTTTAATTTTCTCCATATGATTAATTTCTACTAAGACGAAAATTTATATTTTTGTCCATTGTTCTGTAATCTGTTATGTAGCATGTATGCGGGAGATTACTATTAAAGGTACCTGGACGACCGAGCTTCGCTCGGAGTTCTTTTATGCATGTATCGTATTTTTTTTAAACAAAAAATTAAAACTTGAATAAATACAAAAATAAACAAAAGTAAAAACTTTGTATCCGACCGGGATTCGAACCCGGACACCTGTGATTATCACTCTTGCGTGCGAAATTAACGACCATGTTTTGCGTGGAATAATGTGAAAGAAAACCGCGTGAAAACTCAGAAACACGCGTTTTCCTAAAAATAAGATTAATCTAGATGCTTTTTCGCCCTCGTAAACACCCACATACCAAATATCAGTGAAATCGTTAGAGCCGTTTATGAGATCGCCGGTATAAATAAATAAATAGAGATACAAGAATTGCTCATTTAAAGGTATTAGTTAAAGCGTTATAAAGTACTAAATGATTCAATTTTCTTTTTGATGGCTTCAAAATGTGCCAGTTAAGTACAGATTACTAGTAATTAATGTTATAGATTTTAATAAAACTTAAAAGTATGTAATATTTGTCAAATATATTATTTACTTAGCTTTCAAATTCGATACAAAAATATTTTTTAACAAGCAACATAATTAATATGTCAAATCGTATCGTTAAATGACGTTTACGTGTAGAAATAATTTGACACTTGTGACATAAAACTTGCAACACCAGTTTGATGATTGATGTTTCACGTACGGGATGTAGGGAAAGTGAAGTTATATTTTTACAAATTTATAGGCGTCCGATGCTGTAGTAACCGCTGCTGTAAATCAAGAAATGCACTTATTTTCTTTATGTTTAAATCGCGAGTGCCAAAATCGTAGAATTAGGATAATACAATGTTGGGAAATGGTGATGACTGACACAATCATTCGTGCCTATTTAAAGTGATTTTATGAGTGTTTTTGTGCAAGTTCGACAGGATGCCGAAGGGAGAGAATAGGCCGAGCGTCCTGTTGTCTCGCGACGAGAATGACCAGGTGTTTAGCCTCATTGGACCAAAATGCCAGGTTGGTTAACTTTGAGCACTTGTCGTGTCCTTCGATTAATTCGAGTCCAATAGATTAAGAATATCAGTATATCTGCCTTTTATCAGTCTTCACAGTGATAAAGTTTCATGTGACACAAGATTGATTAATTCTTCCAAATGATATTTGAAACTTGTTTTAAAAAATTTCAGCAGATAGGAAATAAAGATTTTGTTCACATATAAGTTTTTTAAAAGTATGAGTCATTATTTAATTTTTACATTATAATATTGTCTAATGTTATAGATGCTTAGCCAATAATAGAAGGTCTACTGAATACATTTAAGGTGCAGATACATGCTTTCATATTCATTGCATTCTTCCTTTATGAATACAAAAGCCAAAGAACAATGTATTTTACATTATTTTTAGTGTCACATTTTGTATATAAAAATAAAACAGTGTTCATTTTTTTACAAATATCAAAAGATCTAATGAAACTAACAGAAAATTAATTAGTGTACTAATAAGAAAAACACAACTTTAAAATATTTGTCTGTCTCTTTGTAGTTTGTACTTTTAAAATGTATAAAATGTAGGCTTTCGTCTTCTGATTATAACTGGTTTTATTAATTATGCTGGTAATGGAGATTTAAATTTTCTCCATTCAATTAAATAATAACATTAAATATTTTAATGTATTTATATTTATTATACTATATTAATAGGTTATACTCTACAAATACTCTACAATACTCTGTCCCGTGTTAAGATTATGTAAACATTATATTGTCATGTAAATCTTAACAACTTTTCCCAAATCACATGTGAATGTCACATAACTAGTTCTGCAAGACAATGAATTATTCCTTACTTGTTGCACTCATTGCATAATGGAAATAGAAATCTTGAGTAACATTTTCTACTTATTATATAAAGCACTTTGTTATTTCTAAAATAATTAACACTTAAGATAATCAAGTTGCACATTTGAATATAATCACATTCTATGTTAATAATGCTTATTGTGCTATGTTTTAGAATATTTTTTTTATATAAATATACCTAAACAGAAAATTTTATTTTAAATTAAATTGAAGATTATTTTAAATAATATGTATAAGATTTTCATCATTATAATTAAAATTTTACAATTGGTATTTAACAATCCAATCTTTTTAATCTAGTAAAGTAATTGTTGCCAGTATTATTCTTTACAAGGCAAGACAGGAAGCACCTGTGTATGTACACTGCTTTGTATTCATAAGTGGGTGAAAGTGACAATCAATCTAGCCTGCATAAGGTACTGGATGTATATAATCGAATGTCAGCTATGAGCCAAGCTGTATATTATAAATTAATTAAAGTAGATTTGATTAGTAATCCTTAATAATTTTATAAAAACCAAACTTGCAAAATAAAGATGTTGCAAAATAAAATAAATAAGTATTATCATTACTATTATAAATGCTAAAACATGTTTGTTGGTTTGTTATTTATTTACATAGCATCAGTGTTACATATATTTTTTAATAGAGATAGCTTGTGGGTAGTAAAGTGGCACTGGTACTTACATACGTGGATTATTAGTCTTTTTGTAAAAAGTCACCTAAGGACCAGGACTGATGTGAATTTTTGAGATTAATTTGATTGCTCATATATTATATATTGCTTTATTATATAATATTCTTATAGACTTGTATTATTTATTAAATTAATTTGAATCCTAATTTAAGATAGACTTTAAATATAGATTCTCAGAGAGTATTTCATACAATTTCAAACATGTTTACATTTTTTTAATATGTACATTGTACATACACTTTCATAGTAGGAAACCTTGACATTCTTTAAATTAATACCAGTAAATGTTTTTCAATTTATCCTTAAATATAGTCAATACAACTCCTAATTAGTCTAGCCCAAGGCAAATGCAATAATTGTTTTTTTTCTTTAACTGCTCTTACCATATAGGCTATTGTTATTTCTTATTATTCTCAAAAAAAACTTACCAAGTACTTATTGCAATTATAACATTATGATATCTTGTATGAAAAATGTTAAATGGTTTGTAGAAAATTTATTTTGCTTTTGCTTGTATGACCCTCATATAACTATAGCTTCCAGCAAGCAAGCAGCAGTTTTAGTAGTGGCGGACTAACGGGGGAGGGGGCGATAAGGACGGCCCGCCCCGGGCCTCTGGCCCTGGGGGGCCTTCAAACGCCTCCATGTTTTCTTGATCAAATCCTAAACAAGCTTTAAAAATATGCTTAGTGCCTATCAATTAAAGAGGTGGTCTGGAGTTGGAAGTCGCGTGCAAATATCATCCCATACAGATAAAATATGAATAAGTTAATAAAGCCTCAACCGGTAATTTACGATTTTTAAAATAAAATTACTAGGGACCTAGCAAGTTGAAATTTATACCAGATACTGAGGTCTATATCCCTATTAGGTGTATAAAAATCAAGGTCCTGAGTAAACACGATAAAAAGATATGGGCAAATTTAGATTTTCGGGAAAACTTGTAAGTACCAAAATTGACCTTAATTTTCATTTTTTTTTATTTTTCGACTTTCTTTCTAAGTCAACCGGAAGTACCCTATAGGTTGTGGGTCGAAAACCTATATGGTAGTTTCCGTTGACCTAAAATCACGAAATTTGGCAAAAGGCAAGATCTTACAGCACTAATAAAGAAAAATAATAAAAAAATAATTAAAAAAGTTGAAAATTAAAATCTGTTTAGATTTCCTACGAATTTGTACGGAACCCTCGGTGGGCGATTCCGACTCGCACTTGCTATCCTCGGCCCTTTGCTGAAGGTTATCTTATCATCATAGATAATATTATAGACAGTAATAATTATATTCTATAATATGTTTATTTAAAACTAGGAGCCTCGTTCGCCGCCCCGGGCTTCTGACGGGCTTAGTCCTACACAGCAATTTATTTATTTCAACTATTAACGCGTTCCAGCTCGTGTGAAAATAGCCATATGGAGTCAATAACGAGCAGTTATTTTAAAAGTACAAAACTTTTAACGTTATTTATAAGTATAGAAATCTATACTTTACTATATACTACATTTAATTCTAAACAAAAGTTTTCTTTAATTAAATTTACATGCAAAACAAAGGATCAACGACAAAACTAATTATGATTCCAGCAGAATACACAAAGCGGCCGGATGTCCGTTGCATCCTCAATATAGCATGTCTCTTATAAATATAACGTGGATTTGAAATGCATAGTTTACTTTTCTTTTTTTTTCAATATTAATAGACTAGTACTTTCCACTGGCTTCGCTTGCGTGGTATGGCAGTGAAAAAATCTATAATATATGTTAACGATGGTGAAAACTTCTCCATTATTGAAATACGCTTACAAACAAACAGCTTAATATTAATGACCGACCGAAGATTCGGCCAAAAAATCTAGTTTCTGTCATAGTTTCGCCTTCGGCCAAAAACAAGCCGAATTTTCGACCAGTATATTTTAGGCTGGGTGAACTAGCCACTAAGATACTACTAAGTTAAAGTTATTTTTTTAACATGTCTAAATAAGTTTCGGCTTCGGCCGAAACTGAGACCTAGGCCAAAGGTTCGGTTTCGGCTTCGGCTCCAAATCCTGGTCGTTCGAACACTAGTTACTATATCTGGAAATTATTTTGTTCTATACCTATTACTTTTATATAAAGTAAACATATTTACAATCTCTCATAGTGTGACACGTAAATTGAGAATTCTGAATATACATATAAACAAATCTGTCCCACAGGAACCGTACACTTTTCCGGGATAAAAGTACCCTGTTGCCTGTGTGCTATTCCAGATTTTCTATAATCTATTTATGTGCAAAATTTCATCTAGATCCGTTCAGTCGTACTGACGTGATTGAGTAACAAACATCCATCTAAACACCAAAACTTTCACATTTATAATATTAATAAGATGTCATGACACAATATAATATGAAACATCAAATGTATAATTTTCCAGAGCCTAGCAACGGCGGTAGTTCAACTATTCACAACAGAAGGACCAGCTCACTCAGAATGGAAGAAGAAGGACACTGGAGTGTTATGTCTGATCAAGGACAACAGCAAACGGTCTTATTTCTTCCGTATTTACTGCTTATACCGCAAGACACTGATATGGGAACATGAAGTGTATTTGCAAATTGACTATAAGAGTCCAAAGCCGTATCTTCACACGTTTGAGGCAGAGGTAAGTTTTTTTTTTGGTATTTTTTGCATCTTGCATAAAGGTTTTAGTCTATATTTTTTTTGTAAATCAATGTTTTGAGTTCAAATCATACTACGATTTTTTTTATAATTATGCTATGTGATATTCTAGAGAAAAATAGGTATAATCTTTATTCTTGCTAATATTTCAAATGTGAAAACCTAATCTCATTTTAAAAAAAGAAATGATTCTCATTGGATAAGAGGAGCAAAAGTTTAAGAAGGCGAAAAATTTAAGAAATGGGACCACATTTCTTTAATTTTTCGCATAAATATTATTTATTTTATTACAAGTCAATTTAAGGAGAAAAAAATCTATATCGTTAAAAAAAATAACTTTACTTCCAGGATTACATGACCGCATTTAACTTCGCAAACGAAGATGAAGCTAGAGTGCTCAGAAATATACTTATAGAAAAAATTGAATTACGAAAACGAAGGCGAGAAGGTAATTGATTCTATTTATACTTACGCGTTTACCGTAAATATTATTAAGGAAATAACTTATTTATTTTTACTAACAAACTACTTCCCTGTGTCGAATTACTCTACTAATATTTCCCTGTCGTTTACCTATTGACAGGGAAATATTAAGTTTTATTTACATTTGTACGTTCAGGGTGTACTCGTATATACTGTATACGTTATAACTTTTTACTATAAGTGACAAGTGTTGACAGTATATGATGATATTGACTAACAGATTCTAATTTTTACTTATAATAAAATTCTAACTGTGTCGAATCTGTAAATTAAATATTTCTTGGAAAATCTTATTCAAGTAGTCATTATTATCGATACATAGGCCGAATCTATAGTTTTTAGACGTTTTTGTCTGTCTGTGATCGTATCACGAGAAAACCACTGGACAGATTTTGATGAAATTTTGTATGACGATAGCATAACCGGGTCAATATGGGATACTTTTTACTGCGGTAAAATATCTCATATCCGGGAAATCTATACTAAACGTTAGAACGTAAGGGAGAAGACGGGCGAAGGGACGGGCGGACAATCTAAAATCGATGTCAATTGAAAATTTTCAGATTATTAGTATCGTATTATATGGACTAGAGTGGGAAAGTCAGCTCGTATAATAGTTATTCCAAATCACAAACCAATATTTTGGATATTTACTTAGGTAATAATACGATACAAAAGTATAAGTTAGGCATTATTGTTGATATTAAATGTCAGTAATTAATTATTTTTAGTGTTACGTGATAATCACACTATTTGCGTTGCCCAAAACTGGTTTTGTTTTATTAGATAGAGACCTAGAACTAAAATTTTAGTAGCTCTGGTGTGTTATTTTAAACTTAAGTACATTAGGCTTTCAAGGCTAATGTGTATATTCTTCGATGTAAATGTTTAAACAATTATTGATTAATGATATGAGCTCCGTATATCATGGTGTAAATACGTTGGAAAAGTCTTTGGTTTCATATAAAATAATTTTAGCAGTACATTTTTATATGTTTATTTTATTATTTTAATTTTGCAATTCAAAGTGTTAGTCACATTATTAGCGTAACTGTAAGTGATCTATATAGGTATATAATAAAATTCCAAACGAACCGTTCAATACTTTTTTTTTAAATCTAATTAAAATATTCATGTTATTATCGATACAAGGCCGAATCTATAGTTTTTAGAATTTTTGTCTGTCTGGGAACGCGTCAGAGAAAACCACTTGACAGATTTTGATGAAATTTGGTATCATGATAGCTGGTTAGCCGAATCAACATATGGGATACTTTTTACTGTTGGAAAATATCTCATCTCTGAGAAATTCATACTAAACGTTAAAACGTAACGACCAAGAGAGGAACCGGAGCGGAGCGAGGGCGAGTAACTAGTTTTTTTTATAAAAAAAGAAATAATCGCAGAGCAAGTAAATAAAAAATATAGGTAATATTAGAATTTGATTTAATCACTCATAAACTATGTGTTTATTATTATTGGTATTGAGTTGGATAATGCTTCAGCTACGCTCTGAATAATGCGAGTGCTAGTACTAACAACTCATAACATTTGTGTACAAACAAATGCGCTCAAATATTTTTCTATATATGTCATCCATTAGAAAACGATGCTTAATGTTTTTCAGCCAGTGAATTTTAGGTTCTTAAATGAATTCTTTTTGAGAAAAATAATAATAATAAAAAAGCATTGCAGTATTCAAATAGTTTATTTAACCATATCTTATTTAACTACAATAAATACTACTTGTGAGACGCCAAACTTTGGTCTAATTGGAATTTTATTTCAAAATGAGATATTTTCAGTAACATTTCAACTTTTTTTATATAGAGCGCAAAATGGAAGCACTGTGATATTATATTGTGTAGTAAGAAGAACATTTGAATAAAAAAAAGAAAGTTAAAATTTTTGGGTGATTAAACATAAACAAAAATTCTATCCAGCCTTAACCTTTGGCCCTGTACTAGGGAGGCAGGATACTATGGACTATTTAAAAGCTACTAGTATAATATCTGAGGGGCCTTATTTGATTTTTATGAGCATTGCAATAGGTTAAAATGCAGTTCTTTTTAAGTATTATTTATTTATTTCAGAACGAAAACAACGTTCGATGCTCGCTGCACGGGCAAACAGCGTGTCATCACACAGCTCCCTGTCAAACAGCACAGGGCGGGTGAATGGAGCGAGCCCGGTGCCGCCCCTGCCCCCCGCGCCGGTCACACCCGCGCCCGTGCCTTCACCACTGTCGGTGCCGCAGACGAACAAATCTAATACGTTGTCGAGTGAGTTATTTTTTTACTTATTGAAAAGTCAGTACATACATATAATATAGCAAAAACAGTTATAAACAATAATAATTGCAAAAGTTAAGAAACTGTGTCGCAATTATTAACGCTCTCCACCAGCAAAATTACAGAAATAATATGTACATATTACAAACATTCAAAAACTAATCAAAAATAATAACATTTATAAAAACAAAAATATAGACAAACTTTTTAAAAGTAGTTATGTTGATGTCTTGCTCTCTTTATAATGGGTAGATAGAGACAGAGTATGTCTTGTTGTTGTCTCGCTCTCTCTGCCAAGGATAGATAGAGACAGCATACTAATCACATTCAACGAGTGAGTGTCAAATGTCATCGTCTCTCTCTTACATTTGCGAAATATTAGATGGCAACATTGTGATGTAATTTTTTTTTTAATTTTAAGAGAGAATTTAGTCACTAATAGAGAATTTATTCTTATTGAGAATTTATAATATTATATAGAGAGAATTTAGTCTAATGTTGACGCCGTATATTAAGAGTAAATAATAGTTTTTAAAGGTTTTTTTATTAAATCGTTGCGCTCGGACTAGAGTTATAAAGACATATGTATAGAGTTTCGTTCTACTAAATGAAGAATTATTTAAATATTTATTCGGGTCTAAGTAAAATTAATACGCTATGATCTCAGATCAGTAATCTTTAGAAAGTGTATGGAGAACATTTTTTTTACATACTTGATTTTCGCAGATTATTCTTTGAAGAGTTCCGGGAAGAAACCCAAACCTAAACTACGGAAGTTGACGAAAGCTGATATCGGTGTGCCGTTAGATTTCAAACATGTCCACCATCTGGGATGGGATGCGATCAAAGGTATTAGTGCCAGTATCATTGCCATTAAAATATTATGATAAAGCCTTAACCTGAGGTAATACATGCCTTATCTCTCTCATTTGGAACAATTTTGACGCTTGAATTTTAGTGTTGCGCAATATAGTGTTTCGGCGGCCTATTAAAATTGTACTATTTAATTGCCATTTTTGTATACGTATAGGTATTAAAAAACTCTTTGTGTAGGCATAAGATTATAAGATTGTCTATTTTTGACCAGGTTTCGATGTCACCAACGTGGACAATCTACCCGAAGACATAATGAAGCCGTTCCTCAGCAAAGCGGGCATCACGGAGAACCAGCTCCGAGACCAGGCGACGCGCGACTTCATATACGACTTCATCATATCGCACGGCGGCGCCGAGGCCGTCAAGGAAGAACTGCACGACACGAAACCCACTGGTTAGTTTGGATTTGTATTTAAATACTAGCGACTAATCCTCGCTTCGCTCGTGTTCGTCAGGTAATTTTTTGGACCCTTATTCTTTTTCTAAAATAAAAGTAGCCACGTTACTCCCTATAACATCAGCTATCTTCCGGTGAAAGTCCCATCAAAATCAGTCTAGCCGTTTCAGAGATTATCCGGAACAAACAGACAGACAAAAATTTTAAAAATTGTGTTTTTCTTATAAGTATCATATATAATTTCATATGCTAATAAAACGCTGTTATTTTGACACACAAAAGACAGTTTTTCTTAGATTTACGCGAATATTTGACGTTTTAAATAAAACTAGGTATATTTTCCTAGGTTTTTCATTTATTATTTTATTGTTATTGTTTTTTTGTTATAATTTCAGAGATCTCCCGCGGTCCGGCGCCGCCCGTGCCCGCGCGTGCGCCGCTCTCGCACCACCAGCCCGCGCCTCGTAAGCTATACACATCTATACATTAAATAAAATATTAAAAAAGCCAAATCTGTACATCAAATATTTTTTTAAATAATGATTGTTATTTGTTGTGTACAGAATATAGATAAGCAATAGTTATTGAAATTTTTGTCTGTTTGTCTGTTTGCATTTCACGCAAATAATACTGAACCGATTTTATCTAAATTTTGTGTAGTGATAAATTATAACTCGGGTCAACATTTAGGATACCTTTTACTACGGGAAAATTTTATATTCCCTGAGAAAACACAATAATTGGTTCTGTCGAATCGTCCTTAGAAATTTGCATGGCTAACATTAAACCTTAAACGATACATTAAAAAAATGTACTAGAAAATTGTAGGTCCTAAGAAGTCCGCAATGGCATATGTCTACCGCCTAAGATTCGCTCGTAATAACTATTTTTATCTATATAAAACTTAACTAGGGACGCACCCGAGTGATGCGAGCTAGTATTTACCTGTATCATCAACCTAGTGGCTAGCATACATAGCTGCTGTTTCCGTAGTTTCAGGTTCGAGTCACTTGACTGATCAAATATGGCTATAAATTGTATTGGATATTCTTTTATAATATTATTACGTAATTGGACATTTGAAAGTCAAGGCACTTTCGCTAGCCCATTTTTATTTCCGCCAAAGGAATATCGTCTCAGTATTTTATATGGATTTTCAAAAGAGAATTAATATTATTAGACTTATGGAATAAATACGCTTCATTTAATAAACAATACTAAAAAAATTATACAATTAAATTATTAATATTGATTTTTTTTAAAGATGTAAAAAGTATTGCATTTGCTACAATATGTGTATATAGCATTAAAAAAAAAGAAAAAAATGCACACATGATATGATCACCTCCTTTCTACGTCATTAGCGTCGCGCGCGCCGCCGCGGCCGCCCGCGCGCTCCGTGCCGCCGCCGCCGCCGCCGCCCGCCGCGCTCGCCGCGCCCTCCGCGCCCCGTAATCCGCCGCCGCCACGCCCCATGCAACGTAAGTGATATCCAACTGCTGTTAAATATATCTTTAATAGGGAGTATGCGTGTGATTTAAGATACAGGTGAAATGGTTTATTTTTTATAATCTTTATTGCATTAAAATAATTTACAATTTGATATTGTTACATTTGATATATTTACATTCAAATCTACAAAATGGACAGAACATTAACAAACAATTAATGTTAATGGAGCGAGAGACTTTATGAGTGAGAATGTCATATGCATAGAGGGTTAAGAAGTTTTTAGCACAGCTTAAAATATTCTCAGACTACAGAATTATATAGTCAGATCCCCCCAAAATAAATGTCAAAGTCAAAAATAGTAGCGTGATTTAATTCTATGCTACTATTCTCGATTTTGCCATACAGATCGTTTACTTTCTTTAAAGAACAAGGGTAATTTTTATATATGTGTCAGCTAAATTAATATATACATTTTTAAAAATATATAAATAATAGTTGTAAAACTATTATTTTGTATTTTAAGCGATAATAATCTTTAATTGGCATTTTTTTTCTTTATTATAATAAAATCCGTTAGCTATTCTTATTTATTAATATTTATTTGCTTATCACTCAGTTTACAAATTATCCCTGTATTAAAACATCGTTTGGCTACATTTTTATGTACTTCTGACACTCTGTCTATATTATTCCTTAGTCTGATTTAATGTATGTCAAAAATATGTAAAATTTATATGCATGTTGATTTTATTGAAAATTAAATTCAACTGATATTTATGTATAAATAAAAATGACTGATTTGATCTATCAAGGTCTTTCCATTTATTACTTAAAACTTAATTTTACTGTACCAGGTATACCTTTATTTTTACTTAACTCATTAACTGATTTATTAACACTAACGGTAGCCCCCTGTGGTAGTGAAATTATTTTTTTTAACTTACATTATATTTAAAAGATTGGAGTTTTCTTACCGATTTATTTTGGTTTCAAATGCTTAAAATCAAAAATGATCTCGTGACGTCACTCAGTGACTGTCCCGTTACGTTTCGTTTGCTGTAAACGTACTAATAACAAAATAATATTAAATTAACAAAAAAATTAACAATGGCTATTGAATCTCAGCTCCCTCAGCAGCGCCCCCGTCCATGCCGCCCCCGCCGCCGCCCACGTCGGCGCCGCCCCCGCCCCCACCGCCGCCGCCCGCCCACGCGCCGGCGCCGCCCGCCCCGCCGCCGCCGCCCATGCCTGCGGACGACGGCGCTCCGCCCGGCGACGCGAGGTCGGCGCTCATGGAGAGTATACGCAGCGGGAATAAGACGTTGAAGGTTAGTAAGGACAAGAAAAAATTACAAATAACCTTATTTGTTTTTTTTGTGCTGTCTGTGTTTGTGCATTGATCTGTCGATATTCTTATTATTAAATGTTTTATTAGACTTTTTTTAATTGAAAAATCCCATTAATCTATACTAATATTATATATGTGAAGTTTTTGAGTATGGATGTAGGGATGCTTGTTACTCTTACACGCCAGAACGGCTGAATGGATCTAGATGAAATTTGGCACAGAGATAGATTATAGTCTAGAATAGCTAATAGGTTACTTTTAACCCTGAAAAATGTATGGTTCACGAGATTTATTTTTGTTTTTCTTTCGCTGGTGGATTATGTTTTGTGTCGCAAATATATCTATATTCAGATTGATATTTCATAAGAAATTTTTAAGTAAATCTGGAGAGCGAAAAGTAATAAGAGCTTCATATATTCATGTATTTTTCCAGCATGTTGACGTCGGATCCAAGAATTCACTGAACGAAGATAACAGAAGCAATTTGCTTAGTGAAATACGACAAGGAATTAATTTGCGAGCCGTAAGTAGAATATAAACTCTAATAATTGTATAAATGGGAAAGAATGTTTGTTTGTTTTTTCAAACTGCTGAATCGATGAAACTTAAAAAGATGGCATCTGTCTTAAAGAGAAAGTTTATAATTATACAAATTTAAATAGACTTATAGATCTAATCTAAAAAACTAATAAAATAATATACACTCGTGAGCAAAAAAATCGACTCAGACGACACATCTGTAGTCGCAAGTCACTGAAAAAAAAAACTGAAAGCAAATATATTTTTTTCATAGTAAAATCTTAAAGCTGCTAGTATTAGCTTCAAAATGATATAAAATATTGTAAGGTTTATTGCTCACACAACCCAACAATATGTTGTGATCAGTAACCACCCTTTTTACGCTTGTTTACAATAGTGCTAATTAAGGGTTACTGACCCATATAAAAGGTTATCTACCTGACCCACCCTTATCAGTTAGCCGTCAAACGTCAACCGATACACATCTCCGTTATCAACAATCAAGAATTCTACCTGAAAATGGACACAACAAGCGATTTAGCAGTTCAAGCGATCACCCTATTGCGACAAGGCCAGAGTCAGCGTGAAGTGGCACGTGCACTGAACATGAGCCAGTCTGCTGTTTCCAGAGTTTACCGTCGTTACCAGGAGACTGGTGGCTTTAATCGAAGACGCGATTCCGGTAGAAAAAGGTGCACATCAGAGAGAGATGACCGATTTATTGTCAGCACATCGTTAAGAAATCGGCCCCTCACTGGCGTTCAAGTCCAACAAGAGCTCAGAGAAACGCGAGGAGTAGCTGTGAGTGGCTGGACAGTCAGAAGACGACTTAAGGCAGCTAGGCTTGAGCCAAAAAGGCCAGCTACTGGCCCCAAATTAACCTCAGACCACCGAGCAGCCCGCCTACGTTTTGCTAGAGAACATGTTGATTGGACTGGCGAACAATGGAGCATCGTTCTCTTCTCAGACGAAAGTAGAGTGTGCTTGCATGGTAGTGATAGAAGAGGACGAGTCTACAGAAGACCTGGGGAAAGATTCGTGCAGTGCTGTATCAAAGAAAATGTTGCTTTTGGAGGAGGTTCCTGGATGGTGTGGGCCGGCATTTCAAGCGAGGCAAAAACCGAGTTGGTTTTTATTGAAACTAGCGGTCGAATGAGATCCGATACATCGAAGAGATTTTAGAGGATCACGTCGTTCCCTACGCTGGTTTCATTGGCGAAAACTTCGTCTTAATGCACGACAATGCCCGTCCACATACTGCAAGTTCCGTCCGGCAGTATTTACAGGAGGTCGCAATTTTTTGACGAATTTTACGTGGTATTTTCTTTACCGTCAACCATCACTTTTTTTATTGCTTAAGACTCCATCTCATTCAATATTTTTTCTTTACCAGAAAACATTTTTTAATAACAACATAGACCACTCATTTTAAAGCTAAAACAAAGAACTTTGAGGTGTTAAAATCAGAAATATAATAAATGCTTCCGATTTTATGCTAGAGCTTTTTAAACGCAAGCGTGCGTCCTGAGTCGATTTTTTTGCTCACGAGAGTATATTAAAACTGTAAAATAAAAATATAAAATACTATAAAAACTAATCTTTATATAAATGAATACATAAATTTCCACAACCAAATTACAGGTGCGTCGTTCAAGCAGCTCGGGCGGTGACGAGGCCCCCGGGCCCGAGGTGCACGGCCTCGCCGGCGCCCTAGCAAAGGCCCTCCGGGAGCGTGCTCGAGCCATACAGTCCTCCTCCGAGTCGGAAGACAGTGACAATGAAGCTAGCGATTTCGAGTGGGACTAGCGAGAGTGAAACAACCATAACGAGCGAGAATGTGTATCATCAATTTTATAAAATTAAAATGTATTCTAATCACGAAACGAGAGTGTGGATAATTCATATCGATTATTATGAAACTGAAACAATAATTGAATATAAATTAATAATCTGCATTGTTTCCTGTTTAAAACTTTTTACTCTTATGTGTCTTATGTGTCCGCCAACCCGCACTTGGCCAGCGTGGTGGACTATGGCCTGATTCCCCTCGTGCCGAAGGGAGGCCTGTGCCCAGCAGTGGGACGTTAAAACGGGCTGAATACATACATACAATACTCTTATGTGATGTAATATTTAACTGATTTGGCAAATTTATTACAATTTTTTTTTAATTGTAACAAATTCTTTACAAAAAAGAATTGATTTGGGTTATTCACGCTCACTTGGCCTATACGCTAATGAACAATTTGTTCGAAACATTTAATCAACTCTAGGAAAATGTGAAGTGAACTATTAGAAAAATAAGTAAAGGACAAAAAATCATTTCACTCTAAATATATTAGAAATTCACGAATTATATATCGTTTCTGATATATCTAGAGAAGTAAACAAAAGTATGTGCCTATTAGCTGTTAACTTAATAATCATTCATCTCATATGAGTATTACACTTAATATTATTAATTTTTTTTCTCTTATATTTTTAATTATGACCAGACATCGGACATCGGAGAGATTTTTTTAATTACATTATTAATATAATTGTTAAAATATATTTATAATCTATGGATGAACCCAGAAATATAAATCAAATTTTTTTAACAATTATTCAGTCTGTTCGAACAGTGTTTCATTATTTAATTAATTTATTCTGATATCAAATATCATGTGGACTTAAAAAGCGATATGTTTTAATTTTGAATATAAAAACTAATCGTTAAAAGTTTTTTCTCTTGATGCGATGTATAATTTTGTATTCCGCATGCCGATGTCTAGTCAAATATATGCTCTCAAAAAATACTTAATAATAGTTGTTTCAGTAGTACTTATAAATAATAGTCAGAAATATTTTCATTAAATTTAAATAAAAAAACATGAGATCGTTTGATCAGAAATCGAAAATTTTTAAAAGACTTTTTGGATTTTATAAAATAATTTCGACACCAAATAATTTACGACTCGAAAATTTTTACCGACATATTTTTTAGCTCGTTTCTGCTCTAAGCATCGATTTTTTGTATACATCATCACAACTCGATTCTATATCGATATCGTTCAACATCAATAGACGTTTGAAGTATAATATGTTGCCAGCCCTGGCCATGTTACCTCACCTTACACGTTAACTATTGTTGATTCTGTATTACACTTCTAAAGTTTTCACAGATTATTTAAATATTATCTTTAGTATATTTTTAAGTATAATTTTTCAAAGCCGGTTCCAGACGTGTGTCTTAGTTTGAGCACTTATAACAGCACAGTTCGATTCGATTTTTTCGCGATGACATATATTTGTTCATATATAGCGTATAGACTATTGTAGTATGGAGAGGGTGAAAACATTACGGTGCATACATATATTCGCATATATATTTCTACAGCGAGTATTTTACGGTGCCTGAATAAGAAATTTACTTATGATATTATAATATCAGATTTTCACTGCGTTTGGTACGCCATCACCCGGAGTACGCACAATGGGTCGGTTTGTTAAAAAAAAAGCTGTCATTTGCTCGTGTTTTTTTTTTAAATAATGTGTACAAATATTTGCGCACACGTCTGGTATTGGTTTTAGTAACACTTTTTAATTATTATTAATACTTTTAAATAATAAATTCTTTGACATTATCAGTCTTGTGTATGTGTACATAATCGTCAGTAATAATATTGACTTAATTCAATTAATCTTGTATACTTATTATTAAGGGGCGCAGTTATTCAATGTTTCCGAAAGTCGAACTGACAGCTTGGCTGTACATTGGATCGGTTTAACCATCGACTAAAAAAGTACTGGATACACAATCAGCGACAAAAATTATCCTCACCGAATGAGCGCTCATGTGTTTTTTGTGAAAACGACTTTAAGTATTGCATTTAAGGTTCAATTTACATTGTTGTATATTTATTTCAACTATAATAATTACCTAAACACAAGTGGTGACAGTTTTAAGAGAACTTTTGCATGGGATTGTGTTATAGTACTTTTTTGATTTATGGAAACTTTATAATCTTAGAATTAGTAATCAATACTGATCAGAAATGATCAATTATTTAGTAGAATTACGTTATGTCTAAATAATGTTGTGATAATTAATATAGACAGTTGTTGAAAACTTACATAACTTTAGCTTACAACGATTTTGATGATATTTTTTCTGCTAATTTAATTTTATATATTCCATTTTATTAATTATAATCGCTTGTTTAAAGTAATTGCTATTAAAACACGTAAAAGCACCAACAGAGCTAAGAAAATCAATAATTCCGGGAACTTTTAACTTATGAATATTTGTTTCTATATAAGTTGTGCCAATATTTTGTTTTATAATTTATAAATATCTTATAAGTACATTTATGTTGGGAAAGCTTCATAATAATTAGCACGTATCTTTATTATGCACGTATTTATTTATCGTACGTATTTAATATACAAATATGTTGTAAAAAGCAGTTAGTTTTTAAGCTTTTGGACGCTGGACAGTCAACTGTATGTATATATTTTGCGCAAACCTTAAATACGCTTGAAGTTAGTAACAAGCTAATCTGCATGACATCATTAATATTTGAGGTTGTATCATTATATTGGATTGTATATAAAAGTATTAAGAACTAATTAAAAATTAATATAAAAAATGGAGCAGTAAAAATTTTGCACTCGATATTTTGTATCTTGCTATTTCCAAAGGCTTACTTTTTCTTAACCTTCTCTCAAGCGAATTTGAGCTTTGCGCAAACTGTAACTTTACCGTATCTTTCTTTCTTTAATTATTATTTTTAATTAGATTCATGGCGTATTGTGCTTTTTAGCTTCCTTTTTACTTTGTGATGCAATTTAAACAATGAATTTCAATTTTCTTATCCATTTCATATTTGGATACTTTTTTGTAATAGACAGCGACTGTCCATACAAAATTTAAAAGATAAAACATTACAGCACTACAAGAGTCAAGTTTTTTTAAGCATTAATTAATTTCCCGATTGCACAAATTATTTTCGAACGCTTTCAAATAAGAACCACCGCATCGTGCAGAATCTTGTCTTCGGTAGAACCATAGTTGTTTAACCAAATGTTGTATGAACTATGAAGGTACTTGCTGTATGAATTCTCTAAATTTGCATTAATATCGAAAACATATGTATACCTCGCCATCAGCACAAAAATGATCTAACTCGTTCTTCTGTTATTTTGAAATTAATATTTTTTCTTACGAAGTTTAATTACACGAGACATTTTTAAATATATAAAATTAATCATTTCTTTGATTTTATATGCATGTGAAGATATTTTGTTTATTAATAATTTATTTAAGAAAAAAAACAAGTTTGGCATTTTTGCGCTGACAGCTTTCGATGAATAAATTAAAAAAAATAAACCAATCGAAAGATGAGAATCTGCAATATATAGTGGCAGTGAGATCATTTGCTTTGCTCGTACTTTATAATGCAATAATAAAACGTTAAGTGTAGCATTTAACTTAATATGTAAAAACGCAAAGCTATTTTTATAATATTGTAACAAAGTTTTGTATTGTTCGTGACGTGCGGGGCGCCTTGTGACTAACAGGTAATGATACCGTTTATATCGACTGTAAACACTGTGTTGACTAAATAAATAATTATTACTTTTATCTCCAAGGTTTTTATTAAACGATACTCGTTTTAGAAACTTCTTTTCCTACTCGTCCATTTATTTCATAACATTTTAAACTCTTTTCAGATAGTATTATTTTTTTGAAGTGAAACTTCTTTGCATCGATAGAGTAAAATTTCAAGGTCGCGTCACGAAAAACCGTCACGGTTGCCATAGTAACCGTTTGCATTAGGTTGTCATAGTAACCGCTGTTGTTGTCTTGAAAAATGATTTAAATGATATTCATTCCGTTGCTATCTTCAAAGATTACTGTTTTTACTAATTTGTTTTCTAAAATGCCTGTATATTTGACTAGCGGCTCACACTCGCTTTGCTCGGGTTCGTCCCCTAGAGTATATGCGATAGATGTAAGAATCGAGCTAGACAGATATTAAAAAGAGCTAAAATATTATTCTCTCATCTTTGTGTGATATTCGTTTGAATCATATTTTTGTGTGTAATATTTTCACTTCTAACACGTTTCCATAGAAACGTGATTTTTATTTTTTGTATGTATCAGAAACGGTAGGTAAAACTAAGTAATAATCTGTAAGAAAAGTCAATGTTAATAACACAAAATTAAAGACATAGCATATTTTAATTATTCACTAGATATTATTTTCAATGACATTTTGGAACAATTGTTATAAAATAGTACGTCTGCTACTTATTTGTATCAAACACTGACTGCAGCAGTTTGAACTTATTTTGTACTATCACAAAATAAAAATACTTACAAATTATACAACATAACTAGAATTATATTATCAATACATTTAACATGATTCTTATAGTAAACCCAAGTGAAATGTCATCAATGACTAAAGTAGGGTTGACAAAAAAAAATCTACTTTTACTAAAGTCTGTAACAACTATATAATGCCTTAGAGACATCTAAAACCCTACTCTTTCCCGTGACCATGACTGCTGTAAAGCATTCGAAACGTCGGCAACCAAAAACCAAAATAAATCCTCGAAAAAATCTAAAAAGATAGTTTTATTTATAATGCCAAATATTCGCGTAAAGCTAAGAAAGTATTAAATTTTCTTGTTTTTTCTATTGAGATTCTATTGATATTTGTTTCAATCATACTTTATTCAAAAACAGGTGTTAAGTAAAATTATCTTAACGACAGATAAGTTGGTCTTAAAATATCAAATTGGACGTAATTAAAAAATGTAGAAAAATTGTTATACAAATGATTATCAAATCAATCTTTAAGCTTGCAAGTAATTTGCAAAAAGCACTCACACACACGTAATTAATGAAAAAAATGATGGTCATTTTTTTTAATATTAAAAAAAACCAGTACCTGATAGGTGCAGATCCTACATACACATAAAAAATAACCCTAAATTCAGTATTCTACTTATTTTGAAGTCGGTTAAAAATAGCCATATAGATAAAATCCCTTTTGTCGTGTTACGTCCAATTTATAGTCGTCTCTATAAGCCACATAGAAACCAATAACTTATTTATTAGTTTCTATGTGGCTTTTGTCGCTTTTGATGAGATCCTATTGGAGTTTTTCAACAGGGATGGCCGATCGGGGGTATATATTATTACTATTACTAGAAGAATCATATAAAAATCTTACAATTTTGACTCCATCCAAACCACACACAGTATATCTGGTCTCTAACATTAATACTTAAACACTTATATAGTTCAAGTAATTTATATGAAATATTTTTATTACTATAAAAATATAATGGTACATTTACAATATGGCAGCATTATAGCCGGTGAGATATCTATTATTTACACATGATTATCGAAACGTTGAACAAAATAGTATAATAACAAATAAGAATGATGGAACAGTAATAAAACATGGTACTCTCTTTGGCCTCCCATCTACTACATAGGATTTAAATAAAAAAAAACGTGTGTGTGTACTTATGTACGCACGTAAGAAGTTATACTTCTTTGGCGTAACAGAACAAAAATAGCTAAAGATATCATCCGTATGTCACAGCTCTCTGTTTGTAAAAGGAATGTAGGCTAACTTCATCATGTCGCTTTTTAGCTGTTGGTGTGCGCGCGCATCGTAAAAAAATTACCCTCATAATCCTTTCCAAACGTGCCATATGAAGTATAACTTCAAAAAAAAAAGTTATTCTGTTACATTATAACAACAATATCCCTTTTTATTTCATAAACATAATTAAAACTCACGATTCTTTTGAACGGTTTGGTATTTGAATATTTATATTATAATAATAAATAAATACTCATGCCAAGAATAAATCATGCAGAATTATATGTTTTTCTAATTATAATCAATAATTATATAAAAGTTAGAGTTTGTTTGTTTGAACGCGCTAATCTCTGAAACTTCCAGTTCGATTTCAATTTTATTTTTCTTATAGCCTAATTATTCATGTACTAATTCACGTACTAACATCATACTCACGGAGTTGTACATAGATAAACAACGCGAGCAGAGACGCGGGTAAACGCTAGTAATTATATATAAATAAATTTCTTTAACAAATTGTTCGTGATTACAAATAGCTACCTAATATTGATTGTATACGGTCATCAGCACGACACCAAAGCCCAAACCATGAAGAATATAGACAAGGAGTCCAGTCTCCAAAAGATCTCATATTAGAAACCGTCCGCAAAATTTTTTTAGAGGTATAGTTCCAGAAACCGCCACGGGACGCGCTGATTCGCGTGAATTTAGCTATACATCAGTAGCGCGAACTTAATGATAAATAAATCATAATTGAAAAATGAATTTCCCACTCCCTCTTGCCCCCTTGCCACTTCCCACATAGCGACCACAGACCGCTCTCTACGCGCCCACTATTATTTTTTTCAAATGGGACAACTTTTACAGACATAGGACTCCTTGTTTATATTCTTCATGGCTCAAACTAACGATCATTACAAAAATACTTTTACTGTTAAATTATATTGAATAATTGAATAAAGATCCAAATGTTATATACATTTTTTGAATGCAAGTGGAGCCGCGGGTAAAAACTACTTATAATATAACAACATTTTTCAAAATACCATTTATGATCGATCTTTAGATAGAAAGAAACTATTAAAATAACATATCATATACATAGTCGGTTAAATATGTAACCGAATATAATATTAAGTAAATGCGGGGGCGGATTGAGAATTTTGGGGGCCCGGGCTAACATACTTTTGGGGGCCAAAGCTAATTTTGTCTTTATAAAATCTATAATGATAGATATAGTACTAGAAGGAAAATTAAGAATAACGCTAATTTTTGGTTCTTAATTGTTCTTAGTGTATTGTAGGCAACCTTTCATGGACTTATTTTTTTTTCATCATTTTTAATTTTATAAATTCACGATATTATCAATTATTCTCAACAGGGGGGCTCTTGTATCTTAGGGCCCCTGTGCTGCAGCCGAAAAAGTCTATATATATGTATGTAGATCCACCCCTGAGTAAATGCAATATAACTAACACTGTACAATGTACAAATACACAGGGAAATATATTATTAAAAGACAATACAGTCATGATTTTTCTATTCAACTACTGTTAGAACCATTTTATTTTATACTACATATATTCACATTCTAAAACATTGAAAAAAGTCATTGATCAACATGTACTTCTCTAAATGGCTGCAATCTCTCAAAACTACAAAATATGGAATAAAAGTTGCTACCATAGATTATATAAAATTATATAATTATACAACTTCATATCCACAAAACAGCCATTTAAAAATATCTGTATAATTATTAATAAATTTTATTCTTAATAAATGTATAAAAACATGCTGACAGCATTTTTTTTTCCAACCAACTATACCTGCTGAGTGCTTAATCTATGCTAACCTATTATCAGACCAATAACCATAAATCGTTAGTTTATTTTTAATCTTCTATAGTTATAACAGTCATAGTGTCCTGAAATCCTACGGAGTCCTCGTCATCTGTAAGAATAACCACATTATCACTAACAATACTATGATTATCATTTTTAGTTTTACACTTAACATCTTCCTTCTTCTTATATAACGAAAGCACATCAGATATGATCGGAGTGTGGACCATCTCATGAAGTTGCCCTTCCTCTATATCGATGGAATTCTGGCTGTTTTCATCTTGCGAAACAATTTCTGGTTTCTTTATTACAGAATTTTCCTTCGTAGGAATTGACCTTTCTTCTTCTTCCCGAGTCTCTTCTTCATGACCGTAATATTTCTCATCATCCTTTTCATCTTTCGGGACATATGTATTAATTAGATCAGGTAAATTTGCGTCAGAAACAAACACTTTGGATGGGTCCGAGTCCTCCTTGTCACATTTATGCTGAGAAAAGACTTTGAAAGACGTAAAATATTTGAAACACTGTTGACACTGATTTTGCAAATGTGCTCGATAGTGATTGTGTAAATTGGGGAAGTTGTCATGACACACGACGCACTTTTCAGGCATCACCGTTGCTCTGTAATGCAGCTTATGGGACGACTTGTGCACTTGTTTCATGTGCTTTATAAATGGCCCGTATTTCACAAACTGCTCTCCACATTTTCTACATTTAATAGGCTTTTTCTTATACTTCCTACTTCGGTGTGAGAAAGCGTGAATGTTGAAAGCGTCAATAGTCTTGAATTTAAGCAGGCAGAATCTACAAGATATGGACCCAGACCCACGATGGATTTGGTCATGTTTTCGTTTTGAATTCTTCTTTGTGACTGGTTTAAAGCAGAAACTACATTCTTCGTAAACTTGTCGAACACCGTCATTGTTAAGTTCAGCAACTTCTTCGTCGCTCTCTATTGTGCAAAGATGATTGTCCAAGTCCAACCGTGAAAAGAAGTACTCGCCACATTTTTTGCATCTATTTTCTTCATGATAAGCCAAGTGTTTGTGAAGGTTGAAGAAAGTTTTATTGCAAATGTTGCATTTTTCCTCAATGGATTCTTTAGGAAGAACGACCCATTCTTTATCGTCCCCGTGAACGTCTCGCATGTGGTAGATCATTTCTCTAAACGCGACAAACTTTTCGTCGCAGTGTTCACATTTGGTGGGTTCGTCCACATTTAATTGTGTGAAATGATGATTTTTGTGTTTCCTATATAACGTCATAGTATTAAATTTCCTATTGCAATAAATGCATCCAAAGTAACCGATGGTGCGATGATAGATTTTGTGATTAGTTAGCGCGTATTCATTTTCGAAAACTCTAAAACAATAATCACACACCAGCTCCTTTTTCCCTTCCGACGCTTCCTTAAAAACTTTTATACCGTGTTGAGTGCGCAAGTGACAATCTAACTTCACTTGTAAATGGAAAGCTTTGTAACAAATATGGCACTTCACTTTTCTCGGATATATCTCCGTATCACCGATGAGTTTCTTTTTATCACAACTGAAGGCTAAATGTCCTTCTAAGAAGCGCAACGAGCTGAAGTAATCAAAGCAGTAATTACATCGTAGGGAATTGTGGTAGTCTATATGTCTCTCAAAGTTTCCTTTGCTGGCCAACACTTTGTAACATATAGAGCACTGAAGTTCTTTCAAAGGCCCATCTAACGTCTGCGCGCCGCGCTCTGCAATCCACGTCTCATTAATCCCGTGGGCATCCCGTAAATGGTAATGTAAGTCGTATCCTCTCATGAATTTTTCATCACACTGAGAACATTTAAGCGGGTCATCGATATATTTCTGTGTGAGATGACCTTTTATATGTACTCTGTGGTTCTTTAGCGAAATTGTCTTCTTGCCACAGAATTTACACTTGAAAAACTCAGGTTTGCGCAGATGAGCTTCTTCATGGTACTGCAGCCTCCGTTCATCAAGGAACACTTTGGCACACAATTTGCAGGAATAATAGTTAGGAGCGGGCGCATCGGGATCCTCTTTAATCATTTTACTTTCGGGATGAGTGCGTCGGAGATGACGAATAAGTTTCACCAGGTCCGGATAGAAACGAGCACATATTGGACACTTCACTTTATTTTTTCGCAACTTCTCTATCCTTTTCTTATGGGACTGATGATCGAAATTATGACCTTTGACGTGTCTCTTGAAGTAATCTTCGACTATATACCCTTTGCCGCATATATGACATTTAAAAGGTCCATTGTCATCTTCAAAATGTGTCCGCGTGTGTAGCTCCAGCCGTCTCTTGTTGGTAAATTGCAAGTTACATATATCACACTCGTGTCTATTACCATATAACGACGTTTTAGAGTTATGCCAAATAATATGGTGTTTAAGGGAATTTTCTGAATCGCAGACCTTCCCGCAATGATGGCAAGTGTGGGTTCCGTCAAACTTGTTTTTGTCTACAGAGTTCGGTAGGACGTAGCCAACGATAGAATTGACGCTTTCACCTCGCTTGTAGTGGATTGCCATGTGGGAGAGATACACTTTTCTATGTTGGAACACTCTTTTGCAGATTGAGCACTCGTAGTCTTTGTTCTGGAATCGGATTTGCTTGTGATAGTTCATATGCGCTTGCGCAGCGCGAAGATGCTTGCTTTTTCTGTTGCAAATGGAGCAAGTGAGGTATTTTGGATCGAGGTTAGTGTCGGTGTAGTGCACGCGCATGTGTGCCTTGTAATGGCATTGAAACCGGAATGTCTGAAATAAAAACAAAGATAAAATTAAAAATAGTCATAAACTGCTTCCATTTTTATTAGCGTCTCCTTTTTTTTTAATTTTAATATGGCACAAATTCTATATAAAATTGAAAAATATAAATACCTCTTTACAAACAAAGCATTCCAACTTCTTCTCCATACTCTTGCCAACGTGGTTGTGCCAATTGACATGTTGTTTTAGAGATCTCAAAGTGGGCATTTGTTTGCTGCAGATGGTACACGTGAAGCCGCTCAGGTTGACTAATGGCATGCCGTTTTCGGCGGAATCCTCAAAGCCGTTGTGACTCTGGACACTGTCCAGGGGTTCCGCCTTCGTCACAACGACCTCACAAAAATCCGCCAAGTCAGTCGCCGCCGTTATAGGCGGTTGCTTTAACCGATGCACAAACTTTATATGATTTGCCAAAGCACTACAACTTTTGAACTGCTGCCCGCACTCAATACACGTGTATAAGTTTCTTGGTTTTACATTGACTGATATATGTGTTTGATTGTGCTCGTTGATCGCGCTCACTTTCATTTCTATATCGCATATCAGACAGCGTACCGAACAATCTTTTAGGTTAATTTTAGCTCTTTTTGTACCAGATGTCATGTTATGTTTTGTCCTTTTGTGTTGCAAAAGTAGTCTCTTGTAGGAGAATTGCTTCTCACATATGTCACAAGTGTTATCATCCTCCCCGTCGTCCTGACTTGACTCGGAATCATACTGATTGTAAGTATCGTTAGTTTCGTTTAAAAGATCTGTTGAGATGTCTTTATCTGGAACTTCGTTTTTTATACCTTGTGTATGATGTTTTATTTCGTGAGACACTAGAGATTTTCGGTATTTAAATGTTTTAACACAAAATTTGCATTTTAGCGGCCCGCTTGAGACGTTCCCACTGTACTCTGACGAATGTATTGACGCTGAATCCTCCATTGTACTTGCCCTAAAAGAGAGAAATGTTGATGATTTACATAATTATTTCCAATTATCTATATATTTTTAATCAAAAATCCTGTTCTTCTCTTGTTACCGATAAGATTGTAAAAACTTTTCTAATAATAATTGAGGCTTCGATTATTAACATTGGATTTACCTTGAATTTTCTCGACATTGATATCATTTTGTATTTTTTCAGATTAAGAAAAAGGAATGATGAGGCTTCAACATCAAAAAGACGAGCGAAAATAAACGATTCACCTAAAATAATGTATATTGAGTGCAGACATAAAATTCCACGAAAGATTAAAAATGCAATTTTAATCAGTTAATTATTCTTTCCTTGTTACGCCTTAAATTAGATACTTATTCCTCAAAATTATGCAAATATTTGTTTAAGATTATTCTATTAAAAGATTACGATTTGTTTTTTTTTAATTCAAAAAGTCATATCTTTGAAAAGATAAACATAAACTCTGAAAATTTCAGGGTCTCTTAAAAATAGATAGAGGTAGTCTACAAAAAAATTGAGCCAAAAAAAACATATTTAGGCTTTAGATTTATTCAATTATGAAAATTTCTAAATTTTGCAATATTTTTTGTAACCCCAAATATCATCTTTAATTTGAACCGGTCGATTTTTGTAGCTATAATAGTTATCGAGAAAATTAAAATTCTTATTTTCGATGGTTGGTTGATGAAAGAAAACTACTGACCAAATTTTATCCAAATCGGAAATGGTCGATTCCAACTATCATTCGAAGCCTTAGCATTGTATAAAAACATTTTGATTGAGAAGTTTAAATACTTACCGGGATTCTTCATCACCACCATCGTCTGCGTCATCCATATTAGACATATGAGCTGCTAGATGAGTGATTAATAAGGCTTGACTAGGTAATTTCTTATTACACATGCGACATTGAAAATTGTTCGATTTAACAGCTTCAGGTACAGATTTAGTTGAGGCTAGCGGAAAAAAATGAGCTTTGAGATGTAAAACGTAGCATCCTTTCTTGGTCACCACTTTGCTGCAAACTGGACATTCGAATGTGACGGCGTTATTTTTTTGAGGGCAGATGTTAAAATGTGCGCTGTGAATGTAATAATCTTCGAAAGGCTGGCCACAATAAAAGCATGGAACGCAAATTTTGCCATTTTCGGATTGAGGCGTTGGATCTTCCTTTTTAAGAACTGCCGCATGAACGACTCTCATATGTTTCTCCAAGTTTTCGATAGTTTTAAACTTTGTTGAGCACATCGGGCAATCTATCTTAACTGTCGTTTGCACCGCGTCGATCGGTTCTAAGGAGACCATGAGCTCCTTTCTGGGTGATATGGGCGAAATTGACTTCGAGCAGATGTCGTTATGGCGTTTGAGCATTATTTTCAATTTGAACTCTTTTCCACATTTGTCACAGCTAAGTTTATCATCAGAGTCGGTGGCATCTTTAATTTCCGGCGGTGGCGTCTCTACTGGGACAGGTTTTTGGGCATTTCTGCGTCTATGACACTTTACGTGTGCCGATAAGCTTTGAATTTTTCTAAATGCCTTGCCACATTCCATACACTTGTGTTGCGAGGGTTCGTCAGAATCTGTTTCAGCAGAATAAAACGATCCACTGTTGTCTTCATAATCGGAATCAGAATTTAAGGCAATTCTTGGTTTCTTCTGACTCAAACGTAATTCATCAACGCGCTTGGAGCTCCCTGGTTGGTAATCATGGGAATGACTGCTCAAGGATACATTATCAATACTGTCTCGACTACGTTTTCGTGTTCTGGTCACGGGAGTTACTTTAGTCTCAAAAGATGGTGAGGGTTTAGATACTTCTGTATGGGTTGAAAATGCGGAGTCACTACTTTGTCTATTTGGTGGTGTGGGTGAATTAAAACCTGTTAATAAAGATTTTGAAAACATTATACAATCAAAACTTGTAAAGTTTGAAACATTCAGTGAAAAAGTTGCAAGTGAGTTTTGTGGTACTTGAACCTACCTGGTGGTGGCACATAATTGCGCCGCAGTTCTTGATCAGATCGTTCACATTGTTGTTTGAATATATGAGCGCTACTTAGTTTCTGAACGCATTCACTGCAAATTTTATCTGGAAGTCCGTCACCTTCACATATCTAATAGGAGAGCAATTAAAAAACATATCATTTAAAAAGAAACTTGCAGTTAAAAATTTGAAAGTTTGATAAGAATGAAAAAAAAGAAAATCTTAAGTTACTTAATGAAATTATCTACATGTGGTTGCCTATGTGGCTCTCACAATAATTGTTGATGAAAAATGTTTGACATAAGAAATATAAGTACATTTATTAACATACTTTATTTTTAAATTAATCTATTTATTTCCAAAGAACATCAAAATTGTAATATGCAAAAGTGGCAGTGATAATACTAAAAACTTTTATCGCAAATGAAAAAACAAAAATATTCATGGTGTAATGCACATCCATATTAACACACAATATTAATAACATCATTTGTTTTAGGAAACCAATAGAAACAAAAGATGAAATTAATAATTTATATTTACATATAGATAACACAATTATTTTGCTAAATCTGTTATTTAGCTAAGCTTATTTTAAATTAAAATCAGATATTCTAAAGAAAGCTAAGCTCAAAGTATACTTTTAAAACCAAATAAATAAATAATCTAAAAACAAATGCAACCCTATTGTTAATAACAATAAGTATGGCTGATGAAAATTGTAAAGACAATTCAATAAAATTATAAGTCAGCCAATCATTAATTTTTAACAAAGCAAGATAAAAATTGGATATGTTACATTCATTTATACCTAGGTACATGGTTATCATTGATGTAACTTAAATTTAGAGTTTGAATTTTGAATTCGATAATAATAGCAAACTGCTTTATTGTGCTATCACATCTTATTAATTTTGTAATCATTTAAATTGAGCAATACATGATGAATAAACAAATTGTGAAAATACATGAATGTCCTAATTTGTTTATATGGAGTTGTTGTTCTCTATGAGATTTGATAGGAATAATAAAAAATTTAATAATTGAAGTTGCTTCCTTGAAAATGACAAATATAAACTTGACAAAAGTAATTATGATAACAGATATAAATCACATAAGTGAAATGCCGAGCTAGATGCTGATGTAAAATTTGTAAATTTTGATAAAATTGACAATTGTCGATCATATGCAGAAAAATCAGGAAATAATAATGTAAAAAAATTTAATGATAACAAAAAGCATGAGAGCACAAGTCATTTTGCAATTAAAAACGGATCGACGTTTCACTGTTCACATTAAAATTGATCTTCGGTTTCATGTTTCGTTCGTAGAATTTAAGTTATTTACTTACTTTTACTCGGGCGCATTCCATAACCATTTCAGCGAGTTGTAAGTTGTTGTCCACCGTAAAGATGGAATAGAAGTCGCCAAGTTTGAGGCAAAGCCTGCATTTTCCAAGCTTGAGAGCCATATTGATTTGCTCACAAAAACCTTCATTTCACTCCATGATCACATCTGTTAAATGACGCGGTATTATAGCATCAATGAAATCATTTATCAGCAAGTTGCAATCGATTGTTTAATATTCTACATCGTTAACGAAGAAATTATCACTCATATCAAACAATATACGAAAACAAAAATGGTACCTCAGAACCGGCATTCTCCAATCTCCATTAGCAAAATGATCAAAGGAACAGACTATCAGTGTTGCTTACACAATACACATAATATAAAATTGAATAGAACGATACGAAATGAAAAGAAAATTGTTTAAAAAAAATATTTGATTTTATCGACATACATAGCAAATAAAGATATTTTGAATTTCTTACCCGTAAATGTTAATATTTTTATTATAAATTTATTTTCAATTGACACTTGACAGAGGTATTTTTGCACCTTGTATTGACATCTAGTATTGATTGTTGATACTTGATTATTTTGATAATTGATAGTAGATATCAACATTATTGACCGAATTCGTGTTATTAAATAAAATTATTCATTTATCCATATTGCATTAGGTAATAGAAATTAGAAAATTGCTCTATGAGTAACGTTATCATATAAATAATATTGAGAAAAATGTACACTGTAACGGGAGCTAATTTATTTGGTCAATGGTTCTCTTCGTCAGAAGATGTTAGCGTATTTGAAAAATTTGAACCTATATCTCTTGACAATGAACATAATTTCGATTTAAAAAGAGCAAAATTTATTACTAGTTGCTGGGCTTATAATATATTTGAAATTGATGACACTTTTTTTATTGTGGGAGCCTGGAACGGAAAAGATAATCAGCTTATTCGAGCACCGAAACTTGACGAGCAGAAACATAATTCCAAACATTCCAATTTTCTAATTGCGGGCAATGACTACATTTTGGTTTTTGTAGAGAAAATAACAAGATCTGTTTGGTTTTATGATTTAGAATCAGCAGATTATAAGAAAGTTAATTTTATAGAGGAACCTATAGAAGAAAATGCTGTAAAAAAATTAAGAGCAACTGATGATATTATAAAAGTGGCAGTCACAAATAATACCTTTATCTATTTATCTTCTGAGGGCAATGTCTATACAGGACAGTTACCCAGTTACTTAGATACTACTCACTGTGTAGGAAAAGTATGTGATGTTGAATGTGGTTATGAACACTATATGTTGATCACTGATGAAGGCAGAGTATACACTTGGGGGAATGGAAGGTAAATGAATATATTTAAAATTATATTAAGACTAATAATTTGATTTTTATAATTATAAATATATTGTTTTTTTAGGAGACTACAACTTGGTCATGGTGACTTAACCAATATGGATGAGCCAACTGAAGTGGAGGCTTTATCTGGAATTAGAATTGTAAAAATTAAAGCAGGAGGTTGGCATTCTCTAGCATTGAGTGAACATGGTGACTTATATGCTTGGGGTTGGAATGATACTGGCCAGTTAGGCATGAATGTAAATAAAAATAATGAGGAAGATGTAGCTCAGAAAAATTATACTATACCTACATTGGTTGATATTTATGATGAAAATGGTGTAGAGGTTGAGCTCAATATAAAAGATATAGCTGGTGGTTCAAGGCATTCAGCTTTGTTACTTGAAGATAATACTGTTTGGACAACTGGATGTAATAAATATGGACAATTAGGGTTTTCTCCTCAAGAATTTGAAAAATTAGATTATTTTAAGAAATCTTTTTGCAATCCTAATATTAACCGTCTGTTTGCGGGCCCGTGGAATACAATTGTAGAAATAAAACACATATAAATTTTGTTAGAAATTAGTTCTATTAGTAATTATTATAAGATTAGATTAATTAAAATCAAATGCAGTTATCTTATTGTATCAAAAAATATACATGACCTGAAAATATTTGAGTTACCTTAAATAGTAACTTTTCTTTGTATTTTATGTTGCTACAATATTCAATATTAAATATACTATTTATTAAATAACATAATATACAATTTGCCTTGCCTTTTTTTATTGGTACATGAAAAAAGTATATGATATATGTACAAATTGTATATCACATACATGGGTGGCGGCAGAATTATTTCCGGGGTGGTGCATCTGCATCTTCACAATAAATGATTTATTTAATAATTTTTATTCGTATCTTATTTATCATCTTTCTTATGCAGATATATAAATTTTAACAGGGGTTTTACTAATGCAATTTTATTTCTTTAACTTTTTCTATATATTTTCCTTCATGGTAGGGGGTGCAAGTGCACCCCCTTGCACCCCCTCCTGGCGCTGATGCATAAATATATAAAAATAAATCATCTATAAAATTAATTATCGAAATAACAGCTTTTAACTAAATGCATATGAAATTATATATACGGTACTTATAAGAAAAACTCAATTTTTAACATTTTTGTCTGTCTATTTGTTGCGGCTAATCTCCGAAATGGCTTTACTGATTTTGACGGTACTTTCACTCGCATTTAGCCGTTGATGTTATAAGGAGTAACTTAGATTACTTTTATTTTAGAAAAAGAATTAGGGTTCTGCTAAAAAAATTAGGATGTACTTAGGGGGCGAACCCTAGCGAAGCAAGGGTGAGTCGTTTGTAGGCAATAAAAAACTAAGAACTAAGAAGTATATTGTAATGACGTTTATCCAAATTAGTATGCGATGAGAAATTGTTATTCTATTTTTTATTGAACATAATCCATTCTTAATAAAATGTGTTATAATTTTTTTTTTATGTTTGTATGTAGCTATGGTGTCATTGTGAAACCGGGTTCAAACGTCCGGGACTTGCACTGAAATCTTCATGTTCTGATCATTTTTAACATAAAATACCACTAGGCTTACAGTGAAGGATAACATCGTGAGAAAACCTGCATGTCTGAGACAACTTAGTATGGTATTTGACATACTTCTTAATGCGAGTGGATCGGGACTTACCATATGTCCTGATCCATCTCGCATTGAGAGGCCACGTTATGGAGAGTGGACCACCAAAAACAAAATGCAGGGACTTTATATGATTTGCTGAATTAGTTTTATAATTATTGTTTATTTGACTCATGCGTAATACTAAAGCTGGAACAATCTTACAAATTTTGTGGCATAGGTATTTGTAGTACAAACTACAAAGACATAGATTTTCGTCAAAAAACTGTTTTAAATAAAGCGCACAAAGTATCATTATATATTTTTTATAATCTACATTGTTTTTGTTGTGACTTGCTAGCCTTATGTCATTGTCAAAAAATATTGATGCTGATTATCGTCGTCCGACTGTTGTGTATATAATATTTAGCGCTGGTATTGGAAAGAAAAGTGTTTAGAAAAAAGTACAATTCTGTATTGTAACTAAATTACTTTAATTTTACTCGCAAAATGTCTGGAATGGCAAGAGAATATATATCGTATGCAAGGCAGCTATCTGCAAATGGGTGCTTTACCAAATCTGTTGATTTATATTTCATGGCTTTTGAAAGAAGCCCACAGCTGAAAATATCTTATGAACCAGAGTTTCGAGCTGTTATGACGAAAATGAATGAAGCTCTGGCGGCGGCAAATAAAATTGAGGATATATTTTCCAATTTCAGTAGGGCTATCAATATTTTTCCCGGCAACATTTATTTATTAAATGAAATTGGGAAGTATCTATATAAGTTTGGATTCTACGAAGAAGCATGGAGTCAATTTCAAAAAGCTTTAGTTATTGATGCCGGATATGTGACTGCTGAGAAAAACTTAAATTCACTAAAAAATTTAATGGTAGAAAGGTGGCATTTTAGAATGTTAAATGATAAAATTCGAAATGATAGTTACCGCGCCGCTATTAATGAGAAGGTAATACCTAAGAAAACAAATGTTTTAGACCTTGGCACTGGCACTGGATTACTTGCCATGTATGCTACTGAGCGCAACCCAATGGGCATTACAGCTTGTGATAGTTCAGAAGTTATGGCGGCACTTGCTGACTGTATATTGGAAGAAAATAGACTGCTCATGTCTGTAGTTGTTATAAATAAAATGTCTACTTCTATGAATTATACAGAAATAGGTGGGAAGCGCTCACTATTGATTACAGAATTGTTTGATGCAGGATTATTTGGTGAACATGTCCTTCAGTCACTATCTCATGCTTGGGAAAATTTGCTCACTCCTGATGCTGAAATATTACCTAGAAAGGCAGAATTTTTTATCATGGGTGCAAATTCTGAACTCCTCAGTGCTAAGTATCAATTATGCTCTAAAGCAAAATCCCTTTTAGAAATACCATATTTAAGTATTCACATTTTAACTTGTGATGAAACTTATGACTGTGAAGATGTGCATCTCTATAAAGATATCAAATACATTACTGCTCCTGAATCCGTAGTTAAAGTTGATTTTAACAATGTACATGATATACTTGATAAACTTCATAACTCTGAACCATATGTGGTAGATTTGAAGGTTGCAGAAAAAGGAGAAATTAATACTTTTATTGGTTGGTTTAATTTATATTTGACAGAAAATATTACTATAACTACAGATCCTAGGGACAAAAATAGGGCAAATGCATGGCAACAAGCAGTTTTCTTTGATAACTTACCTAAAAATGTCCAAGAGAATGATACATTGAATGCTAATTTCTTTATTCAATCTGAAAAATTGTCTATGAAGCCTAATTTTAACTGTGACATGAGAATCTCTCCAGAAACATTAAGATTTTTAAATGATACCACTTATATGGAATTAATTAAAAAATGCATTGGAATGGCTTGTGTTTATCTCGGACAAATAGCTGAGATAGATGATATAAACTTAGTAGATCTCTGTCCTTTCCCTATTTTTGGATTGTTAATGCTTAAAAGAGGAGTACGGTCTTTAATTTGCTATGCTAAAACTGAGCTCGATAGATTATTCATTGAAGAGATTATAAGAGTGAATAACATTTCTGTAGACAAAGTCACATATTTGATTGGCGATGATTGGACACGAGACAGCTTCAAAGATAAGTATCATGCTATTTTCTGTCACATTTTTGATTTGAGTGGAGATTTAGATATACGTGCAAAAGATATAGCTCAACATTTAAAAAATGCACATCTAATACAAGGTGGATTGTTTATGCCCGCAAATGTTACATTGATGGGTGAAGTGGTTAGCAGCAATTGGTTAGATGTTACTAATAGGGTACACGATTCTAATGTTGGGTACAAAATGTCTATGCACATCAACAAATATCAAGTATCCCAAAACTTTGGTGTTGATTATACGCATTTAGAATATTTACCGCTAACAGATCCTGTTAATTTGGGAAATTGCTGTCAGTTGGCACCAGATGTCATTAATGTGCCAATAAAGAATGATGGTGATGCCAATGGTATAATTTGCTGGTATAATATTGAATTAATGGAAAATCTTTCTGAAATTTCAACTAAGAGGCCACAAAGCTTTATTGATGGAATTGCATTTTTGGCAAATCCAATTCTACCTATGGCTAGAGGCAATGTTGCAAATATACTCCGTTGTGTTGATTCTGATGGTTCTTTCAAGTTAATAGTGGATATAGAAAATATGTAAAAGATAAGATACAAGTAAGAAAAACTCAATAATAATTTACAAATATTTCACATTCAAAGATAAGTTTCAAGCAAAATAAAAAAAAAGTTTTTTATTTTTTTTAAATCAAATGTAATTAAATACATTACTTAGATCTCCTAGTCATTATTGTTACTTATAATTATTGTTCAATGATTTTTACTCTTTATATACATTGATCAAAAAAGTACTAGGATAAGTACCTACAGAATCCCATGCAAAAGTTCTCATAAAACTGTCACCACTTGTGTTTAGGTAATTATTCTAATTGAAATAGATATACAACAATCAGAATAGAACCTTAAATGCAATGCTTAAAGTTGTTTTTACAAAAAAATTAAATTAAAACACTGCTCAAATGTTCAAATGAGTGCTCATTTGGTGAGGACAATTTTTGTCGCTGATTGTGTATCTAGTACTTTTTTCATCGAAGTTTATTTACCCTTGATACAGTATGAAGGTTTGTTTGTACTATAGATACAGTTTTTTATATTTATTATTCTTGTTTATATATTGAATTTGTACATATTATGTGAATTTTTTAAAAAGAGTTGTAACTATTGTATCCTTGCCTGTCTATAACCACTAAAGTTTACTAAAAAATATATTCTTTGAAATCTTTGATGTAGTAAGTATGATGACTGTTATTTAGAATGGTATTTAGTCTTTATTATTTAATCTCATAAGGTCAAACCTAAAAAAATTGAGTTTCAAACTCTATATATTTGTTTAAACTATTTTATTAAATAAAATGTAGGTAAAATATTTTAATCCAAATTTAAACTGCTCAAATTAAACATAGGTATAATAAATTTTATTTTTCAAAAATTTGTATAAGGTTTTAAAATTATAGACGGCGCCACTTTTAGTTTTAGCTTTTGTTATATCAAAAGTGTTTATGTGCCAATTTCAATTGCCACACAGAGACTTCACAATTCATTGTCTCAGTGCTTATTTGTACAAACAACCAATTTAGAGAAAGAGTTTTTAATACAGAATTATTTAATATAAATGAATAAATATGTTGGAACATTAACACACAGTACTATCTAGTCCATGGTAAACTATGAGGCTTGTGTTATGGATACCAGATAGTTCATACACTACACATATACATATATACATATACCTAACTTTAAATACACATAAATATAAACACCCATGACTGGAGAACAAACATTCGTGCTCATCACACAAATGAATGGCCCCAGCGGGACTCGAACCCGCGACCGCTGGCATAGCAAGTAGGGTCTCTACAAACCGAGCCAAATGTGATGTCGACTTTTAAATGTTAATTCTATTGGTATGAAATACATATTTTACTTTAAAAAAACCTAATAATTTATTTTATTCATATACGTAAATAAATCATAAAAATAAGGCTTTGTTATTAAAAAATAAAGTATTGTTATTATAAGAGTAAAAAAATTACTGTAAAGTACACAAGTAATGATTATTAAAACAAATAAGCACTGAGGCAACGAATTTATGAGATCGGGCATCGTAATATCAAGTTATATTTTAGATATATTTACAATGTATTATGCACTTTTGAAGAGATGATTCATCTTATGAGATTAAATCTCTTAATAACTTAAAGGTATACTATATGTCTGTAATCATAGAAGTAATAAACAAAATCTTGGATCAGATGCAGAGCGCCTAGCAGCAAAATTATGTCTATATAGATAATAAAGTTTAAGTGTCTGTTTATAATATCAAAATAACAGCTTTTTACTGAATGCATATGAAATTATATATGGTACTTATAAGAAAAACACGATTTTAATTTTTTTTGTCTGTCTATGTTTGTTCCGGCTAATATGTGAAACAGCTGGACCGATTTTGACGGGACTTTCATTGGCAGATAAGAGAAAAAATTAAAACATACCTTGGGAGCACCCCAGCGAGGGGAGTATAGAAATATTTTTTCTGGTTATTCTATTTTTATTGCTGCTTTAATGTATTATAATTATTTTAGCTTTAAGAATTTTAAATAATTTAAACTGAATTATACAATTGTAAGATTTAATAATAATTTATTCTTGAGAGATAAAGAAGCTGCCTAAAATATGATCTCATATATTAATTAAATTATGTTATTAAAGTTAGCCTCAATATATTTTAAAAGGTAAAAACTAAAAACCTTTTTTTAATCAATAATATAAGTACGCATAAATGTCTTAATTAAATAGATATATAAGTAAGGAGGAAGGAAACAGGGGTAATGTCACAAAATGGGACACCGGACAAAAAATGGGTATATTATAAATTAATATAAATGTTGTAATACAGTAAAAATAAATGTTGATATAAAGTGATTATTCACAAGTACCATAAATTTACTTTGTGTCTGCCAACTCTTACTTGGCCAGTGTGAACTATGGCCTGATACCTCCTCGTATTGAAGGGAGGCCCACCCCCAGCAGTGGGACATTCAAAAGGGCTCACATAAGTAACTTAATTTATGCAAGCAATTTAAATTTAATTGTCATTAATGTGCGAACTTCTCATTTAGTGTGTACAACTGTTGCATCCATTATTGTAGTATATCATAGATCCTGAATGTATTAGTTGTGATTTAATTATACAAAATGAAACTGTCTGTATATTCTCAAACGAAATAAAAGTAACTACGTCTCAAAAATGATTGGTTTTAATTTGTGAAATTTAACTTTCGCTATGCCCAAATTTAAATATTTATTTTAACGTCGCCATTAGAGTTATTTCGCATGCAAAAAATAGCAAAGCAAAGACTTAGTTTTTAATTTTTATGCATGAAAGATGAGTCTATGCCGATTTAAAAATTAAAAAAAAAAGATCAACATTTTTAATAATAATTTTATTTTCATCACTCGAATGAATACCACCATTTGCATTTTAGAATGTTAAATTTAATATGTCCCTCATATTAAATATTATTATTTGTAGTGAACAAGCATAATACTATTGATATTAATTAGAAATAGGTGCATGTGACGTCATTCGACAGCCCGCGCTTCTGCCAGAACACTTCTCGCTTGTTCTAGAGCTTTCCTGAAAATAATGACAACAATGTAGATTTTTTGAAAATATATAAAAGTATATAATATTAATAAATAATAATACTTCATGTGTATAAATATAATTAGTGTTTTCTTGAGACATAAATAATTAAGATGTGATTTAAATAATTATGCGGATGACGAACATATCCTTTTCTTATAAAGTAAATAGGGACCCTTTCTATGTATATATAAAATAAATAATATTTTAAAGAAAAAGGTATAGTTTTAACACATTCAATGCCACCGACACGCCTAGCGAGTCTAGTTTTTAGGCAAATATAGCTATGCCGCGAACACGTTAGGCGTGTTCTGAAAATTTCAGTAATATTTCCAAAACTAGGCAAGATTTGCCATTGAAATTGTCAGAACTTAATTTTCAAGCGATAAACTATGGAGTTTTTTTGGAAATACAAACTTCCCTCATTTATCGCTCTTTTTATTTTTTTATTACTGAGAATCTTATCAAAATTTTAGAATTTTTCAATACATTTGACTTGAGTAAGCCAACAGGTTCATTAAATTCGACTCTAATATCTTTGATAAACATAAGGTCATAATTTATAAAGTTTGAAAATCACCGATTATATTATGATATTTACTTACCACAAAATCTGTTTTTCGCCAAAATTCCAGGTTAAAACAATCAGTACACTCTTATAAACACCATGATTCTTGCGTAGCACAAGGAAAGCTTAACTAAAAGCACTGTAACCGTGCTTTATCTCAGCGCCAGTGGACATGCGTAGCGTGTCCATAAATTTCATCTTGCAGTGTAGCGGACACGCCACGCGTGTCTTGACCTGTCCGTGGCACTTTGTATGGCGGTATCTCGTTCAAGTTTATGAGAATAGTGGTGGCATTGAATGTGTTAAAAAAAGTTTTATAAATTCATCAAATATTGTCAAGGGATTCTTTGAACTTGGAGTAACACATAGGGTTCTATTACATAACTAGTCTATACTAATATTATAAAGAGGTAAAGTTTGTGAGTCTGTGAGGTTGTAGGGGGTAATCTCTGGATCTACCGAACCGATTTAGATGAAATTTGGTAAGAAAATAGTTTGAGGGCCTAGGAAGGACATAGGATACTTTTTATCCTGGAAATCATCCCTTAAGGGGGGGGGGGGTGAAAATGGGAATTAAAGTTTTTATTGGGAAGCAAGTTACTGAGATATATAATACAAGTAGAACTCACAGATGCAAAGGGTTGTCGGTCTGCAGACGCGTGAGGGCGAGGCGCGCGAGCGCAGCAAGGCGGCGCAGCGCGCGCGCGCGCAGCGGGCCGGCGCGCGGCAGCGTGTCCGCCAGCGCCGCCGCCGCCGCCGCCGCCTGCGCGCCCGGCGCCGCACCCGCCGCGCAGCACAGCGTCTCTGACGGACGGGACAAAACATATATACATTTGATTATCAAAACACGCGATAGCGTGTTTCATCAATCAAGTGCCAAGTTCTAGCCGAAGGAACTGGCGACGCAACACCGTGTGTTTATTTTACACGAACCATTTGGAGCCACTTTTCACCTCGTAATAACTCAAGATATATTTAACATAAACTCATGAAATTTGGTTTATTTATTAAATCCCCTTAGATTAACTGGAATTTCATAAATACGGCTCAAACCGTTATCATTTTTATATATATTATTACTACTAGCGACTCACCTTTGCTCCGTTCGGGTTCGTCCCTATATATTTTAACGCTTAGTATAGTTTTCACAAAGATGAGCTATTTTCTCGCAGCAAAAAGTATCCTATATGTTGACCCGGATAACCAGCTATCACCATACTAAATTTTATTGAATTTGTATTCTAAAAACTATAAATCCGACCTCTGTATCGATAATAATGACTATCTTAAAAAGATCTTCCAAAAATATACAGATTCGACTCAGAACTTTATTATATGTATCGGTGGAACCTAATTACAGCATATTGTCCTCAATTTCATACCTTTAATAAATTTGATAATTAAAAAGTTTCGTAATGATATAACAAATACTTACATTTTAATTTAACATGATTTTTAAATATTGTTAGAACCAATTTGTAATACTTACAACAGCACATAATCGAATACAGATAGCATCTGAACAAAAGAACCAAGAAATATAACTAAAAAAAAACGTGTGTGTGTACTTACTTATGTACGCACGTAAGAAGTTATACTTCTTTAGCGTAACAGAACAAAAATAGCAAAAGATTTCATCCCGTATGTCACAACTCTCTGTTTGTAAACGGAATGCAGCTAACTTCATCATGTCGCGCGCATCGTAAAAATTTTACTCTCTTAATGTTTTCTTAACGTGCCAAAAGAAGTATAACTTCAAAAACATAACAACAAATAAAACAATCCATATTACCGATGAGCGAGAGCGCGAGCGGGTCGGCCCGCAGCACGGCGGGCGGCGCGCACAGCGCCAGCGCGGCGCGCAGCAGGCGCACGCCGCCGCCCAGGCAGCGCCGCCAGAACTGCGCGCCCGGGCCCTCCAAGATCCTGTACATATACACTCATCACATTTTTTTTTCTTAGTTTGAGGGTAGAATTTGTAGCTTATAAAGAAAATAAATTATTGAAATAAAAAAAACACAATATGTTAAGGTGGCCCACTGATTATAAAAATAAATAATTGAATTTTGGACTTGTTTTGGATTCGACGAGTGGCACTCACTGGGGGGGCAGCGCGGGCAGGAAGACGTCGGCGGCGAGCGCGGCGGCGAGGCGCGCGCGCGCGGCGGCGGCCAGGCGCGGCAGCGCGGCGCGCGCGGGCGCGGCGGCGGCGCGCAGCAGCAGCGCGCGCAGGCGCACGCACGCGCGCACGCTCATCGGGTCCCACGCGTGCTCCACCAGCTCTGGCGGGCGGCCGGACGGGTTATGGGTGTTGTAACTATTATAATATTACACACTCCGCGCCACTTGAATACGACCAAATTATTTGTCTAATTCAATGCCATCTCGGATTCTTGATTTAATTCAACATAATAGATAAAGCATTAATTATTAATTAATTTATTATATGTTTTATTATATAATTTAATAATAATAATATTTTTTGCGTTTTATTTAATGATCGTATTCAAGTGACACGTCACTTTGACTACACCAATAGTACCTACTTGAGCGACTCTGCTGGATATTATGATGTTCAACTGTTTATATTTGAATGTCTCATGCTTAAAGATTTATATATATCTACTATTCTTATATACTTATATTGTTTTATATCTTAAATACTTCAGAGAAATAACTTGGTCCTATTCAAGTGGCGCGGGGTGTATAATACTTTCGTAGATTTACGCAAATATTTAACGCAAGCGGATCACTTTCACTTGGCTCGGTTTCGTCGTTAGTGAAAAACAAAAACAAATCTATCTCACGGGAACCGTACATTTTTCCGAGATTAAAAGTAGCCTATATACTATTCCAAACTATAATCTATCTCTGTGCCAAATTTCATCCAGATCCATTTAGCCGTTCTAGCATGATTGAGTGACAAACATCCATTCAAACTTTCGCATTTATATAGTAGTAAGATTTTAAATAAAACTATATTTTCGGACTTTTCGCGAATTAATTTTGATTTATGTATGTACATTTATTTATAACAACTATATAATAACCATTGAGACGTTTAAAACCTTAGTCTGTCCTGTGACTATGATTGCTGTAATAAAACATTAGAAACGTCACAACGACCCCGGAAACAAAAATCAAAATAAATGCGCGAAAAAAATCGAAAAGATAGTTTTATTTGAAACTAAACATCTTCACTAATTAATATAATCAATAAAAACCAACAAAAAAAACAAATACCCAGAAAAAACACATTTTAATAACAATCCCCCTTTAACCCTCCGCCTCTCCCTTCCACTCATTCCAAATTAAAAAAAACACAACTCACCAGTAACCTTAGGTATGACAACCTTATCAATAAGGGTGGGCACCAGCATCAGGTCCTGGTCCTCCCGCACGGACTCCTCGCTCAGCGCCGGCGGCGGACTGTCCTCGTCGGACTGATCAGAGTCACTCGATAGCTTCTCTGCTTTCACACCGTACATCATAAGGCATCTGAGAAATATGTCATATAAATACATAGAAAATGGTTCATAGAAATTGGCTACCCGCCGCCATTTTATTTTATTTTCAAAATAGCAACGCATGATGTAAATAGTGTACGGGTAAAGAACACTTAAAGAAACATAAAATAATAGCGCAAGGTTTATATTCTAAGGTGTCACGTTTCTGAGATATTTTGAGATAAACATCGCCATTGAGGTATATGGAAAAAGTCTTTTAACGGATATTTCAAATTTTTGCCATATTTTAATGGTGGTCATCTTTTTTATATAGTAATTGTCTAACTGACACCACATCTATATATATAATATAGTGTAACTGATCGCTGTCTGTACATGGAAGATATTTGAGAAAAACTAATATTGGAAATCTTTGTCAAAGTAATGATTTTTTAAATTTATGTCGGTCTGTCTGTGCGTTCGTGCACGCTAATCTCTATTAAACCGATTTGAGCGCGTTTTTAACTAATGTATTATGGTAAGCTTCATTTAACATTTAGTATTAGTTTTTTTACAATCGGTTCATAAATAATAAAGTTATATCAATGTAAAGAACCACCTAGGGACAAAACCGAGCGTTAGTCGCTAGTTGTCAATATTTTTCATTTGTTTAATGTAAATTACCTATTTATATAAGTTTTGCTGTTTGCCGCAAATTTATAAAAAGAAAGAATAATAATAAATTTATACTAATTAATGAATCTGGGTAAAAAATAAACTTAGCAACATATTTTGACAGATTGACATAAAAAGTAAAATAATATAAAAAAAGTATGTATATTATAAAATTTCTTATATAAAAATATTAGTAATTTGTTTTATAGATTTTTTTTCATATAATGCTCACTTGTACCAGTCCATTTTCTCGTAGTCCTCGTTGTCCTCATCCGCTAGCGGGTTCCATAATATTAACTGAGGAGAAAATTTTACCAAATATAATAAATTACCTACACTCATCTCTGTACGAGTGTGAAAATCTTATATAAAATTGCCATAAAGAATATATCAGCTGTATACCTTCAAACGAACGTAATACATTCATACTAAGAAATAATTAGTACTTTCTTAAGATGTGATTATTTAAAAAAATATTTTATATATTTATTTATTAAGGGTTAACCAATAAAAGATATATTACTACACCATTTGGCACTTAGAGACGCACTCGAGTGCAACTTGCTGTATATTATGATCTATACATATAATAAAATACTAACTAAGCCGAATCTGTACATTAAATATTTTTTGGAAAATCTTATTGAAATAGACATTATTATCGATGCAGAGGCTGAATCGATAGTTTTTAGAATTTTTGTCGGTCTGTCTGTCACCGCGTCACGGAAAAACCACTGGCGGGATTTTGATGAAATTTGGTATGATGATAGCTGGTTATCCGGGTCAACATATAGTATACTTTTTACCGCGGGAAAATGTCTCATAATTATAAGAAAAAAATACAAAAACTGTATTGTAAGAATATACTAATATGTAAAACCTAAGAATTTGGTTTATGGTCATCTGAACGCGGGCGGAGCCGCGTTCAATTCTAGTCTTCTATATAGACAAAAAATAATGTTCTTATGTTTGTCCTCTATGTATTCCTAAACTATTGATCCGATTATGATGAAACTCTAGTAGGTTATTCTATATACGCCTACGGAGTTTTCTAGCGCAAATAGAAATTTTTTTGGATATTTTTTTATGCGTTGCTAAATAATTCACGCTCAGGGGCACACCCGAGTGAAACAAGGGTAAGTCTTTAGTGTATCATATAACTAGCGACTCACCCTAATTTCCCTTTGGTTCGTCTCTAGGTTGATTACATATACAAAATTTCATCCCCATTTTAACTCACTTAAGAGGTGATTTCCGGAATAAAAAATATCCTATGTCTTTCCCAGGGTCTCAAACTATCTTCTTACTAAATTTTTAAATCTAAATCGGTCCAGTAGTTTTTGAGTTTATTCATTACAAACGTACAAGAATACAAATCTTTCCTCTGTATATATATATATATATATATATATATATACATACATAATGTACAGCACGGCCGTGTACCGCGAGTCGCGTACCTCGTGCCGCACGAAGGGCGCCAGCAGCTTGGGCAGGCAGTGCGCCACGTAGGCGTCGGCGTAGAGCGCGCGCTGGCGGCGCCGCAGCCGCGCCAGCCGCGCGCCGGCGCCGCGCGCGCTGCGGTACGCCGCCGCCGCGTCCGCGAACACCGCGCCCGCCGCCGTGCGGATGGCCTCTGTGGTGCGATTAGACGTGGGCGTTTAAACGATGACCGCTTGAAAAACCATGCTTTTTTAAAAAAGCGCTACAGCAAGCTTACATATTCAAGCAGATTTCGTTAAAACGTTGACGGCTATATTAAACATGACATGAAATGTAACCATGTGTGAATGCTAATACAACTCAAAATAAAATTTAATAATTGGACCTTATTTCTAACAAATAAGACTTAATATAAAAATTATAAATGATATTGGGTTAACTTATTGTACCATTACCATATTTCTATCTTTATAACACTCACTCAATATCAAATGAATTCAGTTCTTTGATTTCATTTTCAATTTTTTTAAATACGCGTGCGAAATTTTGGAGCTTGATATTTTTTTTACAACTATATAACGATGTAAGCTATTGTATAAATAATAAAAAAATCACGTATATTCCATATTCAAGAATGAAATATAAACAATTTAAAAACAAAGTTCAATCTTTTACTTTTAAGGTATAATCTATTATTTATTAAGAAAATAAAGTCAAGTGTAACAAAAAGATCACCAAAAACAACTAAATTAGATACAAGAAAATACATCGCCGTAGTATTTTGTAGTAGTATACCTAACGTTGCGCTTTACCTTTGAGGAATATTCACTCATGTTGTCTAAACACTTGATAAGTAGTAAGAGTATGACAAAAACAGCTCTTATGAGAGCTAGAGAGAGTATGACAAAAACAACTCTTATGAGAGATCGAAACAACAAGGTAGCAACGCACAAGACTCTCAGTTTACGTATAAAACAGAGACAAAATGTATACAAGAGCCAGACAGCGAAATGAGTCTCACCGGCCTCGAGGCCGCTATGGTAAAGAATATACAAGCATGTGGTGTATAGTATCGAGTACCTTTATAACAGAGATAGAAAGTTTATGAACTATGAGAGAGAGAGACAACAATATGGTCTTCTCACCAGCCACACACACGGCAGCCGGTAGTGCAGTGTCTCAGCGGCAGTTCGTCAAAGCAAAAGTCGCCGCCGAAAGCGTGTACGACAAAGACAGAGAGTGTACCAACAATGTGAGTGAGCGAGACAGCGAGAGGGACACTCACCGGCCTCGCGGCGATAGTGCAGCACCTCGGCGGACGGCAGTTCGTTTTCGCAAAAGAGACAGGCAGCGTACCAACAACGAGAGTGAGCGAGACATCGGTAGGAACACTCACCGGCCTCCCGGCGACAGTGGAGCTCCTCTGCGGGCGGCAGGTCGTCGTCGCTGGAGTCGCCATCGCGGTGCGCGCGGCTGCCGGCGGCCTCACGGCGCAGGCGGCGCGCGCGGCGCCGGCCCTCGCGCTCCGCCGCGCGCTGCCGCTTCTCTTCAGACTCCACCGGCTTCGCTGCCCCGGGCCGAGCTGAGTGCATACAAGCAGTATTATTTAATAGTGATCATGCTGAATAGGAAATATGCGTGTGATTTAAATAAAGGAAAAAAAAACACCTTTAAACAAAGTTTTAAATTAATATAATGAAATCTCTCGCAAGTATCCTGTATATATATATATATATATATATATATATATATATATATATATATATATATATATATATGTAAGCTTTGTGTTGACACTGACATTGACATGAGAGTGTCAGGTTTCTTTTTCCAATCGAATAATAACGTATAGTTAAATTACAAATGTTGTTTAATAATTACATTAAAACTAAGTTATGTTTGTGAATTTGATTTAATTTAAAAGTGCAAAAGACGATTTAAGTTTTAATAATAAAAATAGTAAAGCATGAACATTTAATTGTCGATTCTCTGTTTTAGGTTAGTATTTCATTAGTTGATATTGGTTATGTAAAATTTATCTGTATTTACTTAAATAAAACTCTGTTTTAGATGAATCACATTGTGTTATGCTTCACGAAAAAATCCTGATATTATAAATCGACAATTCATATACATGTGAAAAAAAATAAAAATAAATAATTGTTAACCTATACAATGGAGAAATTAAGATTTGAATTTATGATAAAAGCCAAACCGGATGATAATAAGACAAATATGTATGCCATAACCTCCATTATGGATACACAAAACCAAACTTTTGTTGTGCCTAGGGAGTATCAATCAGTGCATTTACACAAAGAAATATTAAAGCATGAAATATTTGACAAAATAAAAAAATCTCTCCAGAAAAGGCATGATAAGAGACAGGTTTGGATAACATTAACCAAGGAAATGAAATCAACATATTTAGATGATGACAACTTACAATTTGATGGGTTTTTACTTGAAAAATTAGAACAAAGTCATGAGTTGTCATCAACAGAACCAACATTATTAAAAAAAACAGAAAATAAGACGAGATTAGTAACAGAATTTTCAATAGAGAAGTTTTCAAGAAATACAACAAATGTTAAACAATGGTTAAATACTTTTGAAAGTGAATGTACACGTTTACAAATAGATACAGATTTACAAAAAGTAGAAATTCTAAGATTATTATTGGAAGATACTTGTATAGATTGGTACACCTCAATGATTATTAAACATACTATAGATTCAGATTGGTCTGTTTGGAAGAAAAGTTTAAGTGAAACATTTGCTGATAAAGGCTGGTCGCCAATCAGGTACGCTATGAATTTTAAATATATACAAGGATCAATGTTAGAATATGCTCTCAAAAAAGAGAGATTGTTACTAGAAATAAACAAATCAATAGATACACAGACCATGATTTATTTGATTGCCACCGGTCTACCAAACTTCATAATGGATAGAATAGATAGAGAAAGCCTTAAGAGGATTGTGAACCTGTAAATTTTCATACAAAAAGCGATAACGTTTTTCCCCCCTTAAACATAGTCTAATTTTCATAATTTTTGGAAATGTTGTAGATATAATCAAAATCTAGGTCCGTACGTTTTTATTTTTTTGAAATATTGCGTACGACAGAAGTTATTAGCATCTAAATATCTATATTTTTGACCTAAAAACTTCCTCCAGCGTTTTTATTTTTTTTAAATTAAACTAAACTGAATTACAAAAAAAGGAAAACGTACAGACCTAGATTAAGGTGTACTGAATCTAATGAGACCAAAATCGTCTCATTTCGTTAATGTTTAGGGGGGTGAAAACGTTATCGCCCGAAACAATAATTCAAAAAGGAAATGTAGGTAATTGAGTCTAAGACTTGCAACTCTCTCTATCGCACCATACGGGTCGGGGGCAGGGGCATATTTTAGACTGTAGTGATGTTGAAGGTGCTATCGATATTATTATCTCCTAGGGAGGAGAAGGTAATATCGATATATCGATCGATACTGAAAGGATTCAATCCAAAGTTTAGAATTTTATTATACTCGTATGTATAGATTGTAACTAAGCCGTATCTGTACATTAAATATTTTTTGGAAAATATTATTGAAATAAACATTATTATCGATACAGAGGCCGAATCTATAGTTTTTTGAATTTTTGTCTGTCTGTCTGTATGTCTGTCTGTCTGTTACCACGTCACAGAAAAACCACTGGAGGGATTTTGATGAAATTTGGTATGGTGGTAGCTGGTTATCCGGATCAACATATTATAGCATTACCGCGGGAAAATATCTCATTTCTGAGAAAAAATACAAAACTGTAAATATATATATATATAAATATATATATATATATATATATATATATATATATATATACAGGGTCATTTTTAATTTACTGAAGACCTTTTGGGAATATACTATTTACATCATAACAACAACCTCTGTAACAAGAAAAAAAAATATTTCTTAAATTTTCATTTTCATACAAAAATAAAAATATTTTCTATATCATCATCATCATTATATCTGGCCAAGTTTGAATGAGTAAGGACCACTTCCTACACCCCTCCACCCCTCGCCCTCCACCCCTCGCCCACCACCGGTCACGCGCTTTCTTTTGCTAATTGCTGGACTATTACCGTTTAGAAGGAGCAATAAAAATACTTTTATTTTTGTAAAATTTATATTTTTAATTTTATATTCGTTATAATTTATAATATTCGTTATAATTTTATGAAAATTATTACGAATAGTATGTGTATAATTATATATATATACACATACTATTCGTTATAATTTTTTCGAAATTATCGATATTTTATTAGTTTTTGGAGTTAATTTTATTGATTTTTCTGAAAAAAAAATGATTTTAGGGCAATTACAGAAAGAAATGAAAATCATTCGTAATCTAATCTTGTTTATTCATTAGTTAAAAATATATTTAAAAAAATTAAGTTGATATATTTTATAAAATTTAGTCATAGATATGTTAAAAAATCGTAAATCATCATCATTCATGATCAGGTCATTTTATGAATTTCTATTCCTTATATACCTGCTAACATTTTAAAATCATAAAAGTTCAGGTTTTCAATAAAATAATTATTTTAACAATAAAAGGATTCCGATGGGTCTATTAGTACCTACATAAACAACAAAAAATTCTATAACTTTCAACTTTTGGAACGAGATTTTTGTAATTGATCTAAACCACCTATTTATTTTTTTATGATTTTTTGAAGTCATCAATCTAAACAAGTCAAATTTTAAATGATATTCGCCACAGAATTGTAATTTAGAGTTATTTCAGTTTATGAATAAAGGTGCGATGTAACTTGTAGGGAATGTATATTGTACGCAAACCGTAGATATTAGATAAACTTTGAAATTGCTCTTGCGCCGAGTCGCGCCGCCCCCGCCCCCGCCCCCCGCGAGCGCCCGCGCGTCACCGGCTGCTGCTATCATAGTGTGTGTGAGAATTTGCGTATGTTGTATTTGTGTTGTTCACTGCCGGGGGGATGCAAAGCGGTATGAAACAGATAGCATTTTTAAAAATACCTACTCTCGCCGCGTATCGGCACTTCACAATCCTCTTAAAGAAGTAAATGACTTGTATAACTGCATAAGAGGACTAGAAAGTTTAACGAGGAAAAATGACACAAAGAAAAACTTAACCACAGGAAATAAATACAATAAACAAGAAATAAAACAAACTGAAAAAAAATCATGCAGGATTTGTGAGAATAAAGGAAAATTAAATAGATTTCATCCAGAGAATATTTGCTGGTATAACTATGGAAAAAAAATAACAGATGACAAAAACCTTAATTCTAATTCAATATTAAAAGTTGAACTGAGTAATGAAGATCCAAAAAACTAAAATTCCCTCCACTAATTGAGATTACAGTGATGTTAAATAATACATTAGAAGCCAAGGGACTGTATGACCCTGGTTCACGAATAACATTAATAAATTCAAAACTGGTTCAAGTTACAAATATGAAGCCAAATTATTGTAATAACACTATAAAAACAATAAGTGGAGGAGGTAAAACTAAAGGGTTAATTACACTAGATGCGGAGTTATTGCATAAGAAGATAAAAATAAATGCATTTATCTTTGAAAATGAAAATTTTGAGTATGATCTAATATTAGGATTAGATTCAATACAGAAATTTGGGTTGACTCATGATGAGAATTTAAATATCCAAATACAAAAAACAGACAATTTCAAAATAAGTAGTAAAAATATGTTTGAAGATAAACAGATTGAGAATATGGAAATAAATATAGAAGAAAAAGAATATGCAGTAAACTTTAATGAAGGTATAGATACAAACAAATTTAATATAGATACAGAATACTTAAATACTGATCAAAAAAAACAGATAAACATATTATTGGATAGTTATATGGAAATTTTTGCGAAAAATAAATATGACACTGGAAAAGTGAAGAAGTATGAAGCTTGTATAGATTTACAAGTTGAAAAATATTGTTATAAAAGACCATACAGATGTTCAGTCCAAGACAAGATAGAAATAGAAAATCAAATCTCACAACTTTTAAAACATGAATTGATCGAAGAATCTTACAGTCCGTTTGCAGCACCTGTTACCTTAGCTTTTAAAAGGGACGAAGGAAAAAAAAGTAGATTATGCATAGACTTCAGAGATTTAAATAAAATAATTATACCTCAGTCACAACCATTTCCACTCATAGAAGACTTAATAACAAAAACAATAAATTGTAATTATTTTACAACTCTGGATATAAATTCAGCTTTTTGGTCTATTCCTTTAAAAATTACAGACCGATACAAAACTGGTTTTGTAACTCAAGAAGGTCATTACCAATGGACCTGTTTACCCTTCGGCCTTAAGACATCACCAGCTATATTTCAACGGATTCTAGGAAATATTATAAGAAAAAATGGTCTGACAGGATTTGCAGTGAATTTTATTGATGATATACTGATCTTCTCTAAAACATTTGATGAACATATCACACACTTAAAAAAATTGCTGGAGGCTATTCGAGAAGAAGGTTTTAGGCTAAAATTAACAAAATGTAAGTTTGCATGTGATTCTGTTAGGTATTTAGGTCATATATTACAAAAGAATACGATTACACCTCTAAAAGACAATTTAAAATCAATAAAAGATTTCCCTGCTCCTCAAAATAGAAGACAAATACGACAATTTTTAGGAAAAATAAATTTTTATGGAAAATACATTCCGAATGTCTCAATAGTTCTTGACCCTTTACATAAATTGCTGAGAAAAGATCAGAGATTTAATTGGACAGAACAGTGTGAGGATGCATTCCGGAAAGTTAAAGATTTTCTATGTTCCAAACCAATACTAGCCATTTATGATCCAAAAGCACCAATATTTATTTATACTGATGCCAGTGCCATAGGAATAGGAGCAGTTTTGAAACAAATTCAGCACAATGGCGAAGAAAAACCGGTAGCATATTTTTCTAAAAAAATAAATGAATCACAAAAAAATAAAAAAGCGATATTTTTAGAATGTTTAGCCATAAAAGAGAGCATAAAGTTTTGGCAACATTGGTTGATTGGAAACCATTTTACTGTCTATACAGATCACAAACCTCTAGAGAAGTTAAATATAAGAAACAGACCTGACGATGAATTAGGCGATATGTCACATTATCTGTCACAATATAATTGTGAAATTAAATATTTTCCAGGAAAAAATAACACTGAAGCAGATTGTCTCAGCCGAAACCCAGTATTGGACATTGATGCAAATAATGAAGATAACTTAAGAACAGTAAATATTATTGATATTCATGACATAAAATATGATCAAGCACAAAATTTGCAAATAAAAAAACTAGAAAAAAACATGATTTTAGAAGATGGAATTTATTATAAAAAAAGTGGAAAAAATAGGAAAAAAATAGTTCTAAGTGAAGATTACAGTAAAACTATAATAAGGAAGACCCATGAAAAATATTGTCATACTGGAATAAATCAAACAGAATCTAAAATAAAACCCTTTTATACTGCACCAAATCTATCAGAAAATATTAAATATATATGCAAAAACTGTGAGATATGCATAAAAAATAAAACAAGGCTAAATAGAAAATATGGCTTTATGTCGCAATTAGGCCCAGCCAATAAACCCTTTCAAATAATGTCACTGGACACAATAGGAGGATTCGGGAGTCGAAGATCAACAAAAAGATATTTACATCTACTAGTAGACCATTTCACTAGGTACGCATATATCCTATGTTCTAAGAATCAACATGCTCGTGACTTCATCAAACTTATAGAAAAAATTCCTAAGGAAGAAACAATAGACATCTTACTCTCTGATCAATATCCAGCTATTAATTCGATTGAATTCAAAAATTACCTTAAGAACCGAAATATTCAATTAATTTTTACAGCGGTAGACGCACCGTTCTCAAACGGTTTAAACGAAAGGCTAAACCAGACTATTGTGAATAAAATAAGATGCAAAATTAATGAATCAAAAGGAAAAACAAATTGGTCAAAAATAGCAGAAGAATGTAGAAATAGATACAATGAAACAAATCATTCTGTAACAGGATTTTCTCCTAGGTATTTGCTATCTGGCGAGTCTACAGACTTGTTACCACATGAATTAAAAGAAAAACAGTTATTAACAAAAAATTTAGAAGAAGACAGGAAAATAGCACTCCGAAGGTCAATAAAATCACATGAATATAATAAAAATTTATTTGCCAAGAATAGAGTTCAACATGAATTTAAAAAAGGAGATAAGGTATATGTTGATTATGGAAACAGATTAAACAAAAAAAAGATGGATGAAATCAGAATTGGTCCCTTTGAGATTGAAAAAAAGATATCGGATTCAGTTTTTAAAATAAATACTGGTCGTGGTACAAGATCTATTGGACTATATCATGTCACAAAGCTCATTCCTATGCTTGTTGATTTTTAGATTTTGTAGCTAAATTTTACTCAACTTAAGTTGAAAAAATTTACTTTTCGAAGGAGGGTGATGTAAGCTTTGTGTTGACACTGACATTGACATGAGAGTGTCAGGTTTCTTTTTCCAATCGAATAATAACGTATAGTTAAATTACAAATGTTGTTTAATAATTACATTAAAACTAAGTTATGTTTGTGAATTTGATTTAATTTAAAAGTGCAAAAGACGATTTAAGTTTTAATAATAAAAATAGTAAAGCATGAACATTTAATTGTCGATTCTCTGTTTTAGGTTAGTATTTCATTAGTTGATATTGGTTATGTAAAATTTATCTGTATTTACTTAAATAAAACTCTGTTTTAGATGAATCACATTGTGTTATGCTTCACGAAAAAATCCTGATATTATATATATACACACATACATCTATTTTCAAATACAATGTGCAATCTTAAATAAATCATTTAGTGTTACATTTCATTTATTTTTTACTATTATTGTCATTTAAGTAGAGCGTTACCAAATACGTTTACATATTTAAACTTTAAAACTGTATACCTATTACCTAGTTATAAAATGTTGTGCATGCCTTTAATTTAGAGTTAAATATACTAAAAAAATTCGTTAACGTTATTTTAGTAATTAAGTTTGTGTATGTACTATAGTTGGTAAGCCTTATTCAATAAATAAATAAAAAATAAAGGTGAAATATTTTTTATATAATCTTTATTACTTTTCAATTAAGTATATATTAATCTTTTTTAATGTAATTTCTTTTTGATTGAGAAAATAATTATAATTAAAAAGTGCAAATATAGATGGGAAATTCAAAGTAGTTGAAACGCACGCCATTGGTCAGAACGAATTTAACGTTAGAGTATATCGTAACAGAGCGATCAGCTATTTTGTCGCTACAAATTGCGTCATTTTTTTGTGTATATCATACTGTGACGTCACGCGAAGTGGTGGGCGTTTAAAGTATCCGTATCGATATGATATTTTTATTTGTTTTTTATATATTAAATTTTAGTTTTTTGCAGCTGGGATATTTTTTTACAATTATATAGCTATTATATAATACCCACACATTGATGATCAAAAACTCAAAATACACAATTAGCGTCTCAAAAGTGTCTACAAAAGTAGTGCACCATCGAAATTGAATCGCGCTGTTATGCAATATCTTTGGTAATTGCTTTTCTGATGATAAAATTAAAACGGAAATAGTTTCGTTTAAAATCACTTTGTGTAAAATTTGGTTTTTAAATTTTATTTTTTGGTTTGACTTAACGTCGCATGCCGCTCCACTTTTTAAAGATATATTTGTTAGGAAATGTATATTATTAAATAAAACTATCAAATGTATACTTATGTTAGTATATATTATCAATGTACACAGATGTCCCTGTCTTGACATTGTGCAAGGAACTGCCATAAGACGCTTACTCATTATAATCACAGTGAAACCCTATCACCACAGCGAAATGGTGTATTGCAGAATGAATCGCTTACGCATGTTCTGCAATTTTTTGAAAAATTTGTATTATCACTACATAAATTTATAAAATCTATACCAAAATTATAAAGAGGTAAAGTTTGTGAGTTTGTGACATTGTAGGGGGTAATCTCTGGATCTACTGAACCGATTTAGATGAAATTTGGTAAGAAAGTGGTTTTACTTTTTATCCCAAAAATCATCCCTTAAGGTGATAAAAATAGGGATGAAAGTTTGTATTGGGAAGCAAGCTAGTGATGAACCTGAGCGAAGCGAGAGTGAGTCGCTAGTATCCAATAAACTTAGTGACACACTTAACCAAAGCAAAAATAAATGGCTAGTAACAAACAAGTACATACCAGCTAATGAGAGAACGTCTTGCGCCTGGTCGCGCACGTCGGCGCGCCGCCGCTCCACGAGGAACTCGCAGCGCCGGCGGTGCAGCGCCAGCGCGCGCGCCTCCAGCGCCTCCAGCTCCGGCATCTGATCGCATCATATTCATATTATAAATTCCGAAGTTTGTGAGGATGTATTGATGTGTGTTTGTTACTCCTTTACACAAAAACCACACGATAGATTTTAATGATCTGATTTACATTAGATATAGTAATATAAAATTGCCTTATGGTGAAAGATAACATCTTGAGAAAATCTTTATGTTTGATAGAATCTAGCAAGTTTTCAAAAGACATGTGTTGTTTGTATTGAGAAGAGGCCCTCTGCCAGCAATCAGACGTTAAAAAGAGCTAATACACAATTGCACAACACGTGCAGAACCGTGAAACGGCAGTTTGAAATAAAGTCTATCTATCTATATAACCAATCTTCTCATCCGTGCACTCTTTAAGTTTATTGATGAAACCATAATTAATCACCGCTTGTAATGCATATTTTATTTTCATGTTTATTTTTTACTTAACATATTTTTTAATTACTAATTTATAAATAAAATAATAATATTAATAAAACTATACATCGGCACATGCAATAAAGTTGTATATATATACACAGAAACCTTCTCGTCCAAGCACTCGACGAGGTCGGTGATGTATCCGCGCGCGGCCTGCGCGCGGCGGTAGGCGGCGTCCAGCGCGGCGGTGCGCGCGCGCCGCTCGCCTCGCGCCTCCGCCGCCGCCGCCAGCCGCGCCGCCAGCGCCGCGCGCCGCCGCAGCGTCGCCTCGCGGTCCGCCTGAAGCTCCGATAGCCTACACGTTTGTTGCTTTTCATTGTATAACTGTCTATATAATACTGCCATCATAAAAAAAAGGTTGCAACTTCGTTAGAGTTGATTTCGGGTTTATCGATTTGAAGTTTCGTCTTATAGTAGGGGAGCCCAAGAGAGGATTTTTGCGGTTACTCAAGCGCGGCAGATTAATACCGGCGGGAGATACCTTGCACTCTGTTGAGTAATTATTGTTTTTTACATTTTCAATTAATTCTCAATGTTTTGAAAAAAAATAACAACTCTAAAATACTATGTTGTGAAAGCAGAGACGGAACGACACTGGAAACGCGCGGTTTCTCGATAATCAATCACAGCGCGAGGAGCTTAGGCCCCCATCAGCTGCCGGCATGCCTCGATAAGCTATCTTTATCGCACCTACGGCTACGCATAAGACTTTTTTGTCGTACTTATTTGTAAATTATATTCACGTCTGGGAATTATTTAAAATCTGTAAATTTGTCTGACCATTTGCAGGTAATATTGAAATTACTCACTAAATACGTGATTAAAATTTCAGATTGCCAAAAGTATAGTTTTTGGAATTGTAATAAAATATATTTGGAGGTCTGGTTATACTTTATAACCGACAAAAACATCTGGGATTTTTTTGAATTATATAAAAACTAAATTAAAAGATTTCAAAAAATCAAGTTGCCAATTACATATTTTTTTGGATATTTTTTTCGCAAATGGTATAAATACTGCGCAGTAACGAAATAGCAGACTCACAGGGCTGGACTCGCCAATTGAAGAAATGATATATTTTCACAATTTCAACTTGCCAAAAGGACCTTTCCAAAATTTGTCGCAAGCTCTCGGGCTATAACCAACCAATCAAAACTTAAAAAAAAATAATAATATTTAGACATATGTATCAACATATTAACGGCCAACCATTTTACTCTATGTCCAGCTCCCGTACCTGTTCCTCAGCGCGTGTAGCAGCGCGGGCACGTCGGCGGGCGGCGGCTGCCCGGGCGCGGCCAGCGCGCGCACGTGCGGCGCCTCCAGCCTGGGCGGGGGCGGCGCCACCGCGAACGGGTTCAACTCGCCGCTCTCTCCTGGACAGATACGAGCGTGTGGTTAGTGCTTTATTAGTTTACTTCAGCTACTTCGTAGCGTAAAACAGGTACGAATTCCGCTCGCTGCTGTTGCCCTCAACAGTGGACAGACACGATCGTTAGATTAGTTCTTTATTTTCACTGTTTTTTTAGCTACTACAACTAACACAAATATGAGTGTGTTGTTAGTGCTTATTATTCTATATTACTCTAAAGTCTAACCGATCTCTAAAGCAAATGTGTTAATATTTGCAAGTAATTCTTTCTCTCTCTTTTAACAAAAATGTTAAATTAAATATATAAATCGTACCAGTAATATCGGCTATAGACGGAACAGCCTTCTGCATCTGTTGCTCCTCCCATTCTTCTACTTCGCTGTTTATTTCCTCGTCTGAAACCGCTGCTGCTGTGCCACCTTTACATGAATAAAATAATTAAGTATACATACTAATTGACTACTTCCATACCACTACATAACATGTACATATATATAGACATAGTCTATAGCAATTAAATAGAACTTGATACTATAGTACCACAGTATACTAATAAATAAATAAATATGTTGGGACATTACCACACGGCACCATCTAGTTCCATGGTAAGCTAGCTTGTATTATAGATACCAGATAGTTGATACACTACACATATATAACTTTAAATACATACATATTATAAATAAAAATAGACATGACTGGAGTACAAACATGCTTATCACACAAATAAACTCCCCCCGCGGGACTCCAACCCGCGACCGCTGGCAAGTACAACTACAAACTGAGCCAAACGTGTGACGTTTGGCTCAGTTTGTAGTTACATGTTTGTCTAAAAAAAATAACAGCATTAATTTAGCATTTAAACAGCACCATCGTGCGGGCGGACGTACGTTGTAAAATGTAGGTGTAATATATGTGTTCGAATATAACAAATGATATGAGTTTCAGTAACTTAATGATTAAAATGCATAAGTTTTTATTCGATTATAGGAATTCTGTAAATTTAACAACTGGATTTTCGCCTGCTCAATTAATGTTTGGACGACCTCTACGTTGTCGACTGGATTTAATCTCGTATGTTTAAAGTTTACATACCGGACTTAAATCTTTTTACAAAAAAGCATGTCGACCAATTATGGATGTATAAAGGAAGTTCATCATCGGATAATGAAATTTCCGATGATGAATTTTTTGACGTAGATCCTGTTGGAGGAGTGTAATATATGTGTTCGAATATAGAACACTTCAATATTTTGATAGTTGTCAATATTGATTTAGAAATAAAAAGGGATTTGAAAGCAAATGGATTTTTACTAAAATTATCCAAATATTTCAGTAGGTAAGGCTCAACATAGTGTCGTACCTTCTTTTATATAGACATTGGGACAGTTTTAGTTTTGCCACTAAGTTCTTTAACTTCAAAACCGTTCACCATGAAATTACCAATTATGGCAACACTTGCATTTGACGGCATTGCCGTTAATATAAATGAGCGATCGCCTAATATCAATTTTAGAATATAATACTATGCTACTATTTAATACCTCTAGCGCGAGTCTACTGAAACTTCTACAGACATCAATAATTGTGTGAAAAAACCAAATGCCTCCGCTTAACAAATCTAAATAGTACATACGTATACACACTCACGCTTAGGTTTATCACTAGGCAGCTCCAAGCCTCGCACCTGAATCCTGCCGTCTTCATCATCATCCCCATCCTCCTCCCGCACCAGCCTCGATCCTGGCGCAGACTCCTGTATAGGCACGAAGTCACCCAGCTCGCGAGCCTGTAACATGAGGGACTTGGTGAAATATGTGATTTGTTTATGTATTCGGTATTGACGTTAAGGGGTCTGATCAAAATTAAAAAATTAAGACAAATAAAAAAAACGCGTGTGTGTACTTATGTACGCACGTAAGAAGTTATACTTTTTTGGCGTAACAGAACAAAAATAGCTAAAGATTTCATTCCGTATTTCACAACTCTCTGTTTGTAAAAGGAATGCAGACATGATGAAGTTTCATCATGTGGCTTAACGCTAACTTCATCATGTCGCTTTTTGGCTATCGGTGTGAGCGCGCAACGTAAAAATTTTACTCTCATATTTTTTTCCATACGTGCCAAAAGAAGTATAACTTCAAATATTTAGGAGCAGTTTCTAATATACGTTGAAGTAAAGATATAGGATAGGTAATGCTTTGCATAACATCTAATGTACTAAAGAAAAAGGAAGGGGTCTTTATGAACTTAGATGTATATTGACTTTATATGATACTCTTATATAACTTTAATTTTGATACTCATTCATACTCAGGATTTGAAATATTTAAAATGTGATGAGACAATGAGATTAAACGTACAGACAGGCAAGAGGAAACGAAGAAAAATGAAGATTTCCTGTAATGGATTATATGAATAGCTCCTCATACACGCACACACACTTTAGAAACATAAAGCAAAAATGGCTAAGCGGGAAAGAGATGGCAACACTGACAAATTTTTCGCCACTTCGCTTGTAACATCGACTAATGCGGAATAAAGATTATTTTTAAAGCTATTGCAACATTGATAAAAGATGAAATCATAAATACATTGAAAAAAAATACACAGTATTTTATTAAATTAGAATAAAATATTTTAGACATCAGTTTTATATCAGGAATCGAACCCGTAATTACCGTCATAATAAATCAACGCAATGTTATTAAAATATTGAAAGAAAACTAAAAACAAAATAACACATTGTTAACAGTCAATACCAAATACGTATGTAACTTAACATTGACCTACTTATGTAAAAATATATACTTACCTTCAATATGTTTCAGACATAACTTACTGTACCGAGAAATAAGCATCTTTACTGACACAATTATTGTGAAAATGCATCATTTCAACAGCAAATTAATAAACACATTCTTCTTTAACGCAACAATGTAGAAACGATTGTTCAGATAGGCTATGGGTCATAGAGTGACATACCACTTTTTAAAGTGAGAACTTCTATAGGCAGATTTGGATGGGAAGTAAATTCATGTAAGTCGTCATCGACATGGTCACGTGACGTGTTAACGCTAACAGAGTGCCAATAGATGTCAAAACCAGATAAATATAAAAAGTTTTAATTTATAAATTTTAATTTAAGATCAAACAATTAATTTGAATATGCAAAAATAACAACTGTTTGTGTATAGTTTTAAGTTCTCACTACTGTTGACAGTCCTCATGACTGCTTTTTTTATCATTAATTTATTGGCACTAATGAAAATGAGGAACGGTACTAGTAGTACAACATGTTGAAGAATATTTACACTTTTACTTAATTTTGATAAGTGGACTCAAACCTTTTTTAACTTCGGCATTATTTGATTAATTTCTGTAAAAACAGGAAAAATCTAACTGAACAAGAATTATTGCCAAATACAATTCAAATGGGTCAAAAAAACAATATCTTATCAACAAAAACCAAGAACATCTGTAATGATGAGACTAGAATAACATCCAAAAATGAACTCCAATTGTAATTCCAAGAAATCTCAATAAGCGACGTCGGTGACGGCATCCTCAGTCCCTCACCTCTCATACCTGCTGTCGGGTCTTGCGTGCAGCGTGGATCAATGCGGCATCAGGTATGTGGCCTGGGACCAGTGCAGCACGCACTGACTCTGCACGGTACTGATGGAACCCCCTATTATCTTCTGTGTCACTTTCATCAGATATATCACCAGCTCCATCAGCCGCTAGTGCCTCCCGACCAGAGAGGATCAGCCCCTCAAGTGTTACCTTCTTCTTCGGTTTTGCTTTCTCTTTCTCTTCCAATGGTGTCTCCTATATTTATAAAAAATATTATGGCATTAAAGAGTTATGGGTAATAAGCTTAAGTTCACATTAATAAAAATATGAAAGCTTTCAAAAATCTTTGTGTTTTGTAAACACATAACATATGGTTGTTGACTCAACAGAATGTTGTGTTTACACTAAAATAAATATAAACGGCATTTATTACAATAAATAACTGGAACATATTTCAAATGCCTTTACAATTAGTGTGAACCAATTCCTTTAAAGATCTTCAACTCTATGTAGCTAAAAATAAGAGTTAGGATAAATAATTGAAAAACCAAAAAAAATAAATAAAACAAAACATATGTAAATTAAAATCCAAATTGATGTATAAGAGCTGCAGAAAAATGTGAAAGCCATATAGTTGTTGAATTTGATATGGGACTAGATATTAACCGAACATAACTCCTAAACATTACCTCCTCATTATGATTGTCATATTTATTATTATCACCATCAGGTATTTTCCTTTTCTCCTTCTCCCGACGTTTGGCCAACCTCTTGCTTTGTGTGGACTTCTTCACTTTGAACACCTCACCATCTTCTTCTATAATACAAATAGCCCATTAGAATGGTTAATTTTAAACAAAAATTAAAGCAATTAATAATTATTTAAAACATGTTTTTTAATAAATAACATTGTTATGATATGATCTTGATAAATCTTAAATCTGTGTGTTATGAATGATATTACATCAACAAACTTTTTTATATAACATATCTTAAGTATAGGCAATAGAAATCCAATTGGCACCCATCTCTTACAACAATAGAACAATCTCATTAGAGACATAGATTTCAAATACTTGTTACATAAATATTCTATGTTATTACTGGTTCTAGGTTATATATTGTAGAATTAACATGATCTTGATTTTTGAAATATATCTTTAATTTTTCCTTTTATTTCCAGGTTATGGAATTGTTTATTCAGTAAAATTCAATTTCACAACATAATTTTAAACCTTTGTGCTACTAGAAATGAAGTGCTTTATTATAGGAAAAGCTGAATTGTGATTAGCTGTATAGCAATATTTGAATTAAACTTAATTTATGATATTGTCATTAAATTTGATGTTTTTGAATATAATCATCTGCCAGTGGTAAATGAATTATTCCTTAGCACATTACCTTCATCAGCAAAACTCAATAATGGAGTGTTTTTTACTGGTTTATCTTTCTTGTTTTGACTAATAACTGGTGGCGGCGGCGGCTCAGGCTCACCGTCCTCATCATCGTCTGCACAAAACACACGCCTCTGGATCTTCTTTGGTTTACGAAACATATTTAAACTGTAGATATCTTTCAAGGTTCATTGGACTTTTTGATTGAACTATTTACAATACACGCAACAAGGTACCTAACTTAATATAAGCTATTTAAAGTTTAAACACTACGCGGCACCATTAAGGGAATATTAAAGATTTCGGATTTGTAAGGTTGAATGATAGCATTTGATTTTAGAAACGTCAACTTTAAATCTTTGAACTTGACCATAGAGAACAATAACAAAAAGACAATAAAAATTATTTCTTGATCTAAAAAGTTTTAAATAAATATTATTATTAACTATTAATAAAACTTTATTATTACTATATGTTATTACAAGGATAATTTATATACTTACTATAATTAATATAGGTATATACCTATATTATTGGACGATAAAAAGGCTTAACAGACTTGAATCAAGTTAAAAAGTTATAAACTATTTATTAACCTTAGTTTTAAATAGTTTTGGTTGTGTTAGTTTTTAGAAAAAAAGGACAAATTATTTGAACTGAATTATAGTATTTACTATAATATTATTTGATAATTCTGGCAAGACAAGGATTGACTTTTTCAATATGACATCACTTTATAAGTTCCCTTTTTGTCCCGCAACGCGCACGTATTCGTGCGATTTGCGTTTTGTCTTGGTGAGTAAATATTAATCTCAAATTATTAAAGCAATCTTTTAATTTTTTTAATATTTGATTTTTTTTTTAATATATTATTTATAATAATATCCTGTCGTACTGCTCTATTTTACGTTGAAACTTCAAATTTAGTTTTCGACACATACTTAGTTCCCGATTCTTTTACTTTTCAGTCCTTAAATTTTTCGAAGTCCCTACACACATCAAGATGGGTAGGGAGGACAAGGCTTCCTGGAAAACCAACTATTTCGTTAAGATCATTGTAAGTATTAAGCCATAATTAAAATTATTATTTGTTATAAGTAACTTCGTCAATTATGATAATGTTTGACATTTACAAGAACAATAAACGTGTTTATAGAAGTAACCTATAATATTTTATATTATTCTAAGTAATGAATACTTATAAATTCAGCGATTAGCATTTGCTTTTATTATTATTTATTAGTATTACTATTGTTTCTTGTAGAATTGAATTTTGACTTTAATATACTTTTACTTTCAGCAATTGTTAGACGACTACCCAAAATGTTTCATCGTGGGTGCCGACAACGTTGGGTCTCAGCAAATGCAGCAGATTCGTATTTCACTACGTGGCAGCAGCATTGTGCTTATGGGCAAGAACACTATGATGCGTAAAGCCATCAAGGACCATCTGGAGACCAACCCAGCCCTTGAGAAGTTGCTTCCTCACATCAAGGGAAATGTCGGCTTTGTGTTCACTCGTGGAGACCTTGTTGAGGTAAGAGTTCTTTTATCATATTATTGTATTTATTACAATTTAATTCGAAGGAGGTCTGTTTTAATACCAGGTGGCTTTATATTGGTTTCCTGGCTTCGCTTTCAGACAAAACTAAATTCTTCAAATTTATCCTAGTGTGATATGGTTTCTACATGAAAATTGCACTGGCATTTTGAAGATACATATATTGTTTGAATGGAATATTGAATTTTTTATGAATCAATGAATTATATTAACTAATTGTATGTTTGTAGGTCCGTGACAAACTTCTGGAGAACAAAGTGCGTGCCCCAGCTAGGCCAGGTGCTATCGCTCCATTGGCTGTGGTCATCCCTGCCCACAACACTGGCTTGGGTCCCGAAAAGACTGCCTTCTTCCAGGCTCTGTCTATCCCAACCAAGATTTCCAAGGGTAAGAAACTAACTTAACTACAGCTTAAATACCTACAAAGTATCAAAAAAAAAACAATTAAAAATAAAGGCACAAATTCAGGATTGGGGACTTTGCCCCTAGCGGAAAACGTACCTAGCGACGAACCCGAGCGAAGCGAGGGTGAGCCGCTAGTATTTTAATAATTTCACAACACAAACAAAACGATCTTACATTTTGACAAAAGCAAAACTGACACTTTGTTTTATATTACCGCTTAAATGACAACAGATTATATTTGATTATTTTTGCTTTTTCTGTTGGTAAAATATTAATATTAATAAATAAATAAATAAAAAGATTTTTACTCATATGTTCGCGAACAATTTATTTAACATTTCGACTTCCTATCACGTCCCTTATCCAGAAATAAAAATAAATTAATTTTATAATGCACAATTCATGTAATCTTATAAAATTTAGTATTCATTTTAATTTTGTGTCCTCAGGTACTATTGAAATCATCAACGATGTCCACATCTTGAAGCCCGGAGACAAAGTAGGAGCTTCTGAGGCCACCCTCCTCAACATGTTGAACATTTCTCCCTTCTCATATGGTCTTGTTGTTAAGCAAGTAAGTTTTGTTTTACAAATTATTTATATCTACACAAATAAATTATGTAAAATTTTTGGTATATACATTTATAAAAAAATATTTTCAATTCAGTTTGAACTATAATAAACCAAAGTGTTGAGTACAGTTTGTATAAAAAATACATACTGATAATTTACCTTTGGGAAAGTGTTTGCCGTGATTTTTTTTTAATTGCAGCACTATTGCTGTTGTTTCAAACTTAAGCAAACATTACATTCTGATTATATTTAAAATTGATATGCATGTTGTACATTATACTTATTTTAATTGTTCTGAAATTGCAAATGCATGCATAATTAATAATTATAAAGTAACTTTTGACTGCTTTGAAAACTTAAATGAATTGTTAAATGTCGAAAGCTTTTTAGCAGAACATTAAAAAACATTACTTTTTTCTTTAATTATTTTTATATTCATAGTTCATGTATGATAATTTCCAACAAACATTTTTATAGGTATATGACTCTGGCACCATCTTTGCACCAGCCATCCTTGACATCAAGCCTGAGGATCTTCGTGCCAAGTTCCAACAAGGAGTAGCCAATGTGGCTGCCCTCTCATTGGCCATCAGCTACCCAACTCTTGCTTCTGCTCCTCACTCCATTGCCAACGGATTCAAGAACTTGCTGGCTATTGCTGCTGTCTCCGAAATCGAGTTCAAGGAAGCCACCACCATTAAGGAGTTCATTAAGGTATGTATTTAAAAGTTATATATGTGTAGTGTATCAACTATCTGGTATCCATAAGACAAGCCTCGTAGCTTACCATGGAACTAGATGGTGTTGTGTGTAATGTCCCAACATATTTATTTATTATTTATTTAAAAAAAGAAATTGATATGTCCAATAGTGCATTAGGAATTCAAATACTAAAGTAACATTAAAATTGGTTAGACAAGTTAAAATTATTATTAGATATGATAGTCTTACTGACATGAATCTATAACAATTTACTACAAATGTCTGTGGCTGAAAATGAATGAAAAATGAGTATAAAATATGCTATTTTTATACTTTGTCTTGGTTCAGCAGTTCAGTGTAACAGTATGGATACTAGGACTTAATCCCTACACTTGGGTGCATCCCTAGGTTTCTAACAGCCTGTAAACCATCAAGTCAAAGTTTATCTATGGACTAAATTTATCCTAATCCGTTCAGCCTTTTTTACATGTAATAACAAACTTACACATGCACCAACTTTCATTTATAATAATAGCCTATTGTTTAATATTTTTCAAAATAATTTCAATATCAGGACCCAAGCAAGTTTGCCGCTGTGGCAGCACCCGCTGCCGCCGCCGCCGCAGCGCCCGCTGCTGCTGCTAAGGAAGAAGAGAAGAAGCCCGAGAAGGAGGATTCCGAGAGTGACGACGACATGGGCTTCGGTCTCTTTGACTAAAGCAAACACCATCACCACATTTAACCATCCTATGTGGATAAAGCTCTACGAGTGGATGTTTACAATAACTAGTACTCGCGCCGCCGGGTTGGACACCCATATGGCGGCCATTTTGTATCAGTGCTTGTGAAATATACCACTTAAATATTTTTTTTGTTTTATTACGAATTAGCTAACCCGACGTTTTGTCCTGATTTACATGAACATTTAAAAGTTTGCACTTACAAGTTATTATTTTTTGTTTATAGAAATATTTCTCAGTAAAGATATTAGTTTTGATTTAAAATAGTCCGTGGGTTTAAAACTAAGAAATCACATTGATAAATATTTTTTTTATATTGAATAGAATTTCAGATTATTGTAAAATGTATATTAATTTTTTTAAATCTAACAAAGATATTCTTAGGATAAATGCTCGCAAGTTTTTTTACGTTTGTATGGACTATCGATACAAACAAGATTTTTTTAAGTACCTACATTATTGAAAGAACATAAAAAATCGGTCAAGTGCGAGTCGAATTCAAACACAAAGAGTTCCATACCAATCGTACATGTACATTTATTAATATGACTTTTACTCTTATGTATGTAGTGTATTAGCTTAGAAGTTCGATGATCGATTACGAACGTGAAAAACATGTTTCTTATGTTTAGTTTTTTTTTTATAGCGCTATATTTCTACAAATTATAAAACAAATCTATTCCATAATCTGTGAAAATTTCAACTACCTATTATGGTTCATGAGATAATACCGGAGAGACAGATGGACGGACGGATACCGCAGGCTTAGTAAATAGGGTTTCGTTGGCACCGTAACCCGAAAGACGCGCGTTCAGGATTCGCCTCGTCGGCGCGGTAGAAAACGTGTGCATGTGTTTCATCTTTTAAGGAATAAATATATAGAGCAGTGGAGATATAAATAATACTATACTTTCATGTAAACGATTTTATTTCTTTGGTTTAATCCTACAACATGCGACCAGAGCTCATCGCGTGGATCATAACTCTTAATCCCAACAATAGTGTTTTTAAATTTTTAATATCTATTTATTATTACCTATTAATACCTATGAATAAAAAAATTTAGAATACAATTAATTTTAACTTCTTTAATCAGTTTAAAATATTGGTAATATAAAATCATCAAATGTAATAAATGAAAGAATTAAAATCGAATAAATGTACACAACACTTTGTTTTTTATAATTCGTAAAATACGAGACCAGTCAATATATCTAAGAGCTCACCCTCGCTTCGCTAGGGTGCGTCCCTCGGTACGTTTTAACGGTTAGTATGGAATAGACTATATGATGGTATATATCCTATAGCCTTCCTCAATAAACAGGCTATCTGATGCAGAATTTTTCAAAAAGGATGAGTAGTTCGTGAGATTAGTGCGTTCAAACAAACTCTGTCTTGCTTTATAATATTAGTATAATATAGATCTATACATATAAAAAAATCGGAGTCGAATTTGTACATTTTTTATAAATCTTTTTGAAATAGTCATTATCCATGCAAAAGCCAAATCTATAGTTTTTAGAATTATTGTTTGTTTGTCTGTCTGTCTGTCTGAGGACGTATCACGAGAACACCACGGAACAGATTTTGATGAAATTTGGTATGATGACAGCTGGTTATCCGGGTCAACATTTGAGATACTTTACTGCGGGGAAATATCTCATCTCTGAGAAATCTATACTAACCATAAAACGTAGGGACGAGCCCGAGCGGTGCGAGGGTGCGTCGCTAGTAGATATACATAAAATCATGTCAATAGGGACCATGCGTCTAGTCTTATACGCCAACTAGTGACAAACACCTGAATTTATTGGGATCATATTTCAAATTTCAATTATATAGTATAGATTTCTCAGAGATGAGACATTTTCCCGTAGTAAAAATCCTATATGTTGACCCGAAGAACCAACTATCATCATACCAAATTTCATCAAAATCAGTCCAGTGGTTTTCACGTGATGCGGTCTTAAACAGACAAAAATGCTTAAAACTGTATATTCGGCCTCTGTATCGATAACAATGACTATTTCAATAAGATTTTCCAAAAAATCTTTAATGTACATATTCGACTCAGTCATGTATAGATTATTTTGATCGCAAAAAAAATGAAACTAAAAAGAACGGTATTTAAAAGTACGTGTTTTATGATTTGATTACCTTTAGTTTTAAAACTACCTAAACCGATGGAGTTCAACTTCAAATAGATCTCCCGATTTCTCCCGCTTTTAGCTAGTAGATTTACCGATTTTTTATTTTTCACTTTTGCAACACTGTCTGTCATTGCAATCTGCAAGTTCCAACTGCCAAATATCCATGTGACAGATCACAGAATCACAGATCTCAAACGCCATTTTTGATTTTAGATTCGTATTTCGTGTGTATAATGGCACGGCTTATAAATATTTATGGATGAAATAGATTATGTAAAAAACCTTATATAAAAGATGGTATTTATAATTATAGGACAATGTTAACTTCAATACAATAACTATTGTGGTAAATCACACACTTTGTTTACACCGGTAACCTGTAACAATGAGTGAAACTTCGTGCTATATTCTTGACAATGGAGCATATACTGCTAAAGTTGGATTTTCCACAATGGTGCCGAAGATAGTGCCGAATTGTATAATGAAAGCTAAATCGGAAAGACGACGGCCATTCGTTGGATCTCAAATTGAAGAATGTCGGGATGCTTCTGGTCTGTTTTACATTCTACCATTTCAAAAAGGTTTTCTGATCAATTGGGACACACAAAAAACGATTTGGGATTTCATATTTAGTAAGGATTGTTGTCCTGTAAATTTTAGTGAAACACCACTAATAATAACTGAGCCAATTTATAACTTTTCTTCAATACAAGAAGCTATGACAGAAATTTTCTTTGAAGAATACGAATGTCAGTCATTATTACGTATAAACGCTTCAGATTTAGCAGAATATAATTATAGAAAAACCCACAACAATGAATCCACGGTTGTTGTTGATTCTGGGTACAGTTATACTTACATAATACCATATATAAAAGGTAAGAAGTATAAAGAAGGCATAAGAAGAATTGATGTTGGTGGCAAAGTCTTAACAAATCATTTAAAAGAAATCCTGTCCTATCGGCAACTGAATGTGATGGAGGAAAGTTATGTAATAAATCAAGTTAAAGAAGACTCTTGCTTTGTATCTCAAGACTTTATGGGTGATATGGAGATAGCCAAGAAAAAAGGTAATCTATATAGTTTTTTTTTAATTACATAATCAACAGTAGCTCATAATTTATCATATGCATGGGCGGCGGCAGAATTATTTCCAGGGGGGTGCATCTGCTTCTTCACATTAAACTACTAACTAATCATTAAATGATTAACTGTATAATTTTCATTCGTATCTTATTTATCTTTTTTTCACATATGTATATCGCATTGGGGTGCAAGTGCACGTCCTTCCTGCGACCATGATCATAAGTAACTGTAAATACTTTATATTCGTAAACCATGTTAAAATGTTAAACTTGTATACTGAATACTTTGAATTGGAAATCTTTTCCATTGTAAATTTCATGGCTTAATTAAAATATCCATTTCATTTATTCTAGGTTCAGCAAACACAATTATCAAAGACTATGTATTGCCAGACTATACAACAATACGTAGAGGCTATCTCCGAGACATTGTCAAACCAGATGAGAACCTAGAGCAACAGACTTTACGACTAAACAATGAAAGATTTTCCATACCCGAGTTATTATTTAAACCATCAGATGTAGGAATACCGCAAATGGGGATTTCGGAGGCAATAATTCATTCTATAGATTCATGTCCAGAAGATAATAAGGAGAGTTTATTGGAGAATATAGTTTTATTTGGTGGCAACACTCTGTTCCCTAATTTTAGAGATAGAGTTTACAGTGAAGTGAGATCGTTTGCGTTAGATCATTTTGATGTGAATGTAACTTTAGGCGAAAATCCTATAACATATGCATGGGAAGGTGGCAAAAAAATATTTAGAGATCCAGATTTTTATTCATTTTGTATGACAAAAGAGGAATATGAAGAAGAAGGAAAATCCCTGGCTTTTGAAAGATTTGATATATAACGGCGGAAGCGAGCAAGGAAGTCTTCGGAGTAGACCCTTTGCTCGGTAAATTCTTGATAAAATATGAACTATTGGAAATGGATAATACATTATTTAAGATGGCATAAAGTCTTGTTGACACGCTCAAAGTGTAATTTGCCAAAGTAGCTTTGATCAAAGTTTACTTGGACACCTGTTGACACACTCAATGTCTGCTTTGACATAATAGCTATGACATAAACAAATAGATATGACAAGCAATCCTTGCATTGATTGCTTCCATTTAATTGGTTTAACATATACTTTATGATTTCACTGTTCCTTAAAAAAATATGTTTACTAGTGGAACCCGTATTCAATCTACAAAAAGAACCCTTTGGGTTTATGTTATATGTATTTGTATAGTATTGTTCATACAAAAATACTAAAATCGCGATAAAAAAATAGGGGTGGGGGTAGGAGAGTGAAAAATACTTTACGACCTATTCTCATACTTGCCAAATATACTAGGAAGCTTCATATAATTATTACGTAATAAATTAATAATTGCCTCGGTGGTGTAGTGGCTAATATGTACGGCTGCTCATCCCGGAGGGCCTGGGTTCGAGTCCCGGGTTCGGCCAAGTTTAGTTATTGAGTCTTTCTGTATAGTAAGCCTCATTAACAGCCCGGAGTTGGGAAGTTGGCGGTGTTTCACCCCCGCGACTCCGACTGGTCTCACCGCGAGTATCGAGTTTCGTCCCACTGCTGTGTGAGAGTGACAAAATACAAATTTGGCCACCGTGGCTGAAATCGGTCGGTAGGCCGTTTTAATTTCTACATAATAAAACATATAATTCAATTTTCTTGTTTCTTTTTTGGCTTCAAACCGCGCCACTTGATCTCAGGTAACTTTGTCAATGTCACGTAGAATGGAGAAGATACGAAGGAGAGTGGGCGATAAAATAAAATCATTAAACTAAATTATTTTAAGATATGAATATCTTAGATGTAATATCTAAACATGACAGCTCACCCTCGTTCCGCTCCGTTTCTACCCTAGTTATGTTTTAACGTTTAGTATAAATTTATCCGATTTCAAATATAAAATATATATTTGATATTTATATGCGACATAAAAAATTGGCCGCTTTTCATTGCTAGTTTTCAAAATGATGTACACAATAATAAATCGCTTATAGTCTGAAAAATTATATTACTTGATAGGTAAACTAACTGGTAGAGCTCGCTCGGTATGCACCGGCATTACACCGTGCGCGGAAAATTACTTATTTTTGATTTGCTTAAAAATAAATATGAAGACAAAAGATTTGTTGCTACTTCGTATTTAGAACAAATGTTTGAATTTAAGTCTATTTCATCCGCGAACACAAACAACCTAGAACTCTTTTTAGATAAATTAGCTTCGTCAGTCGAAAACCTGAAGGTCAATGACCTCTCGGATTTTGTATTTTTTTTCAACTACATCTAAAACATGGTTAGACTTGAATAATTTTTTACCGTTCTCATTATTCTGACCATGTAAAATATTATTTATAACTGCTTGAAGTACATAATTTATTATTTTTTCCATTTTTATAAATATCGCGTTTACAAATAAATGTTTTGACTCTACTATTTTCGGGAATAAAACACTAGAGGGACAATAGTGCTGCCTTCTACATTTCGCTCACGGTTCCCATATTGATTATAATAATAAGTCAATAATATTTACATATACATAATAAAATTGTAACTAAGCCGAATTTTTTGGATTAAATATTTTTTGGAAATCTTATTGAAATAAACATTATTATAGATACAGAGGCCGAATCTATAGTTTTTAGAATTTTTGTCTGTCTATCTGTCTGTTACCGCATCACAGAAAAACCACTGGAGGGATTTTGATGAAACTTGGTAGGGTGATAGCTGGTTATCCAGGTACTTTTTACCGCGGGAAAATATATCATTTCTGAGAAAAATACAAAAACTGCATTGTAAGAGTATACTAATAAGTAAAACCTAAGAATTTGATTTTTGTTCATCTGAACGAGGGCGGAGCCGCAGGCAATGCTAGTTCTATATATAATTTTAATTTGCAGAAACAAATAAATTTATATATTACAGTTACATATTGGACTCAAGGTGTTCACTTTAAATATTGTCAATAGAATTCTAAGCAATTTGAGGGTCACCATTGTGTTGTGTACTACAGACAATCCATTTTAACTTTTTAAAACATTTTATTTTACCAATATTCATTTCAAGTCAGTATTAGTAAAAATGAATACCTACATAATTATGGCTGGATGTGAACAAATAGCAACTTAACCTACTTGGCAATATATACAGCTTTTACATAAAATATATATTCTGGGCCATCACAGTAAAATTCTAAATAATATTAAAATAAAAAAGTTCTATGTATATATTATTTTTATTATTATTGTTTTCAAAATAAAATTGTCGATATTATTTTCATTATTTATATGATTATTTTCTTATATTCTGATCAAAATAAAATTGTGGATAATACAAAGGGCGTCATCTCGAGCTCCAGCCTAGTCAAAAAAAAAAGTTCCACTCTTATAACCACTATAATTTATTTAATCTAACTTCATATACAATATGCTACTATATTATATTTCTAAGACTTAAACACAATAATTTGACCTATATCTCTGTGAAACTTAACATCACAAAGGATAGATTTAAATGAAAACACGAAAGACACCTGCTAGTAGCATTCAATGGGAGAATTTTGCCATTTTCTCCCACCAGATGTCGCGATCACTATGATCCTCAGTATATTTTTATATAAGGATTATTTTTTCATTTTTTTTTAATTAAAATGACAAATTGTGCAGTGCCAGGATGCAATGAAAATAGATATCATTAATTGTTCCCAAAAGACAAACAACAAAAACTAAAGAAATTGTGGGCTAAAACAATAAGACGATTAAAATTGACGAAATCACAATCTTTATATTTAAGGCTATGTGGACACCATTTTACAGAAAGCGATTTTAAAATTGTCAAATGGTCTACAAGTGAATTTACAACGTCGAAAGTTAAAGGAGAATGCGGTGCCGTCTGTTTTATCTTGGTCCAAGGTTTTACCGCCAACGAAAATCTTCAAGTTATAGTGACATTCAAATTCAGGACATAAACAATAAATAGTTCACTCTCTGGAACTTCAGTATCATTATTACTGCAATCTGAAAGTTTTCGTGGGAAAAGCTGCTTTTACAGATTTCTATTTCGTTGTCTTTCTTCCCTAGCAGCTGCATAATTTGCTAATTCTTTACTACCGACTTAGGTACCCTTGCTACGCTCGGGTGCGTCCCTAGATCCACGGATTTTGTTCACAATTTCATGGGTTTTAGTTTTTTGCACGGAACCCTGATTCTTTTTCTAAAGTAAAAGTAGCCTAAGATACTCCTTGTAACATCAGCTATGTGCCAGTGAAAATCGATAGTCCTGTCAAAATCAGTCCAACCGTTTCGGAGATTAGTCGGAACAAACAGACAGACAGGTAAAATATAAATTAAGGTTAGAATAACAATATTAAACTAAGTTTTATTCTTTTTCGATTTTACTAGTTATTCGGTAACATCATTTCATATCTATCCTTTATGATACATAAAAATTATATACATATTTTTGCCATTTATCACACAATTATTGTGTTAACAGAATGGCATAAACAAAATAGATGGACGCATGCCGCCATTTTGTTATGACACCTGCAAAGAACAACATTGTAGCTCGGTATTGAGATAGTTTAAATATATATATTTCCTATTTAATTAAAACCTTTAAAAATGATGCAATACTGTGTTACAATGCTGTTCCTTTCTAGTGTCACTTGTTGTTGAACAAAGGACTACAAGAAAATTAATTTGAATGGCAAAACGTTATATTTGAATTTATTTCAATTCATTTTCCAACAGATCCTTTTAGTTAGGGCACATCCAGCATATTTGTTTATTTTACAATAATTCAAAACTCGTCAGATTTTTTATAAATATAAGTATAAAGCATTAATGTCTGTACAGCCTTATAATATACATACATACAGTAAAGCCGGTAGAGTTTCAAGATTAGTTGTTTGTAAATAAAATACTCTTGATTTAAAATAATATTTTAGGCACATTTGTGATGAATTTCGAAATAATAAATATTAGACATTTTTTATATAATAAAAACGTATGTATGTTGGTCTGTGTATGATATCTATTTTTATATAAGTCAGTGTCAATAATTATAATAAAAATATATAATACTAGCGATTCAACCTCGCTTTGCTCGGTTCGTCCAGCTACAAATATAGGCAAATTTTTGATGCGTTAGGTAACAGTATTACAATTTTTGTGGGGAACTCTAATTAAAAAAAAATTAATCATGTTACTCGCTTATAATGTAGTTTTTGATAGGAGAAAGAAATTTTAAAATTTGACCAGTAGTTTTTTTAGTTTATTCATTACAAACAAACATGCAAAAAAAAAATTTTTTTTCTTTTTATTATATTAGTATAGATATAATGAGTGTGTCAATGGGAAAAATAGTTTCCACAATTTCCTGCTAATTTTGACTTAATAAGATCCTGAAATGATTAATAAAAAATCCGAGGTTTTGGATAACATTGCACGTTAGTTAAATTATCTATACACATAATAAAATATAAACTGAATCGAATCTGTACTTTAAATATTTTTTTAAAATCTTATTGAATTAGAATTATTATCGATAGAGGCCGAATCTATAGTTTTTAGAATTTTTGTCCGTCTGTCTGTGATCGCATCACGGAAGAACCACTGGAGGGATTTTAATAAAATTTGCTATGTAGATACCTGGTTATCCGGGTAAACATATAGGATACTTTTTATTGCGGTAAAACATATCTTCTCTGAGAAATCTATACAAAACGTTAAAACGTAACTATGGACGAACGCGAGCGGACCGAGGGTGAGTCGCTAATATATCAATAAATAAACAGTGTCACAAAGTATAAGAACAGATATTGGCACAGAAATTCATCACCGTCTCCCGGACGTTTAAATGTTAGTTAGAAAAGAAAATTAACAGCCCGTTAGTTTCAAATTGTGAATTTTTCATTTATATTTCCAACCGTTTATTGATTTTACTTACACATATATAATATGTTGCTTTAAATCATTTCGATCCCATATATACATCAGGTACACAACATTAATTTTGGAAGCTCAAAATAGAAGAAGCTATTTTAATTGTGTTATTCACAACTTCTCTTAAACCCAGTTGTGCCATCTTGACAATAATTAAATAAAAAGAAAGTTTATTGTCAATTCAATACTCTTAATACTTTCTTATATTTACGCAAATATTTGACATTTTAAATAAAACTATCTTTTTGGAGGTTTTCGCGGATTTATTTTGTTTTTCTGTTCCCGACGTTTCGAATGCTTTACAGCAATCATGGTCGAAAAAGGTGACCGAAAAAAAAAATCGAAAAAATAGTTCTATTTATAAAAAAGTTCAATTCTCTTATTAATGGTTGCAAAGAAGACACGAGGGAGAATCATTAATATCATATGAAAGTTGGTGGGCCGTCCTAACAACATAACAAATATAACAAAAGCAAAATAACACCTTTAGGTTGGCACAACTGGGCCCTACAAAAACAAGCAGAACGTCAAGTAAGTGTAATTTACAGCTATCTATACAAATTATTTATAGCTCAGTTAGTATAGTTAGTTACTTTATCCGGCTCAGTGAGTCAGTCATCACTCGACAGAAGTCTTTGAGTTAGTACAAGAGTCAGTATTGAGTTATACAATACGTGTTCATAAGTCAACGTGAGGCGCGGACTGCGCGGGCGCAGGTAGCGCGGCCACACCTGGGAAATAGAATAAATATATACTTTTAATACGTATTCCAGCCCTCTTTGAAGTTCCACCTCCTGCCTCCCTTCAATGCGAGGGACATTAGGTTGTAGGGGTTTTTGAAATTACTCTTAGGGGAATAAAATTTAAAGTGTTGGCTGTTGTATACTTGTCTATTGTTTATTTAAATATAGTGGCAACACTGTGTAAAAAATAGTAATAAGTTTGGGACTGATTAAGGACACGCTATTTTGACGCTCGAGTGTATTATTTTAAAAAACCTGGATCCAGTCAAAAATAATAAAAGCCCATATAAAACAGGCAACACTGATTTAAAAGCAAATGATGATTACCGATCTCGCCTTCAGCGTCGGTCGCGTTGATGGAGGCGTCAGCGCGGGCGGCGCGGGCGGCGCGCGGCTGCCGGCGTACCCGCGGGGCGGAGCGCGAGCGGCGCGCGCGCCGGCCGCCGCCCCCGCCCCCGCCCGCGCCGCGCACCAGCGGCGCCGTGTCCTGCACCGACTCACTGGAAGGACCATATATACTGTTATTTATTACTAGCGACTCACTCTCGCTTCGCTCGGGTTCATCCGTAGGTACGCTTAAATTTTTTTGAGCGGCACCCTAATATTTTTTCTAAAATAAAAGTAGCCTATGTTACTCCCTATAACATCAGATATCTTTCAGTCAAAGTCCCGTCAAAATCAGTCCAGCCGTTTCAGATATTATCCGGAACAAACAGACAAAAGTAAAAAAAATGAAAAATGTGTTTTTCTTATAAATACCGTATATAATTTCATATGCATTTAGTATAACGCTTTTATTTTTACATTACAAACACTTCAATTTTACTTATCTGAATACTAGCAGTACCCGCGGTTGTGAAATATATATCTATCTATTTTTGGAATCATTATTGGTAAGAAAAAAATATATTATAAACGATCAAAATTGCTTAACGTGTAATACGTATTATTAGAATGAATATATAACACTCACTTTTCCTCTTGATCGTTTTCTTCAGATGGTTCCGCTACCTATAAAAAAAAACAATAAATAAACAATTATATCTATATTTTTTTGATATTGCAGAATATCTCTGCAATATCAAAAATTTTATTTATTTATTTATTTATTTAATATTAAGCACACTTACAATACACATGTTAAACAATTCAATACAATAATTAAAGTGAAAAAAAAGAATCAGACATGCATATCAATAACAAGTGTACATAGCATCTTAAAGCATCAGCAATTTAAAACAATCATAACCTCTTTGGAATAATTTCGTAAAACTAGCCTTATAACACTTAATTTATAATAATACTAGCATTGCCCGTGACTCCGCCCGCGTTCAGATGACCAAAAAACAAATTCTTAGGTTTTACATATTAGTATACACTTACATTGCAGTTTTTGTATTTTTTTTGTAGCCTTTATTGCTTTTGAATTAAGACTATATTCATATTTTTTAATGTAACTTATTTTTGATTCAGAAAATAACTATTAAAAAGTGAAAATATGGGTGGAAAATTTAAAATAGTTGAAACGACCGCCACTGGTCAGACCGAATATGACGTCAAATTATTTTTATTATAATAAAGCGATTAGCGATTTTGTCACTAGAATTGAGTCTACATTTCTCTGAATTTGAATTATAAATAAATTAAAAATAAAAACCACCTCCGGGTCAGGGGTGGCATGCCGGCGCGCGCGCGCGCGCTCTATAAGACGCACTGCTCGCACGAAGGGGTTCACCCGTTGCTCCTCGAACGTGCCGCCCTAAGAACATAAAAAAATAAATATGTTGGGATATTAACACACAGCGCCATCTATATCCATAGTACGCTACGAGGCTTGTGTTATGGATACCAGATAGTTGATACACTACACGTATATAACTTTAAATACATACATATTATAAATAAAAACACCCATGACTGCAGTACAAACATTCATGCTCATCACACAAATGAATGCCCCTAGCGGGACTCGAATCCGCGACCGCTGGCACAGAAAGTAGGGTCACTACAAACTGAGCCAAACGTGTCATCAACTTAACAACTTTAACAAGGACATAGCAACATTATTTATTATCTAATACTAATAAGTATTAAATAAATAAATAATATTGCTTTATACAATATTTTATTACTTAGATTTACACGAATATTTAACATTTAAAAAAAAAGATCTTTTCGCAGATTTATTAATTAATTATAATAATAGTAAATAATATTAAATAAATAATATGGAATATTCAATTAATTGCAAAACTTATTGAAATTATAAAAAAATAATGTTTATAATTAAACGTAATAAATATTATCAGGAACCGAGGAATGTGTATATTATATTCTATCTCTTTGCACACTTAGGTGTTGCTTTCTGTCACTGCGTGAGTGCATGCGCGTTTCACTTTTTTGGTTATGTACTGTGATAGACGTGTATTTGTCTGTATACACGTACACGTATTATGTGTACCATTCTCTGGCTGCATACTCTGGTTGATGTGTGTCTGTGTGTGTACATGTGTGTGCAGTGTCGCATTTAACCTCAACACTGCTCCTGGACATAGTAAAAAATGCCGCCCTATTATCGACATTTTGAATAAAATGTTGAATGTTAAATATTTTTTTTTGAAAAAATGCTAAGAAAAAATGGATACAAGTTTTTGAAAAAATGTACGAGTGTTAATTTTTTCAATTAATCATTTAAAAAGGATTTTCACATAACGCGTAAAATTCTCTATTTTTTCCTGGCCTTGGGCACTAGCCCCGAGTGTAAATAGCGCTGTGTGTATGTCTGTGTGCGTGTGTGTGTGTGTGCGCGTGTGCACCGACCGCGGTGCGCGGCGAGCGCGGCGCGCCGACGAGCGGCTCGGTGTCGGAGTCGAGGTCGGAGGGCGCGCGCTCGCCGGCCGCCAGCACGCGGCGCTTGCACACGGGGCACACGCGGCGGTTCTGCGTCAGCCACGGGTCTACGCACGCCGCGTGGTACGCTGGAACATTAATAAATAAATATAAATAATAACAATATAATAATATATTGGGACACTAGCTAGCTTCCCAATACAAACTTACATCCCTATTTTCACATATGATTTCCGGGATAAAGGTATCCTGTGTCCTTTCCAGGGTCTCAAACTATTTTCTTGCCAAATTTAATCTAAATCGGTTCAGTAGATCCAGAGACTGCCCCCTACAACGTCACAAACTCACAATCTTTACCTCTTTATAACCTTAGTATAGATTAACACACAACATCATCTAGTTCCATGGTAAGCTACGAGACTTGCGTTATGGATACCAGATAGTTGATACGCTATACATATATAACTTTAAATACATACATATTACAAATATGAACACCCATGACTGAAGTACAAACATTCGTGCTAATCATAAATTAATGCCCTCAACGGGACCCGAACCAACGACCGCTGGCACAGCAAGTACAAACTAACAAACAGTCACTACAAACTGAACCAAACGTGTCGTCAAACATATACAGAAACATTGTTAAACCTCGTTATCTCAGTGCTTATTTGTCCAAACGACCAACTCCACCAAAGAGTTACTATTAAATATGGAATTATTCATTTTTAAATATTAATCCTGTTAGTATAAAATACACATTTTACTTAAAGTAATCTGGCACATATATTACCTACGTAGTTGGTTTATCTTAGTAAAATTAGCAGCCCTGTCGACTCGGTCAGAGGGGCATTATTTATTATTTATCTGTACTAATATTATAAAGAGGCAGAGTTTAAACACATTGTTCTTTAGAACGAGCTAATATTAGGAACTAGCAATACGATTTGAAAAATTCTTTATTGCACTAGATAGCCCGTTTATTGAGGAAGGTTATAGGCTATATATCATATAACTAGCGACTCACTCTCGCTTCGCTCAGGTTCGGCCCTAGGTACGTTTTAACGGTTAGTATGAAATAGAAATGTTTGAATTTCTCGGTTATTCTGTACTATAATATGCATGTATTATACATATAAACCCTCCTCTTGAATCACTCTATCTATTAAAAATACCGCATCAAAATTCGTTGTGTAGTTTTAACGATCTAAGCATACATAGGGACAGACAGACAGCGGGAAGCGACTTTGTTTTATCCTATGTAGTGATATATAGTCTATCTATTCCATACCATTCTATACAATTCCATAGTTTGTATATACGCACCGTGTGCACACGGAAGGACACGCAGCCGTTCTCCCTCTTGGTAGTCGTCGAGGCAGATGGCGCAGGTGTCGTAGGGGTCGCCCTTGCTGAACTTGCACGTGGGGATCTTGCGCAGCGCACGGTTTGGGAGCCTGTGGCGCCGCGCGCGACGACGGTCCTTTATACATTTCACTATCTGATGAAATAAACACATTGTTTCATCACAAATTACTAATATTTAAAAAAAATGTTATATTTATAATAATAACAGCTACAATTAAATAAATAATATTGCTATATTTAATTATAATACTTATTAAATTTATAAAAATGTTTAGAAATAAAAATCAACAAATATTGTAAGGCACTTTAGTGCCATTTTTGAATTTTTGAAACCATTTTTGTAAAATAGTGGGTACTGTCTATAACCTTAGTCTCTTCCGTGACTTGATTACTATAAAGCATTCGAAACGTCGGGAACCAAAAATCAAAATTAATGCGCGAAATAATCCGAAAAGATAGTATTTTTCTAAATTACGAGTACTAATGATTAGTAGCCACGGAAAAAGGTAAAGAAGGTAATCTCTGGATATACTGAACCGATTTAGATGAAATTCGGTAAGAAGATAGTTTGAGACACTGGAAAGGACATAGGATATTTTTTATTACGGAAATCATCCCTTAAGGGGGTGAAAATGGGGATGAAAGTTTGTATGGGGAATCAAGCTAATAGTAAATTATAATTTGATAATCGATAACTCAATATGAGAATCTTACCATGAATATAAGTATGACGACGAGGCACAGCACTACGACAACTGCGAAGGGCAGCAGTAAGTGCGTGTTGATGTTGAACGGCACGTCACCGTTCACCATTATATAATAACTGGAAAAATAAACGTTTCAATATAAACTATATGAAAATAATATAATATGAAATATATATATATATATATATATATATATCAAAAATCAATTGCCGTTCGTTAGTCTCCCTAAAACTCAAAAGCGGCTGAACCGATTTGAATAATTCTTTTTTTTTTGTTTTGTTTGGGTTGTGTCGGGGGTGGTTTAAGAATCCCCCAACGTGCGTTCACCTTGTCGTGGCGGGAGGGCTCATTAGCGTCCGGCACGAAGCGTCAGTTGGGCGCGAAGCTAAGAAACGCACAGAGAGGTGTCCCTCTTCGGTGGGCGATATACGATGCGAGTTACTCCTGATACTTGTCTGATAGCAGAGTGGACTTTGGAGCAACCCCATGGTTATTGTGCTCTGCTTCGGCAGACTTACTGTCGGGGCATCGTAGTTAAGTGCGTAAGCGATCCTGCGACGACCCATTAAGACGTGGAAAGGTTTTGTTGGGTTTTAGTGGGTAGTACTGGCTTTTCTAGCCGGCGAGTCCCACCATAACCACTTATATGTCTGCAGGTGGTATGCGTAAATGCATTTTCCGACATTAAAAAAGGGCTGTTTAAGTACAAAAAAAATATCGTAAAAAATAATAGTGAAAGTAGGTAAGTCGCTAATAAATAGATACTAGTATGAAATCAAAAATTAAACTGCCACGATTTAGTATTTATAATATTACTAAGAAACACTAAATTTACTTGTATCTTAATAAATATTACGTTTATAAATCTTTTTAGTTTAAAATATTTCTATTAAAAAAGAAGTCGCCATAAGAATTATCAAAGGGTTAAAGTAAAGAAATAGCAAGTAAAAGCAAATAAGCAAAAGCTAGCACACGAACTCACCCATTCGTATAGACGTACTCTTCGGAAAGTATTATCCCGCTGATGTCGCTGACGAACACCGACGGGATCGTTATCCCATCACTGTTATTCGCGTACATCGTCTCTGAAATATGTGAATAATTATTATAGATTCAAAATTTTAATTATATTAAATAAAAAAAACAAAGTGCGTGTGTGTGCAATTCACACATGGTAGAAGTGATACTTAATATTACATACATATATGTCAGACAATAACGGTTACAATGGCAACGTGGCAATGTATTCTATCTCATTCCCTCGTTGGCTTATTCCTATATATTTATTTATTTGTCTCTTTTTAGTGTCGCATTTCCGTTTCATCGAGTTTCAAATCACAACGATCCTAAAGAAGTTTCACTTCAAAAATCGATTGGAATAGTTCAAGGTTTCTCAAAGTGGAGTACGACGGCCCTATGGTTTTTCCAGATTTTTTTAAATATTAGCAGGACAAAACACTTATTCTATATGACAAAAAGGTATTTCTTATTTCAATTAATAAATAAATAAATTTTTTATTGACATAATTTTTTACATACACTGGTGATAAAGAACTCCCTAGCCCCTGCGCTCGTTAAAAACTGTATTGCAGGAGCCAGTGTCATCCCCATATGATTAATGACAGGTTAATGCCAACACAATGATATATGTAGGTACAAACAACAAGAGTAACATTAAGAAAAAAAAATTAGCACAAAAAAATATAATAAATAACAAAATAAAAAAAAGTGTGTGTGTGTGTGTGAGTGAGTGTGTGTTTGTAGATACTATATAGCATTAATACTATTGAAATAGTAATATGAGGGCCAGTTGCGTAACTAGCCTTTTTGGGCCCCAATGTAGGTACATATAAAAAATGGAAGTGCCCCTGTACTACAGTCCCCCTGTGCCTACTTTAAAAACGAATGTGGTCACAGACAGAGACAGTTTTTTAACTCTTCACTTTTTTCAAACCATTCTCACAGAAAAATGGTTAGAGTAAAAATTAGTAAAAAAAACTGAGTTTAGGGGACCATTTATCGTTTTATAGAATTTAGGTATGATCATATTCCTTGTGGACATCGTAAAAATAATATACGGTATGACACTTAGTAGACGAGGGCCTATTTATTTGAGTAACTCTGGATTAGTTTTAAGTTGCAGGTTCGATTAGAACATCACTCAACATGTCAAATAATGAATAAGTATGAATGGATCTAAAAAATCTATTATTTCTTACATAAACTGAAATTATAACAAATTGTTTGAATAATAAAATATTACACTACAATTTGTCATAAGAATAAACCAAAAATGATAAAACATTATCACTTACAATAATATAAACAAATAATTCCGCCATTTTTATCACGATGAAATCACTGACACTGACCATTAATTATACGGATAAGATTAAAAACAGATAAAATAATTAAAAAAAAAGCTGTAATTTCTGCATAAACGTCCGTTTTCCTAAACTTTTACACAAGAATATTATAGATACGTGGGATGACATGATAACAGTGTAATTAATCACTCGAGTTATCTGACCACTTGTAAATGTTTTCAATTGTTTGTCAATAAAGATCTGTACTTTAATTACTCTGTATAGGTATTAAAATTGTTTAAAATTGGTCTACACTGTATAAGCTTATTTATGAGTAAAACAACTATATTTATTAATTAAACGATCATCGGAAAAGGAAATATGAAAGTTGGGAATTTATTTGCCTACAGGATGGATTTTATGTGTGGTATTTGCTGGAACCAAAACTGTAGGGAATAGTGTAAAATGCTTAAAACATCGTTATAGAAAACACAATGTTGTGTGTTTTCAAACAAGTAACGGGTTCGATTTTCAGTCATGAAAGTTAATCTTCGAAAATCTAGATATACTATGTCTGATTAATCTAGGGTTTTATCATCCACATAATCAAAAATTGAATCTGTAAGGTAGAGTAAACTTATTTATGTACCGATATTGTTTTAAAATATTGCTTTATCTACTGCAGTGTGTTTGGAGTCCATTTAATTTTATAGATTCAAGTCATGATGTTGTCATATAACATTTGATCTTTAATCTGTATTTTATATTGCGTAATATACCTGATATGGGGTTCAATTCTTATTTGATATACGAAAAGTGGAAATATAAAATATCGTTAACTGTGATTGTTACATGAGGTGCGGTTTAAAAAAATATAATTTATATTTAAATTCAATATTAAAAAAAAAACAATTTAATTAGCAAGAATATTATGAGAAATGTCTATGCAATATTATTTGTTTAAAAGATAGCTAAATGGTTCACAGGTGAAAAGAGCTAGCTTTATCAAATAAAGTCTAAAACATAAAAGAAACTTCCCAATCTTTCAACCATGACGCCGCAATGTCTCGTCCACAGACTACCAGATAAGCGATAAAGTCCGACTTCGGGTTTAGAGGTACTTTTTAACTAAAATTTTTATCATTCCCTCTATCCATAACTACAATCAATTTCCTTTCAAGGTCCACCCTACCATAAAAGTACTAGGAGCAATCCTAATAATACATTTGTCAACTCGCATTTACATAAATTTCATAACAAACTTACCCAATTCGCTTGAATTGACATTGTGGACGATGGCGCAGTCAAAGCCTGCTGCTTGAGCGTTCCGTATTTTTTTTTCAAAACTACAGTTATACCTGCAAAGTGATTGATTAAATTAATCGTACCTACTATATTTTTATTTTTTGACTAGCGACTCACCCTCGCTCCGCTTGGACCTGTCCCTAGTTACGTTTTAAAGTTTAGTATAGATTTCTCAGAGATGGGATATTTTCCCGAAGGAAAAAGTATCCTATATGTTGGCCCGGATAATCAGCTACCATCATACCAAATTTCATCAAATCTATCTAGTAGTTTTCTCGTGATGCGTTCCCAGACAGACAGACAGACACACAGACAGACATACAGACATATAGATTTGGCCTCTGTATCGATAATAATAACTATTTCAATAAGATTAAAAAAAATGTTTATTGTACAGATTCGACTCAGTTAGAATTTTAGTATATATGTATAGATTAATTAAATTAATGGTATTATATTTTTTACTTCTGCTTTACTTTCTACTTTTAAGGAGATCGGTAAAACTTATTTTTAATCTGACTTATTAATATCATAAAATAAAACTGAATGCTGTTTATTGACAAGACGGCAGAGTGGTTAGGCATTTTTTAAATGTTCATCCTACCGAGTACTGTTTTTAGGGAGAAAAGTTTTTGAAATTGCCTGAAAAATTAGTCCACCACGCTCGCACAATGCGCTTCGACGGACTTCACATGTCATCTACATATACTCACTAGGTTCTTAGATACGCAAATTTCCTCACGAACTTGTCCTTCACCATATTAGCAAGTAATCATGATTCGCTAACGAGAATAGAGGTGCGAGAACTGGGACTTGAACCCGATTAATTAGGTTTGGTAACTCTTTTGACTAGACTCATTGGACTGGCGGTCAAAGTGAGGAACGGTAAAGTTAGTAGCTTTTAAGCTACATTTTTACATTGATAACAATTATACAGCATATATGATACTGTTAATAATAATAGATAATAATAATAATAATTTTAATATTAATAAAGTTAATAATAATAGAATAAAATAGTATTATAAGTTATGCAACAAGTTTTGATACGATCATTAATAATATCAGGAATTATGCAAAATTATGCAATACTTATGCAAAAATTGATTGTACTTTCTGCATTATGATTGAAAGGTACCCTTTACACATACATACTAAAAAACCCTTTGTCGTCATGATTTAGATGTACAGACCTTTAAATATCACTACACAACGTAAAAATGGACATAAAAAACTCTACATCGGTGGTATATTTTATCTAGATAAGTTTAATTTAATATATATATATATATATATACATATATATATACATATATATATATATTATTTAATGAAATTCTAAAATTTTATATATATATGTATATATATATATATATATATATATATAAAATTTAAAGAATTTCATTAAATAATGATCAAAAGCGACGCATCTACTTTCTAACGTCTGAGATAAACAATAGAACATCCGACAACCATATGCCCGGATAGAGGACAACCATGTATACATACATATATAAGACATAACCTTACCATATATTTAGATTAACAAGACGCAGAAATTAATTATTATTTCATAATATCACTACGTTAAAATAATATTATCTTTTACAGAATTTACTGTTTGTTCCACATTAAAAATTTTAAAAGTAAAAAAATATTATGAAATATTTAAAATACAAATTCTCACTGTCTTTCCGCAGACACTCGGGCGGATGTCGATTAAATTATATACATAATAGAGCAAGCGGTTATATTTCAGTAGAAAAATTTCAACACATTTTTCCTCCTTTACTGCAACTTGGACAATGAGTTTAAACATAAGATCATCTCGTTTTTTTTTACCACTGGAGCACTTTTTCATTGACCGACACGAAAACGATCATATTGTAGCCGACATACCGGAGCAACACCGACATTTCCTTTTTATGAGACAATTAAACGTTTTACGCGCCCGTGGGTCAATGCAAATGCGTCATAGGACGCCCTATACTTTTTAGTGTTCCTATATATATCGGTATTTATGTATCGGGAATGATATTCATAATATCGTGTCGGCCTCCGAAAATAAATTCTTAGTCATTTTGGTAAACAAAAAATAAGTGATTTCCGTTTAAGTCCACAATCATCTCTGGGCTGGCGTCTCTCGATGCCAGCTTCTTCCATTAGACTCTAGGACATAGGACTCGACTCTTCTTCCATTAGGGCTCTTCGAGAGTTGTGTCTTTAGGTAAAGGCCGGCAACGTATTCGCAACTCCTCTTATGTCGGATATGTCCAATGTTACAAAAATACATATATCAAAGTGAGGAGAAATGTGCAAAAACATAATTAAATTAATAAAAAATAAAAATGTAACAAATTAAAAAAGACAGGGATAGAGAGAGACTATAATCAATAAATTAATAATAAATTACTTAGAATATAAACAATTAATTAAACTAGTTTATAATAATAATAAATAAAATCAATCACAGCTAGTATTATTTAAATTGTAAATAGTATTAACTTTAAATTTGTTAAGAGAGAGAGAGATGAAATATGTCATCTATACATATAATAAAATTGTAACTAAGCCGAATCTGTACATTAAATATATTTTGGAAAATCTTATTGAAATAAACAATTTTTGTCTCTCTGTCTGTTACCGTATCACAGAAAAACCACGGGAGGGATTTTGATGAAATTTGGTATGGTGATAGCTGGTTACCCGGGTGAACATATAGGATACTTTTTACCGCGGGAAAATATCTTATTTCTGAGAAAAAAATACAAAAGCTGCAATGTAAGTATACTAATATGTAAAACCTAAGAATTTGGTTTTTGATCATCTGCGGAGCGGAGCGCAGGCAATGCTAGTTATTTATAAAATGTTTATTGTACTAGGCACAACTTCTATTAATAAATATTTTTTTGGCAAATTTAGTTCTAGTTGCAGGAATATAAAAAGTGGCTTTTTGTCTTGAATAACCATTTCATGGACATTTAAAATTTAATTTTGATAGTAAAAAAGGCGAATCGATTTTATAATTCAAGATCTTATATAAAAGAGCTTGATCTCGCTGAACACGTCGGTCAGCAGCCGACATACGCATAGAAAACTTGCTCTTGTTAAAGGAAAAGTTCGTTGTAAGATTCTTAATGACCGGTCATGTATACATTCGATCCTACAAATGTGATTTTTATACTGAGGATTTCAAACAGAAGAAGCATACACTAAATTCGACCTAACAAATGCGTTATACAAAATTATGTGCGTTGACGGATGCTTAAACTCCTTGGATATCCTCAGCACAAAACCCAGCATACGATAAGCTTTGTAAACAACATAAATGACATGGTCATCAAAGAGTAATTTAGAATCAATTATAACTCCAAGGTCTTTAAACATACGAACTCTGGAAATTATTTCGTTATTTAATTTATAAGAGTAATTAATAGCTGAACGTTTGCGAGTAAATGTACATTGCACTTTTATATTCACTTTCAAAAACAAAGAATTTTCGGAACAACTACTAAGTCGGTCTAAATCTCTCTGTAAGTCTATACAATAATTGATACTTTTAATAATTTAAAATATTTTATTATCTACGTACAATAAAAATCTTGAGTGTTTGACAACTAAGTGAATATCATTTAGGTATACATTAAATAATAAGGGACCTAGATGGGATCCTTGGGGTACCCCGGATGGTACTGGAATAAAAGTTGAGCAGTAACCCTTTATGGTCACTGCTTGGCTACGGTTACTAAAGTACGTCTCAATTCAACGCAGAAGGTCGCCGTGTACCCCAAAGTATCTTAGTTTTTTGAGAAGAATAAAGTGAGATATTTTATCAAAAGCCTTAGAAAAATCTTTGTACACGACGTCCACCAGTAAATTCGCAAAGATTAGTTTCCATAGATTTTCTGCTAATAAATCCATGCTGTTATTCAATATATATAGGTCTGATAACGGGTAATAAAATATCATAAACCATCTTTTTAAACATCTTAGGGATGCAACTTAGTTTTGAAATAGGACGTTAATTTTTTATATCATGCTTATTATCCTACAAAAAAATACAATAAGAGATACGTACCTGGCAAGTAAAACGACCCATTTCCCTGTAAAATTTTCGGGATCGACGGGAGGCTTTTTGAGAATCGTACATCCATCTTCGGGCTCCCCTGTAACGAGGAAGCCTCGCAGTCCCTCTAGGGTCAGTTCAGGACCAAAACTAGCTGGCACATCGAGGAATTCTTCCGTTATCTGTAAAGAAAAAGTAAATTTCATCTGTAAATATTTGTCATATTAAATTTGTTTGAACCTCTGTTAGAAAGCTACCTAGATGAGTTATCGAGTATGTTATCAACCTAAAATTATAGTAAAAAATAAATAAACGAGTGCTTATTTATAATAATTATTAGAAATAAATATTTTACTTGAACCTGTTGAAAAACATAACTTCACAATTAACACTTAACAAATATTGAATGTGGAGTATGTTCAATGTACATTGTATAAAACGTGTATCTTTCAAGTGGTGTATGAAATTGTTAGAATCCAAGTATTTATCGTTTTTAAGACATAACTTGCATATTTTAGATACTTGTGATTGCAAAAAAGGTCCTAAGCCTAGGACCCAACTAGGGTCTACAGGTGTATCTATCTAATATGTCTATACTAAGACATAAATATTGATATTTCCGATTTACATACTACAGAAGTAAAAAATGTATTACTATGATGTAAAACGGGATATTTACCATGTTTATCACTTACTTTTGAGAGTTTTCGATATTTCGGCACTGTTACAAGCGCCATAGTCACGGGTATATTCTACCCGTAGTTTAATAGTTATAAATAATATAGTAAATGTCTCGTTTTACATCGTATTATCTGTTATCATGAAACTTTAAAGACTTATAATAAACTAGCAGAACCCGCGGCTTCGCTCGCGCTAAAACTACAAAAAAAACCTTTAAAATGGTCGGTTTTATACAAACTTTCACCTGCTATTTTACCCCGTTATGGAATGAATTTCACAAAATGCTAAAACACGTATTTATTTAATTGTATTGAAGGGCATTAATACCAAGTTTCAAGTAATTCTGATCATAAATAATTTTTGGGTTGTATTATAACGCGTTTTCCGGTGGGAATGAGATTATCTCCCGCGGTAAAAAGTAGCCTATGTCCCTCTCCAGCCCTCCAACTATCTCCACACAAAAAATCACGCCAATCCGTCTCGACGTGAACGAAAGACAAACAAACAAAAACACGTTCACATTTATAACATTAGTATAGACGTATATTGTCTGCAAAATCCATCTATAATATCAACAATAACTATCTTTAACATAAAAATAAAACCTGTTACTTACAATATGCTGCAATCCAGCAATATGCATAACTATAATGCTATTTATAGCTGCATGGGACATTTTCAGTATAGAATAACAAACTACAATTTGATAAATTCACGTGATAACACTTTTAAAGACTTTTTTCAGCCTATACCACATTTACTTCGTCCGTACAATTTTGCGGTGCTCATGTGTACAATAGAAATGATCGTCCTATTCAGTCTGCCCTTGTAATATAAATACTCCAGATATAGATATTGTAGAGTTTATTCTTTAATCAGTAAACAAAGGTTTATATTATCAGATCACTTATTATACACTAGCGATTCACCCTTGCTTTGCTTGAATTCGTCCCCAGGTACGTTTTAACGGTTAGTATGGTGGAATATATAGACTCTATATTATATAGTATACATAGGTACAAAATAAACAGCTCTGCACTTTTAGATTATCCAGCTTTTCTTATGGGTTTTCCCTATTTTTTATATTTAAATCACCCCCGACACACCCTCAACAAAACAAAAAAAGAATTATTTAAATCGGTCCAGTCGTTTTTGTTGTTTTAGCGAGACTAACGAACGGCAATTGATTTTTATAAATAGGTATTAAGAAATAAATGCCTTAGAAAAAAAATATCTAACATAATAAATAGTTACTCTCCATGATTTAAAAAAATATTTTATCTTCTTTCGAGTAGGTACATCCTTAAGTGTCTAACTGTAGCCTAATATTACTCCAGATCCATAGTCTATCAGTGTGTAAATTTAATCCGAATCCGTCCAGCCGTTACAGCGTAAGGGGGTAACAAGCATACATAATTACATACACACACACATACACTCACATACAAACTTCGCATTTATAATAGTAGTTCGATAATTGGTTTGTTGGTTATTGATGAAAAAACCAATCATGAAAGATAATGATATAAAAGACGGAGTATATTATTAAGTTACGACGACCTTTGCCACATGCACGTCTCAATGTCGAGGCCTTACACTTAACTATAGTGGCCTTGGATAAGCGACGAATACGCAAGTGTTAAGAACAGTGTTGTTAAACCTTGTTAACACTTGCGTATTCTTCAGATTTATAGAATTCGGAAATATTTTCGGAATTCCCAGATTTCGGTCTACATTTTCTAAATCTAATTGGCGTCACTTCTTAATCTATAAGATTATAATAAAGTTGTAACTAAGCCGAATCTGTACATAGCATATTTATATTTTTTAGAATGTTTGTATGTATGTCTGCCGGTGACCGCATCACGGAAAAAGTACTGAAGGGATTTGGATGAAATTTGGCAAATGATGGCAGCTGATTATTCGTAAACAACATATAGGATATTTTTTACTCTGAGAAATCTATACTAAACGTTAAAACGTAAGTAGAGACGCACCTGTGCGGTGCGAGGGTGCGTCGCTAGTAAGTAGTAACTCTATATTAAACAAGAAACAGTATAATTGGACTACAATTATAAATCCGAAAATAGTGTGTATGCATGTGTGTTTAATAGTCCTTTACGCTGAAATTTGGATAAGTTTAAGTACACACACACACGTTAATGTTAGACCGACACATAAAGACGCACCCGAGCGGAGCGAGAGTAAGCCCCTGGCAGAAAAATAAAAAGAAAATCGAGTGTACAAAAAATATAATCTGTTACACAACAATATTTAAAATGATTACGTTTCCTCCTGACAATATGTTAATATACCATTACACGAAAACTTTTTTATATGTTGAAACTGATTCAAAATGATTTGCAAGTTTTATTCATGTTCAAAAACCGGATTGCGTATTGTTTGTATAACATAAAAACACTAAACTGGATTATGGCATTGAATAAAGATTATTTTGATCGACATCATAGTTACATGATAAATTATTAATGAACGTTTAATGTGATTGTAATGATTCTAGCTCCACAGATGGTGATTTTTGTAAGTGATACATAAAAACACACATAATATGTAATATACTCTGTACTATGTATCTCTAAAATCCCAGCAAATTAAGAAAGACAATAATTTTACAGAAGAGTATTGTAGATTACATAGAAACTATTTATTTATTTAATCTACTTCCTTCTTTGCTTCCCCATACAAACTTTCACCTCATTTTCACCCCCTTAAGGAATGATTTCCGGGATAAAAACTATCCTATATGCTTCCCAGGGTCTCAAACTATCTTCTTACCAAATTTCATCTAAATATGTTCAATAGTTTCGGAGCCTATTCGATACCAATCTCTTTTTAATATTAGTATAGATTAATAAACGTATTTGGGTGATTGTGGTGTGGTGGTTTTATAGCTGGTATCCTCAATTCCACATTTATAATAATTTTATAAAAAATATTATATTTATACTTTGATTTGTTTTAATTTAATTGCGGTATCTGCCACAGTACCAAGAAGTTTTACTACAAACGCGCGTAAAGGTTAGACGCACTAATTTTTTATAAAATACTAGCATTGCCCGCGGCTCCGCCCGCGTTCAGATGACCAAAAACTAAATTCTTAGGTGTTACATATTAGTATACTCTTACATTGCAGTTTTTGTATTTTTCCTCAGAAATAAGATATTTTCCCGCGGTAAAAAGTATCCTAGGATCGCGCGCTACATCGCCCGGTTTATATAGCTTGAGCAGGCGGTCGAGCGATGCGGGGCAGAGGGGATGGACTCGCCGTAGGCATCTCAATGCTCGCCAAGCATTAAAAATGTTTCGCTACTAATTACTTCTAACAACGATATCTCAAAAACTATTCATCTGATTGATTTAGTGTAAAGAGCAATTTTAATCTGCATTAAATGACTAAGCTAACTAAAATATTCATTTGGATAAGGATTAATACCGAACTAAAGAAAATAACTTTGAAAATAACGTAATGTTTTTAATTAAAAATGTTAACATAAAAGTGGTTATTGTAAGTCAACCGTAAGAGATAGAGATATGCTATCGCGGACTTTTTTGTAGCATTTTTATAGATTTTGAATTCTCTAGTACATTACTTAACTGTATCTTTGCTAGTTTACGCGGCGTTCGCGTGGAAAGTTCCCATTTGGCGAGATTTTTTGCGACCTCTTCAACATTTGTCGCCGTATTTCAGCTAATTTACATAAAAGCATAATAAATTATATACCTAAACCTTCCTCAAGAATTACTCTTTCTATTGTTGAAAACCGTATAAAAATCCGTTCAGTAGTTTTCGAGTTTATCGCGTTCAGACAGACAGGAGGACAGACAGGAGGACAGAAAGACGCGGCCGGGGGACTTATTTTTATAATAAGTATAGATTCTATTAAGTTTAGAATCATCATAAAATAAAGAGAATTATAAAGAGATTGAATAGACAGATAATTAATTGAATAAATAGACAACGATAGAATCCAGAAATAGATATTATTCAAAATAGCATTTAAAAAGAAAAAAATGTAGACAAATATTTAATTACGATGACATTTTACACAAGGAAGTGGATCTGTGAAATGGTATCTTGGCTATAATGTTCAATTATATAGAATTTGTAGTTTAAAAAAGTATTTCACAAATAAAAGTATTCAAGAGTCAAGACTCGGACGTTCTCCTGTACAGGGACTGACGGTTGTGGACGTTGCGAAAATCACGCGAAGAAAAGTTAATAGAAAAAAACATAATTTTCATTTAAAAGACGTGTTTCAAATTAATCACATTATGAAGGCTTTGGTGCCTCACTAATTAACATATTTAAAAAAAAATTAAACTAAATGATATTTAAATCACAATTAAGACCTAATTTTTGATGCAATGGAAGTAATTGCTCATTATTTCAAAATACCCAAAAAAATTGTAAGTACATTTTTTTCGAAACTAAATTATAAGTCGCGTAACAAAAAGCACTTTAAAACACTGAAACCGTATT